GTTGAATTCAATCTGTTTCTTGCTTACACCTAATAGAGAGAATATTGCAAAACTAAAACTATAAACTTCTAACCTACTAGATATAGCTTGAGAGATTCTAGGGCAGTGATGGCGAACCTTTTAGAGACTGAGTGCCCCAAAACTGGCCCTGCCCCTGCTCCACCCCCTGCCCTGCCCCCATCCCCCGCCCCACCTGCCCGCAGGGCTACTCACCGCCTCCAGGGCCCGCCGCAGATCCCTCAGGCAGCCCAGCAGCGCTATGGCGGTCACGCCCTCTGCCCGCGCCCTGCAGCATCAACTGCATGATGGGGTGTGAGGGCAGTCTTGTCTATGCTGCCTGGCTGCCATGTCCTTGGCTGCGCGGCTCCAAATGGGCCACGCTCAGGGGCAACTCTCCTGGGGGGCTGCTAGAGAGGAGGGTGTCACGGGGGGAGGCGAGGCTGGGGCAACGGCACATATGCCCACAGAGAGGGCTCTGAGTGCCGCCTCTGGCACCCGTGCCATAGGTTCACCACTACTGTTCTAGGGACTGGCTACCTGGAACCTCTTCCCCCACCCTTCCCCCTCCAGCTTGGGCTGCACAGTCTTTTAATCCTGCTCTGTCTCTGGGAAAGCTCTGTGCTGGCCAAACTCTCCCCCATTGTTCTCCATTCTATCACACATACCTAGACAGAACAAGAAAGCTATCCAGGTGGGATTACATCCGAAACAATCAAGGAAAGATCTCTCCTTACAACTCTGTATAGATAGCCTTTGACTTACGACTACAGTTGGGACCAGAGTGTTTGTTGCTAAGCAAGGCAGTTGTTAAGTGAGCTGCACCCAATTTTACAAACTTTTTGCCGCAGCTGTTAAGCAAAAGAAGAAATGGAGACATGGTAGCAGTGTTCCAGTATTTGAGGGGCTGCCACCAAGAAGAGGGGGTCATGTTATTCACCAAAGCACCAGAAGGCAGAACAGGAAACATTGGTTGGAAACTGATCAGAGAGAGAAGCAGCCAGGAATTAAGGAGAAACTTCCTGTCAGTGAGGACAATTAACCAGTGGAACAGCTTACCCCCAGAAATCATGGGCACTCCATCACTGGGGATTTTTAAAAAGAGGCTGGACAGTCACTTGTCTGAGATGGTATAGGTCCTCCTGCTTGAGTGGGGGCGCTGGACTAGAAGACCTTCAAGGTCCCTTCCAGCTCCATTCTATTCTATTCTATTCTATTCTATTCTATTCTATTCTATTCTATTCTATTCTATTCTATTCTCGTTCCAATATTCTATTCTATTCTATTCTATTCTATTCTATTCTATTCTATTCTATTCTATTTTATTCTATTCTATTCTATTCTATTCTATTCTGTTGTACTGTAATTAAGTGAATCATGTGATCATGAAGCAAATCCAGTTTCCCCCATTCATTTTGCTTATTATAAGCCAGCTGGGAAAGTCACAAATGATGATCACATGACTGCTGCTAATACATGCTGGTTGCCAAGCAGCCAAATGTTGATCATGTGACCGGGCTGAAATGGTCTTAGGTGGGAGGATCAGTCATAAGCCACTTTTTTCAGTATTGTTGTAATTTCAAATGGTTGGTAAACAATAGTTATTAGTGAAGTGTACACTCACTACTGTCCATGCTTTCTTTCAGATTGCCGAGCCATATTCCTATTCTTCCAGTGAGAAGGATAGGCCAGCTGAGAGGTAAGTAGGGTCAGTGCAGAGGCATCAGTAAGAAAGAATATTCCCAAGAACGCCTAGTGCAGGGGTTCTTAACCTTGGTAACTTTAAGACTTGTGGACTTCAACTCCCAGAATTCCTCAGCCAGCAAAGCTGGCTGAGGAATTCTGGGAGTTGAAGTCCACAAGTCTTAAAGTTGCCAAGGTTGAGAACCCCTGGCCTAGTGGAATGGGTTGTTAGCTTGCTCTGTGGCTAGATGCCATTCTGTGGTTCCTTCAGTAAATGCATGATTTGATGACCTTGAGGGTAGCCAGGTGATGCTAAGTCCAGATAGAGCTACCTGAAAAAGTTGCCTTAAGAAGTCCTGTGCCCACATGTCCCTATGCACCAAAATAAGTTGTAGACTTTGAATTGGGAATGTTGCACAGCCTTATCTGTAATAGGGAGTCCTTTCAGTGTTGCCAAATATTTCTGGTTCTAAAGAAAGGTTGATGCTCAAACTCCCGTCAGCTGAGATGGATTTCTCCAATTTGGTTCCATTTGATATACCAGGGCTGCCATTCACAGAATAGTTGCTGGCTGTCAGTGTTAGAAGTTGCAGTTCCTGCACATTTTGATGGAACCAGACCAGGGAAGGCTTTTATGCTAAGGTTAGGCAGTGAATTTTGAGCACTGTCAGAAATTTTTTTAGATTTTTATTAAAGTTTATTATACGATACAAATAAAAACAAAAACAGAGAAATGTTAAAGAGACAGCGCAGATAGCGAATTCTGTTTTTTTTTTCAGTATAGTACAATACAAAAAAATACACATCCGCAACTTACGACTGCGGTTGAGCCCAAAATTTATGTTGTTAAGTGAGACATCTGTTAAGTGAGTTTTGCCCTATTTTACGATCTTTCTTGCCTCAGTTGTTAAGTGAATCACTGACGTTGATAAGTTAATAACCTGCTAGAATTGGGTATGTCTAGTTTAACGAAGAGAAGGACAAGGGGGGACATGACAGCAGTATTCCAATATCTCAGGGCTTCCAGAAAGAAGAGGGAATTAAGCTATTTTCCAAAGCACCTGAAGGCAGGACAAGAAGCAATGGGTGGAAACTAATCAAGGAGAGAAGCAACCTAGAACTAAGGAGAAACTTCCTGACAGTGAGAACAATCAATCAGTGGAACAGCCTGCCTCCAGAAGCAGTAAATGCTCCAACACTGGAAGTTTTTAAGAAGAGACTGGACAGCCATTTGTCCGAAATGGTGTAGGGTTTCCTGCCTGAGCAAGGGGTTGGACTAGATGACCTCCAAGGTCCCTTCCAACTTTACTACTATTACTAATGGTGATTAAGTGAATCTAGCTTCCCCATTGACTTGTCAGAAGGTTGCAAAAGGTGATCACATGACCTTGGGACACAGCAACGGTCATAAATATGAACCAGTTGCCAAGCATCTGAATTCTGATCACATGATCATGGGGATGCTGCAAAAATTGTAACTGTGAAAAACAGTCATGTCACTTTTTTCAATGACATTGTAACCTTGAACAGTCATTAAATGAGGACTGAATAAGTCGAGGACTACCTGTATGCAACCTCAATCTTTTGCTTTACATTTCTAAACGTTAGAAGCCATTTCTGTAACAACAAAGTCATTCTAGTTGTCAAAACCTAAAACTACATTTTCATTTTTTTTCAGTTTTGGTTCAAAATCCAGAAATGGTTTTCAAATGCAAACAAAATTAGATAATTCACACAGTTATCTTTAATTCAAACAGTTCACTTTGCCATCTCCAACTCCATCACCTTTACCATCCATTCTTCCATTGTGGGAACTAATCTGTCTTTCCATTCTTGTGCTTATTAAGATTCTTGCTGTGTTCAACATATATAGTAACGTAAAATAGTAGGCTTATCAGCGTTCCTGCAATTGTCAAAATGAGAATCTTTTGCAATCTTTGTGAAAAATCTGAAAGGGGGGTGTATCATCAACATGCAAATGATGACTAGTGGAGATCAGGTGAGAGTATCATGGCAGATAGAAAATCTAATCTAGGAGGCCTTAAATCGCAGTACCTGAGGTTGATAAGGTTCTTCTGCACAGCACTCCCTGAAATGAACTGCATCCCTGCAATTCATTTCCATGGAGCTTATCTTGTCAGCAATGGTTTGCTTGGTGTTAATTAATGGGAAAAGACAAAGAGATTGTCAAAATGACTGTCAAATCCAAGTGTTCCAATGTCTCAGGGGTTGCCACAAAGAAGAGGGAGTCAGGCTATTCTCCAAAGCACCTGAAGGTAGAACAAGAAACAACAGATGGAAACTAACCAAGGAGAGAAGCAACCTGGAACTAAGGAGAAATTTCCTTACATTTCTGTTTTGGGTTTATGTTTGCAGAGACAGCAGTTCCTACCAGAGCGTTTTCCAACGGAAATCATCTGGCTTGTCTTCGCTGCAGGTGCAGCCCCGCCGTGCCATACATCCAGAACGTCAGGCCCAGGCAACGGAGACGGCTCTGGGGAGCAGTGCAGCAACCAAGCGATACCTCCCCCTCTGGCTCCAGCTCCTGTTGTTTGGGCTGCTGGCTGCCTTCCTGGCCTACGTCTACTTCTTACAGGGAGGGGCTGAGGACAACCCCTTTGTCAAGTACATTCCTCAGTGAAGCCTTGGCTCTTATTACCTAGCCAGTCTTAGCTGACCTGGTCCCCTTCAGATTGGTCAGGGTGTAACTTCCAGAGATCGCAGCCCATTGGCTGGGATGCTGGGATTTGCAGTTCTAACCCAGGCAGAAGGCACCATGATGGCCAGGAATGGCCTAGAATTTTGTGGGGAGTGAGTTTTGTGTGTGTGGGTAAAATGTTTTGTTGACAGTAAGTGCCTTCTTGTCAGTTAAAAAAGAAAGTAGTATATTGAGGGCCAGGGATGGAAAGGTTTCTACCAACTTTCCAGAGATAAAACTGCTCCCCACACCTCGGGCCATCTCCTTCCTGAAACCAGCTAACATGGGGCATTTTTATCTGCTGATTTTATAGCTTGTCTTTATATGGGTGGCTTCTTATGAGGGGGTGGATGGGCATAGAGGGAAGAAATGTAGCCTATCAATTGCTTTGTTTTAAATATACAAATGTATGGACTATCTAAATAAATCTTCCCATTTTTTAAGGTTGTCTTATTTCATTATTTCACCTCAGTCTCTAGATAATCACCATTTCTATGTAGACATTGCTCACCCTCCCATAACTCCAAATCTTTTTAAGGTCAAATAGCTGAAAGGTTTCCCCATAGCTTTCATCATTTTGATTTGGCCGGCCGTGTAAAGAAAGATGACATTAAGCCAGAAGTCTTTTTTTAAGTGTTTATGGGATTTTTAAAAATTCTTTCATAGACCGCTAAAAAGAAAGAAATGGAATTCACACACTGGGCCAACCTTTTTCCTTTCTATTTTCACACTTGGGAGTGGAGACAAAGTTCACATCCTTCTGAGATTCCCTCCCCAAATCTGAAAGAACAGGAGCAAGGAGCTGCATTCCCATGTAACGCTAAGCCAAGTTTTTAAACCAGGGTTGTTGAATAAGCTGCTAACCTCAAAATGAACACATTACAGCTTGATGTTATGTGTAAGCCACCTGGTGAAGCATTCTTGGTAGCAGGGACATGGGTGGGAGGCAGTCATGTATTATTGGCAAGGGAATGTTTTGATGGGACTGAGGTAAGAGTAGAGGCCTTGAGGGAACTCTGAGGATGTGAAGCCGCAGCCTGTAGGGCTACAGGAGGGTGCTTGACTGGGACCTGAGAGGGCTTTCTGTTGGGGTGAGGAAGGCGCGGGAAGGGAACAGATATCAAGGAAGGGGATGCATGCTGGGGAGAGGGATCCCGTTGCTGCTGTGTCCTTCGTAATTTCTCCCGGACTTTTACGAACTCTGGTTGGCTCCCCCCAGGATCCCCTGTTGCTTCCTGCTGTTGATGCTGCAGACAAGAAAGAATACTTCTGTCAGATATCCTTGAAGGTTCCACTGCCAGGCATTTCCTGTCACTGCCTACAAGAACTGTAGGGAGTCCGTCCAGGTCACTTGACCCCCTCCTTACCTGTTCCCGTCTTTGCTGCCAGCGCAAAAGCTCCTGCTCAAGGGGGGATGGTTTCAAGCCACTTTCTGACCCATCCCGGCACCGATTCCGATGCTCTAGAACCTGGAGCAGCTCTGGCTTGGATCGAAGGCTCAGGCCTCTGAGAAGGGAGATTGACACAATACAGGGATTTCACTCATCCTAACCTGCGCAGATAAATGGTTGTGACAAGCATCCACCCTCACTGAGCCCATCAACAAGATAATACGTGAAGCCAGGAGAGCCCATATAAAAAACGGACAACAGTTGTTTCCCTTTAACAATAAACTTTCTCATTCTGGCTTAGTTTGCCTAATAACGTAACAATTTAGACTGGGAACAGGGAAGAAAAGTGCTATAGCAACAGAACAAAGAGAAGAAAATTGTGTATGTTTGTGTGTGTGTGTGTTTATGTGTGTGTACTGTATGAACTGTATGAAATTATACACAAGTTTCAATAAAGGATTCCCATGTATTGTCCCATGTATTGTCTAAGTCGAACAACTCATTCATAATTCTCAATGTATCAGATGTAAAGAATGTTTGGGCAATAAGGCCATATTTAAAAAATACATAGTTATCTCTCACAAAACAATGATTCACAAAGTTCTCTGCGAAAAAATCTGAAAACCATTGTCCATCTAAGCTGAAGCTGAGCATGCTAAGAAAACAAGAAATATTCCTAGATGTATCAACAAACATTGAAGATGTTTGCTTTTGGTTTTATATCAGCTTGTTGTTCCAGCCCTTTAAAAAAAACACAAACTGGATATGTAAATGTTATTTTTATAACAACATTAAATGGACCTGGTACTGAAACTGGTGAAATAACAAACTTTCCCTTCCTACTGTGTATATTCCATTCTTCTTTAAGATGAGAAACAATAATTATTGTCTAACTTCCTGAGTCATAAAAGCTTTTTAAACCTGCTATGGATTGTAAGGAAATTTGCTGTGTGTTTTGGCATTCTTACAAATTAGGACTGCAAGTACTACATGTACTTTTAATATTTGAGTAAAGACCAAGATTTATTTCTAAATAAATAGAGCTGAAGTCTGAAGTGGCTAAAGGTATTCAAGAACAGGTCATCTTACATGGGATTCTTTTCCTTCAATCACATGCCCTCAGAGCTCAGCCTTGTTGTCATTAAGATAGTAAATCTATCAGAATCTTCAGGTCTCTAAGCCACTAATTTGCAACATGATGACTCCCTTGAATTGTCCTATTGATTCCTTAGTGGCATTCTGTTGCCTTCATCCAGGATGGTTTTTCAACTACCCTAATCTAGTCTACAGTGGAGTCTCCAAGTTTGATATTAACTTCAGCATCTTCAGAATTGATAGCGTACTGCTCCATCTATTACTTAACACCACAGGTCTACCTCCATTGCCAGCCTCCTTTTGGATTTGTAAGAGTGTCTGCCTGATACTCTAGATCAGGGGTCCCCAATCCCCGGTCCATGGACCGATACCAATCCATGGCATGTCAGCAACCAGTCCGCACAAACAAGCAAATCCCCATCTGTGGGATGCAGGCAGCACACAAAACCACACTTTCCGGTCCGGGAAAAACCTTTCTCCATGGAACCAGTCCCTGGTGCCCAAAAGGTTGGAGACCTCTGCTCTAGATGATACCACCTCCAAATAGATGAATAAAAGGACACCCCATGGAGGCTTTTCCAAAGGCAACAGGACTTTTTCCTCACAAACTGAAGAAGATTCTTGGATGAGAAGCAAAATGTTTTCAGAGAAAAAAAACAAGGAAGTCCTGTTGCCTTTGGAAAAGCACCTTTGGGACAACTATGACCTGGTTGGTTGAGAATCTCCATAGAAAAATAAAAGGGCAGAAAAAAAAAATGACAGCTCCCCATTTTTTTTCCTTGTAATATTAACAATCAAGCAAAATTGATGAAAGTCTGTGGTTGCAGATGGTTCCTGCTGCCTCTGCTAAACAAGTCCGCTGATGGTCATCAAAGGAAAAGAAAAAAGATTATTTACATAAAATGGGGTATATGAGAGTGGGAAGAAAAAATGCCCTACCACCATTGCTTTACATTTTAGCTCTTGTTTATCTACTGCTGGGTTCAGTGACTGAGTAGGGGTGAAGCAAAATAACAGAATTAATGTGTTATTCTGGCTTGGGGGGGGGGGGGGATATATGAGAATTTGGCTGTGTTGCTCTCCCTCCTGCTACAGAGTACACCTTAGAGAAGTAGTAGAATAGATATCGATTTAAAACTGTCCTTTCTATTTTAGACCTCAAGAAATAGGCCAGCAAATGAGGCTTGAAAAATCTACTGGTGATCAAAGCCCAGTCTGGCTGGAGGCCAGCAAAGGAAAGAAAGGTGACTCCCGCTGTGTCTCATGGGCTGGGAATGTGAGTCAAGTTACAATTCATGTAATCCTATGCATGTCCACTCAGAAGTAAGTCTAGACTCTGTGTGTGTGTGTGTGTGTGTGGTCTTACTCCCAGGGGGGAGATTGTAGGGTTGGCATTGGGAGGATTTTGCTGGTAGAAAGGACATTATTTGGCCTATATGGACAGCCTGGGTATGAAGTGAACTCTTTGGAGAGGGTGAAACTGCATTCATAGATAGAAACAGGCAGATACTAACTATACAATTGAAGGACCTACTAGATACATATATTATTAATGCTATATTAACACAACTGTATATGCAGATAGATATAGATAGATAGATAGATAGATAGATAGATAGATAGATAGATGATGATAGATAGATAGATAGATAGATAGATAGATAGATAGATAGACAGACACACATACATGATTCACAAATGTGGATAAGGAATGACTCCTGTTCATTGCTGCTTTTCTCACACAATCTCATTTCTATCAAACTGAAAACACAAGGTAAAATATGTTCACTTGAAACAAGGGATTAATTTGAATACATTTAGGCATCTGTGGTATGTCAGTGATTGTGGCAATCTTATTGCAGAACCTTTTGATGTAATGATTAAGGTGTTGGATTAGAAACCAGGATATTGAGTTCCAACCAACAGGTTGGATTACTTTGAGCCAGCCAACCCTACTTTTTTTTACAATTACCTAAGGAAAATGGTTTTTCTCTGTTACACCTCCAACAAAATATTTGCTTTGCTACCTTATACCAGGTTTTTTAAGACTCTCCCTTGCAAAAAGTACATTATTGTTTTTATTTTAATGGGCTTTGTGGATGCCCTGATATTTTGGTGATGTCTTAGGAGAGAATATTTCATCTTTAAATAATAACTGTATGGTTGCTTGGAGTGGTCTGATCAGCTTACACAACAGCATGCCAGGTCTCTTACTTTGAAAAGTACTTCCCCATGAGGTATATATTTGGTACATCTTCTCCACTGCTAAGGAGGAAAAAGAATAATGTGCATCTCTTCCTCAAAATGCAGATTATTGATTCCTAAACAGTTGAAATATTTAGGATTTATATATAAAATGTAGCATTTTAAAGAGTAGCAACTTTACTTTGGCAAAAGGTGGCAAAATGGATAATGTGGATGATCGTGAAAATATATGGCATATTTGTTTGTCTTCAATGCACGAGCTTCTTTGATGTTTTTGTTTTGACCAACTAACGTGGCTTCCCATCAATACACAGTAAGAAGTACACAGCATTTTGGCCTAGTGTTAAATTATGGATACCTCTACTTGTGGCTTCCAGAGTAACAGCTATATTTTGCAGACTTGAAACAACAGATGAGAATGGCAGGGAAAGTGAGGCAATAGTGATGGTGGGGGGGCAGTGTCTGTGTCACCTGCACAATGTCATATGAAGTAAAAAGTAAACAGAATTGGAGGAGCAAGAAACAAATGGAATTTTCTCAGCAACAAAATGCCAAATCATAAAAGAGATTTCTTCCAGCAAGGTTGTCAAGCTTTCTCCCAACAATAAACAATAATTTACTTCAGAGAGAAAGTACCCAGACAATCTGCAAAAGTCTCAAGGGATACATCAACAACGGTCCACAGAAGCCAGAGCTTCCAGAGAGTTGTTCTGTCCAGCTTTTGGAAAGCTTATGTAGCAACAGCAGCCTGGAGCTGCAAGCCATACTTGCGATGGGTGAACAGCAACTCCCGGTGTAGGTGCTGCTGGTTTCCAGCGGTTTTGCTGGGGTTTGTGACCCGCAAAGCGGTGACAGGCTGGGCCTCAGCACCCCTGGATGTGGTTTCTGAGCGAGCAGCTAGAAGGAAGGGAGAAGCGGAATTGAGTTCACTGGGCTGTAGAAGTGAGAGACTACTTCTAGACTCCCCTCCCCATACACACAAGTCCTCACCATAAATAATGCTGTGGGATGGGGGATGAAAGCCAGGACCTGAGATTTGGCCCAAAGCCAGAGCTGGTTGGAAGTCCTAATGAGGGGGAGGAAATGGGGAACAGGGCTCTTGGTGGGATATGGCAGGTCAACCTTTCCCCATTTGAATGGCTTCATTCTCACTTTTTTTCCCCTATGCACCATCATGCTTCTTTTTAAAATTAGGACCATACCTGGGTCACCGGTTTAGTTTTAGTTCCTTAAATACCTGTATGTCTTCTGATTGACTAAACAATTGCATTTAAAGCATGTGTATTTCTCAAATTTTAGTGTCAGTATCCCTTGAGGCATGGTGCCCTTACATGATATTTTCCATTTTAATTTAATGCTTATTTTTTTTATTTCTATTTCAGAAGTACATTAGTATATTTATCTAAGCTCTGAGTGAAATTAGGTTCCCTGCTACTGAAGAGTGGAAAAAATATAGTGGCTTAAATACCCAGGAGACATAAATATTATTTAAAAGCTGAAGTATTCATTCATTTCAGTTTCACTTCTGCTAAATGATTTTTGTAACGTTAATAATTTTATTTAGTTAGAGGGTAAGGAAATAAATGAACACAATCCCACTTAAAATGTTTTCTTAAACTTCCCACAAGACATACTTGAATACTCTTTTAAAAAAAACAATTATGAACTTTTTAGCCACTAAACTTCACTTATATCATTCCATCCTCTTAGTTATTTCCTTGCAACAGCATGCACCTCATCAATCCACAGCTAATTGCTCTCACCAGACCCTTCCAGACGCGTCCAGTTGCCGGCTGTGTCCTGCTGCCATGTCACAGTGCCCATCTGTTCCACCCGGGATCCAGGCAAATGGAGGCTTGGAAGCTCCCTAGCTCCCATCTCCCCCACGAAGAGATTGGGTGGCCCAGATGCTGCCATCCCAACCAGGTGAAACAATTACATGGTCTCCAATTGTCTCTCCTGCTGCGTCTTTCTGGTCTGCCACCCCCAGCATGTGCTGGGGGAAGCAGAAAGCCAGCAAGAGTGAAACAAGATCCCACTCTAGGCAACGGAGCAGAAACAGAGCCAGGACTCCTAAAGATGCTCAGTCCAGAAACCTACCTCAGGCCTCCTGCTGTAAGGGCAAGCTCATAGCTAAGACTCTTACTGATGGCAAGTAGCTAGCTATTGTTGAACACAGATTGACCACTGGGGATCAGTGGGTGGTGTCCACCAATTGTGGAAAGGTCTTTTTCCAAGAGGGAAACTAGTATCTTTTAATTTGATTTAATATGGCCAAATGACTTAATGAAACTTCTTTCTTTTTTTCTACTATTTTCAGTTCATCCTTAAAGCTTTTCTAGAGCTACTGTGCTAAGCACAATGCAGAGCTTCACATTGTGAATTCTGTTTTTGATCACCTTTTTGATTCTGTACTTCACAACAGGCAGTAAAGCTTGCAGTACTGAGTTTTATTCAAGTTTAAGACGGTAGGTTCAATTTTACCTGGTCCAAGCAGTGCAATTTTCCTTATTTTGTTGTAAAAAAAACCCAAAAATTCACAGGAAGCAATGGAAAGAATTATTGAATAAGCTATTGACTCTCTGTAATTTGTGGTATATAATGTAGCAGGATGGGAGAAGACAGGTGGCTCTGCTGTTGGATCAGACAAAGAGATATATATGTTTTTGCTAGAAACATGGGTGCAAGATGCTTTTATTCAAAATCATTGAGACTTTAAAACACAAACCCATTTAAGACTGCAGACATGTGACTGCATAGCAAATAACAAGCACCCTTCTAACATTGCCAATTGGATGAAGGGTCAAATCTACCAACTTGAAAAGCTACCGGTTGACTTACTATGCCTTTACTATCTAGTGGTCACAGGTTTGTACAGACGGCTCTGGCAAATGATGTGGCATGCAATGATTTGCTAATCATCTTGCCCTGCCTACGAGCAATCTTGCCATGAAACAAATTACTAAGTTGTAGAGATAGATAATCATAAATTACAAACAGACTGTGAAGTGAAGATATCATAATTCTGAATGAGATTTTAATCTTAAAAAAAAAACCTTTCTCCCCAGTATGTGGATATTACTTGTAAATTATACATATAGTCAGTAGGTGGCAATACATTCCTATATGTCTCCATTACAGAGCTGTAGACACTCTGAAAATGTATGTATGTAAAGCATTGCATGATTTTTATATGGTAACTAACACCGGAAAAATTGTGAAGAATGTTTAAAGGTACTTCAAATGAACGTTGGGAATGCAAATGTAAAAAAGGAACTTTTTATCACTTTTGGTGGATATGTGACAAAGCAAAGAAATACTGGAGTAGGATTCACACCTTAATACAGAAAATTCTTAGATGAATATAAAGCTAGAACCATAGATTTTTCTTTCAGGCTTAATTTGGATAAAAAACTTGAAAAAGAACTGGAATTTTGATTTTATATATGTTGACTGCAGTAAGAATACTTTATGCACAGAAATGGAAGGATGTTTTCATTCCCACAATGGACGAATAGCTGCAAAAGTTGATGGGAGTTAGCAGTGGTGATGAAATTGACTGCTTTGACCAAAGGAAAGAATACAATTAATTTTGTTTGTACTTGGAAACAGCTTTTGGACTTTGTGCTTGTGGTGGAAAAAAATGAATCTTTGATTTTAGGTTTTGCTGATTAGATAGGTTTGTTGTTATAGAAATGCCTAGTATATATTATGTAAAAGTAAAAAGTCGAGGTTGTATGTTATGACCTTATTCTACTGTGCCAAAAGAAGTTGGAAGTCAATGCTTTTCTTGTTTTCCCTTTTCCCTTACACTTTTTCCTCTTCCCCTTTTCCTCCCCCATTTTCCCATTGTTTTCATTTTGCTTTGTATTTTTGTATTTTGATAAACTAATAAAAATATAAAATTTGCAAAAAGAATAGAAAAATACCACAATGGCAAACCAAACTCATAACTTGTTTAGCTCCTGCTCCCATTCCCGTTCCCGAATCAGCCATGGATTTCACATTGCTCTTTTATTAACATTATAAAATTCCAGTCATCAGCTAAAAATACCATCCCTTCTATAGCACCTCCTGTCCTTCCCAGGGCCTACAGGGCAGGACAGGAACCCCCACCCTTCACCCCATTTCCCCACCCTGTTCTCCTCTCCATTACAAGCACAAAAAGACCTCACAGTTGGGGAGGGAATGTAAACTTCAAACACTACAAAATAAATGTGGCTCTACAAGGGATGAGAACTTTGTGTACCGATCAATAAAACCAAGGTCTTCCACCTAGCATACACTGAGCATATTTGTCTAGGAGAAGCACCCACCCTAAGGGAGAACCAACAAACAGATGCTGGGCCAGTCCAAAGCCCCTTCTCTCTGTGTACATGGACATTCCAAACTCTCTAGCTGGCAACAAGGGCAGACAATGCTTCATTCATGGGCCTCTTCTTTTATAGCGCTCGCTGGGAAGCTGCTGATGTTTCAGCAAAGAACAATGGGCCAGACTTGCTAAATCTCGGTGGGAGGCTCAAAGGTACGTCTTAAATCCATAAGCAAAAATGAATGCCGAAAAGCGTTCACTAAGGCTTAACAGGCCCCTTGCTTTGTAAATCTGACATGTAACCACACACCCAGATTTGATTCTAATACAAAGAACCATGTAAGATTTAAGCCATCCCATCATTGCCCTAAAGTAGGAGCGCGACCACCTGCAAACTTCTCCCCAATTGGTCCCTAGCGGATATGTGCCATCTCTTCCAGGAAGGGAGTCTTCATGCAGCCTGTGCAGAGTTGATCCATCCAAAGGGGAGCCTCATGCTGCAAGGGGGTACGTCGTGGGTAAAAGGTGTAGTTGAGGTCATAATTGAGCAAACAGCTGAGGGAGGCCATATACACATCCGAAAAACGGCACAGGCGGCGAGAGAAATAGGTGGGATTGTGGCACGTGCGAAAGATACTGCCAAACTGCGGGTTGAAGAGGTTCTTGGTGAGTGCCCTGTAACAGCATGAAGAAAAGAAAGAGCGACCAGACAATCAGGATTGCTGAATTTCATTCTCCAAAGATGACTCAGTCGGCAAGGTGGACTATCTGAATAAAATACTACAAAGATTAAATCAAACAATTTTCTAAGAATCTAGGCTTTAATTTAATACAAATATTTAAGATGCATGATTTTACATTGCATTACCTTTATACCTTGAAGCCATAACTGTGAATTAGATGTTCTCAGGGTTTCTAGGGTGGACATAGCCAGTCACAGCATACCCAGTATCAGAAGGTTGGGTTCCGCCAAGTTTCTGTTTATTGAGCAACCAACTTTCCTATTTTATTCTGAGCAAATGTGTATGTGTACAAAATTGAAACTGCAGCTGGCATCATTTCTACTTTCTAACAATCTTGCAATGTAGTAGCCAGTGATTGTTTTCCAAATAAAAATGATTGCACTTTATCTTGCAGTATGTAGCTTCTTAAAAGAAAATATTAGAGGGCACTAAGGCTTATACATTGCCTGCCCTTAGCTCCAAATTGTCTTTTCATTTCTAGAATTGATCTAACATTATTTTATGGTTATAAAGATTACTAAGGTCTGGATATCACGCCTGAATATTCAAAACACAAAGTTGCTGCTGCATAGGATTGGGGTATGAAATAACAAAGTATATAAAACATATTAGTCCTCTCCATAGCCAAGTAAGAATAGAATCCAAGAAATGTTTTACCTTACATAACTGCACACAGATCATTTCCATTTATCTTTGTCAATTTTGCACTGCTATATTTACAGTATATCAGAGAATTCTGTTTCATATTACTGTATCATTAAACTTACATATTTTGTGATTAGGAATTTTCTGTATTAATAGTTTCTAAGCACAGAGTTCCTTTGCTTTATTATCAGACAATCTGAGCTAGGTTTTTTTTTCATGCAACTCAGTGGTTAAACAACCCGTAGCCCTACTATAATCTAAAGGAGCTTATGTCATGCCTAGAGCATAAAGACCAAAGGAGAGGGCAACTCTACAGACACAGAACCCTACCCTTATTAAATGGGATATGATTCACAACAGCAAAGCCTGTGCTTTTAATTCTTTCATGGAATTTTCAGTGTCTATACGTGTCAAGGTGCACATGTGCAAAAGGAAGCTATTGCTCATACCACTCAACACCAGAATAATTACTCTCGGCATAAGGCAGGAGCAGAGCTGTTAAAACTGCCAGTCATGCCTGGGATTTTCTTTAATGTGTATTTAAACTAGCTGTGACATTTCAGCTAGCTCCAAGCATCAAAGGACAGTAAGATCAGAACATAGTTTTTAAACAAATAGCAATTCCCCAGGTTTCCAAACAGCACAAAGGCAATTCACAAATGATGTTATCAATACCATTTAAGAAGCTATATTAATGTAAACAAGGGAGAGAAGATTTCCCAAAACTGAATGAAGGTCATTCTTTCTGCTGAGTGTTTGTACAGAAGCCAGAACACTATTTTCAAAAAAGGATCTGTTGCCTACTTTGTCACTTCTACATCAAAGGTGCTTTTCTTTAACAATTTAATGCATGCTTTACAAGAAAGCTTCTGAATATTTAAGATTTGAGACGAAATTTATGTTTCTCTCCCTGTTCTCCAACCCCATCAATTCATGTTTCTCTTCTGGAGCTCAAGCAGGATTCCACGTCTAGCCATTTACAGCTCGGCTTTGTGGTAGAAATTGGCGAGAGCTAAGTCATAAGAGCCACTTTGGTGCAGTGGTTTAAGGCATCAGGCAAGAAACTGGGAGTGTGGAGTCTAGTCCTGCCTTGGGCACAAAACCAGCTGGATGGCCTTGGACTAATCATTTTCTCTCAGCCCTAGGAAGACGGGCAACGGCAAACTACTTCTGAAAAATCTTGCCAAGAAAACTGCAGAGACTTGTCTAGGCAGTCTCTTTATAATCAGACAAGATTGAGAAGGGGGAAAAAATCCTTAGAACAAGAAGACAATGTAATTGTGGCCAACAGCTCACTGCAGTTTTTGCAATGGAGAAGGAGAAATTAGCTGCTCCAGATTAACTGGAGATTTATTTGCTCTGTTTTTCAAGATACTGCAACTGGTGATTTGGCTTCTAAGGGAGCAATGAGAGATTCTATTTACAAGGCTTTGCCCATCCAGAAAAAGTCAGTCAAGTAAACACAAAACAGAATTCCATGAGGAAATTACAAATATGCAATAAAGGACATGTTTGGACCTGTGTAACCAGCCTGAAACCAATCTATTAAAACTTTAAATGAAACTTGAAAAGAGGCCTAGCTAATTCACAATTCTGTTTTCCACATTGCTAATCAAATGTGTTTTAGAAAATAAGGTATACCAGAGAGAAGAGCAAAAAAATTTGCTGCTGACTGGTCTATAACTAAAATAAAGTTTTATTCTTGCTGTTGGACTGGATGCTTAGTTGTGGATGATGGGAGCTACAGCTTAAGCACAATTGGACAATATACAAAGGCCAATGCTATAATATAAATCTTTGTTATACTTTACAAAGTAGCATCTTGTAGAGTTAAGTCTACATCCAAATTTAAATATAGATTTGATGCTGGGGAGAGAAAGTGGAAAAGGTAAAATAAATTCTAAGGTTTGTTTCAACAGCATAGAGAGAATCAGGGGTTGGATCCGGACTAAACTGAACTAAAGATAAATAACTTTTTTAAAAACTAGATCAGTTAATTGAGTGGGACTCAAATTATACCAACTGTAACAAAGCTGAAGTGGGAAATCATGAATCCAGGAGAGGTGAAGAGACCAAAAAGCAGAAATAAATTATCAAACTAAAGAGGAGCTAGAATTAAACAAAAAGATTAAAACCGCCCCCCCCCCCAAAAAAAGGCAAAACCACCAATTAAGGTCCCAATTAACCCTGCAGGATTTAGAGGCCTGAGTGCTCATACTTTAATGCTGAAAAGAGCAACAGAGTATTGCATACAATTTCACGTTGTAAGAAAAAACTTAAAACCTCTGTATTCAGTAGGATGGAGGCAGTTCCTATTTGTTAATGGGCAAGCAGGAAAGTAGCTAATTTGTAAGTCTGAACCAGCATACCGAAGCCCCTGAAAAAGAAGGGAGAAGAAATAAAATACCTGAGTTCCTGGCGCTCCTTCATCCAGTCCTGCAGCACCTGCTGGGATTCGGGATCTTGAAACATCTTTTCATGAAAAGAACCAAAAAGTTAGACAGCCCTGTAATTACTGTTCCATCATCTCTCAACACTCACTAAACTAACTTCCCCTAGAATTAATTTTACCTTCCCCTGAAGCTCATTAGTCCCTCAGGTCCCATTGATTCTAAATTAACTGGCCTGAGAGCAACTGACTGTGATGCTGTTTTAAGTATTCCCTGCCCTACGTTACTCAGGAAGCACCTTTCTTCCACACTGGTTCCATCAAGAATTTGGGATCTTCCCCCTTCTGTTCCTAGCAGCCAAGCAGCATCTTGATTTTTTAACCTACCTGCATTCGCTCCAGCAATCCAGTTAAGGCTTGTAACCAAGTGAGTGCTTGGGAGTATTGCTCTGTGTTGACCATTTTTGTCTCCGTTTCTAGCTCAGGAACTATGGCCCCTGTCCGCCAGCCATGCCGCAGCATCAGGTCCTGGGACAGAGAGACATAATAGAAAAGATTTATAGGATTATGAGAGACATTATACACCGAACTCAGCCCACTCTTGTCCCAGAGCTGGGAAGAAAATCTAAAAGACCCAACTTCCACCCAAATCCTCTCTTCATGACCCAGAAGATTATGCCCAAAGCTCTCACCGCCAGGTCACTGTAGAGATGGTCGCCAAAATAAAGCACCTTGGATCCACGCCAGCCTGTGAGCCGGAGGAAGTCAAAAAGGTTGCCCTAATAGTGTAGTTAGAAATATTGCATTAGAATAATTAGAAGTCCATGGATTTAGAAGACCAACTTTTCTAGACAATATTTTATATAACAGAGGAAAAAGAGAACATTCCCCTTCATATCCTGCAGGTACAGAAAAACTAGCCCCACATTTCTCCGGGACTCAAGAGACCATATAACAATCCCCCTTTTGCCTTTTTTCTCACTTAGTTGTCCCACCTTGGCAAGTCTCCACCCTCAAACTTAAATTATTAGACCCAAGCAAGAGTTGGCAGCTGTTCTTATTTCTGTCACCCCACCCTCTGTCCCAGACAGAGATGGTAGGTAGGCTGGGTGTCTGGAAAGAGGAACATCAGTAGTAGTAGGAGGAGATCCAAAACTCCAGGAAGGTGGCATCTTTCTGGGAAGTAGGCCACAACAGATGCCCAGTATTGCCATTCCTGAAACATGTCCTCATGCTCCTGCTCTCATTTCTATACCCACAGGGCAAATCTCAAAGAAGGAAGTGGGGGAGCATATATATTCAAAGCTGATTCTGCTTGGGCTAACTGGCTGTTATGCCCTTTCAGAATAGCAACTAGAGAGGAAATTCCTCCTTCATCTCATTAGATCTCTGACTTACTATCCCTCCAAAGTTCTCCAAGAAGCTCAAAGGGGTTGAAAGGGTTGGAGATGGATAATTAGGGCAACTGAATTTCATTTTTGATGTGTGCCATTGTGCTCACAGTAAAAAAAATGTCAATAAAAATTATCTTATCGTATCTTATATGTTATCATATCTTATATGTTATCTTATCTTATCTTATCTTATATCTTATCTAGTAATTTAATAGGAGACATCACCAAGTACCAACAGCAGTCTTAATTTTTTTTTTATGCTGACGGAGTTCACCATGCTCAAGGATCAAGATATTAAAATCATATTGCATATAAGTATTATCTTGATTCTTCAGAAACACAGACCACCTAATGTCAACATTCCTTACCTGTTTATACACTTGTCCTTTCTCCAGCTTATTTATTTTGTCCCACTGCAGATCTCCATTGCTATCCAGTCGCCGGAAAGGCCTGGAAGGAAAAATGAATATCATTTGGAGAGGCTGACGGGAAGGCCTTTTGGTTTCCACCATACAAGGGGAGGACAGCACAGGAGTCCTAACATCTGACCCCCAAATCCACAGAACTATTTTTCTCACATGCATAGGCACGTATTCTCTAATGCTGGCTGAGGAATTTTGGGAGTTGAAGTCCACAGATCTTAAAGTTGCCAAGGTTGAGAAACACTACTCTATATGAAACATTAACACTGCTATATGTTACATCTATGTAACACATTTTCTACAAATTTCTGGTGAATATCAAAAGATCCCAAAGGCTAAAGTAAGTTAGGAATTTTGATTTTATAATGTATTTGTTCAGCAGCCTCTCCCAATCAAGTGCCCTCTAGGAATGTTGGACACTCATTACATAATGTTTTGACATATCTAGAGGTTTGAAAAGACATGGTATAGCGTTTAAAGTAAGTCTTGCATAGAGAATTTTTAAAAACCCCTAAGTAATGGCCAGTGATGTAAATTTACATCAGCAAGATAGGAAAGGAAATCAGGATATGCAGAGTTCTAGTATAATTCATTGCAGCCTCTCTCATACAGTCAGCAATTGTTAGTTCAAATTTTCTACTTCTACTTTTTATTGTTGCACAAAAAATGAAGCCGATGATGATTTAGGACAGAGAGACAAAAATATATATATCTAAAAATGAGAAAAACAAAGGAAGTGCTAGAATAGAGAAGTTAAAATATATGCAGGAGAAAAATTATCTCCAACAACCAGCAAATGAAATGCTGTAACCAAAGAATTCTGTCAATAGTCAGAGGCAGGATATTTTGCCCTCGTGATCTTAAAGGAACAGTTCCCTAATTTTTAGCCTGAGTAGTTTTCTTTTCATTGTGCTTTCAGGTCTAAGCTTTATCTACTCAGGGCAGTCCCCCAAAGCCACATATTATCAGCACACAACATTTGCTGATTTGTCTGCTCTCCACAGAAATTGAGCAACAATGGCAGCACTGAGAAACACACTATCTTTTTTTTTTTTTTTTTTTGCAATATTGCAGTTACAGGCCATGCCTTTTTTAAAAAAAAAACTGGGGAAGTTCTGTAAACTGCAGGGAGCATGATACTGATACAGTGATATTACTGGCAGAGGCAGGATTGAAATATCAATCCCGTCTGCCTTTTTAAAATGCATTAGGGGAGAACTAAATTCCTAGCATGCTTTTTTTTTTAATTCTTGTGAATAGATGCATTTCTGCAGCCAATCTTCAGGGGCTTGAAACACCACAAGACAAGGGGTCAAGAAAGCTAAACATGGTCCACAAATTGCTGACTTGGGTATAATTCATCAGAATGTACGTGCAGCAGTGTGCAAATTCCAATAACCAGAAAGGTATCATATGCCCTTGGGACGTGCATTAGCTCATCCTTATACAGAAACTAACACATGCAACACTCACTTGACACAGTCATTGAAGAAATGAGGCTTGTCTGCCTGGACTATGACCACATCAAAGAAGTCTCGCCAATCCTTGCCCACCATGTATCGCATCCCTTTATCACTAGGGGGAACAGGGAGAAAAAGGAAGAGAATTAGGAGGGGGTAGAGGTACTAAAAGTACAGAGTAGGGAGCAACTGTGAAACAAGAATCTCTCCAACAATCATGTTGGCTGGTGGATTTTGGGAGTTTAAGTCCATACAGCTTAAACTTCCAAGGTTCAGAAATGCTGATTTAAACTCACTAGAAAAAGAGCTGGCAAAAAAAAAAAAAAAAAGCCCTGAGCACGTTGTGCTATCATCAGCGGTACCTCAAAATGTTGCTCACCTAGATTAAATTAAAATTATAAATTAATTAAATAATTAAATTAAAACAGATGTAGAGCAAATGCATTTACAAGTGTGGAAAGAGCTGAAGGAAACCTCAGGAGATCCGGCAATACTTGAGACTGCAGCTATTTTTTATTGTTATTTATTATTATTGCTTGGTCCCTGTGCCATTCTGATAATACCTCCTTCCATCTGAAAATAAATCACCAACCACTGTCCAGTGGACTTTTGCAGCCAAGGATGAGGCAGGGAAAGGCCTCAATTTCAGAAGAATGAATAAAATGCTAGTGGGTTGAACGCACTGTTTTCCCACATAACTGAGGGTGGCAGTTATCTGGGGATTTTATTCTCCCATCCCACATTGCCAGTGAGGACCGGCGAGCAGCTAAGAGAAAGAAAAATGAGGAATGGGATATTTTAAAGAGAATCTGAAGGCATGATATGTTCAGGATAATGGTAATTAATGAATCGACCATATATATTTTCTCCTATGTGGGGATAAAAAGGAATGCCATGTACGTATTCTTGAGCTTTTGAATGAAAGGCAGAATTGATTTTTATTTATCAAATTTGGATACTGCCCAATCTCACTCTCTGTATTATATACTCGATATACACTCTTGCTGTGTATTCTGGGGTATACAGCAAAAGGCATAAAAACATAAAAAATACAAAACATGGATAAAAAGAGCCAGGTAAATGGATATAACGAGTATAAAGCTAATAATTAAATAAGAAAAAGAAAAAGAAACTCATATCGAGACAAAAAAAGTTGGAGTGCAATCCAACTCACCAGCTGAACTAAAGCTAAAATGCCTGGGGTAAAAAATGTTAAGTCTCTGGTAATTTAAGAAAAACAAAACCAATCCCAAATAGCCCAGAAGTATCTTAGAGACCAAGGCGTGCTCAAACTCACACAAAGCTGAAGGGGCTGTTGGTGATGAGGAAGAGTTTCTTGCCATTTTTGGCCAAACGGTGCAGCACAGCATAGGTCTCATCCCCGTGCAGGATGTATTGTTCTGGAAGAAGGAAGACGGACAGACGCCTTTAAGAATTACAAGTAATCCTCGACTTATGACCATTTGCTCAGCAACCATTTCAAATTACGACAGCATTACAAAAAAATGGACTTGTGACCCAGGCTTAATGTTACAGTCATTGCAGCACCGCCACTGTCACTTATCAAAATTTGTGTGTTTGGCAGCCCATGCGCTCTTATAACCACAAGGGTGCTGCTTCCCCCCCCCCCAGCTGCCTATCTTCCTCCATCTATACGCTTTTGGCCACTTTGCACAGTGGCACTTGGCAGAGGCAGCACCAGAGCTGGTGGTCAAGTAGAAGCCTAGGCCCTTCAGCAGTCTCAGCAAGCTGCCATCACTCCTAGGCCTCCACTTCAGCCCCAGCCACTGTAGCCACTGAGAAATGCAGCCTCAAGCCCACACACTGTGGTCAGCCATGCCAGCAGCATTGTGCAAGGTCCCATTGCCCCCTTGGCCTCCAGCACAGGGGCAGAGCTGGGTCTGAAGTAGAGATCTAGGTGAGACAGCTGAAGGCCCTGGGCCTCTACTTCAGCACCAGCTCCTGTGCTGCTGCTGCTGAGTGCCATTGTGCAAGGCGACAAAAAGGACATAGATCCGGGGAGAGGTGAAGGGGAGGTAGGCAGATGGCAGAGTAACAGCACCCCTGCAGTCATAAGTGCTGCTGGTTTGGGTGGGCAGTTGAGGCTTCCTGGGGTGCAGCAACTTTATGCCACACTGCTGAGCCGACCTGGGAAGGCTAAGGTTTCCAGGAGTGGCTGCAGCTTTGTCCTGCACGGTAGCACCTCCCCAACTCACACACGGCCTGCACCTAGTTTTCCAGGGCCTCCCACATCCCCTAAGGCACCCCTGAACCCCTTACCTAGAATTCCCTCTGCTAAACAACTCATGGTTCTCACTTAACAATGGCAGCTGAAAGCGCCAGGATTGCAGTCGCTGATGCAGTCAAATGACAGCTTGCTTTACAGTCTCATTGCTTAGGAACCAAAATTCTGGTCCCAATTGTGATTGTAAGTCAAGGAATACCTGTATGCCATAACAGTGTTTCTCAACCTTGGCAATTTGAAGCTGTGCAAACTTCAACTCCCAGCATTTCCCAGCCAGCATGGCTGTGGAATTCTGGGAGTTGAAATTTATATAGTTTAAAATTTTCAAGGCTTAGAAATACTGCTATAGCAGATACTCACCCAGATCCTGCATAATCCACTTGTACATAAAGCCTTTAATGTGAACATCCCGGATGGCATCCTGTGGAAATGATGGAAGAAGAAAAGAAATGAATTCCAGGAATAAATGTTAACATTGTAGGCCCTGACATTTCTGCCTCTGGGCTGCATTTCAACATGTGTAGGGAGACCACATCAGTGTTATGCTTTATGCCTCTCCTCTGCTTTTTATTTCTTTAAAGAATAAACCAGAAAACAATACTCAAGGTTTGTGATCTGATTTCCTCTTTAAAAATTAAAAAAAAAACTTTAAATAGCAGTAATGATTATGTGTTTGTGTGTATGTGGTTTAGATAACCAGTAGATAATTGTGGTCTGAGGGAGTGACAGTAACTCTGCTTTGTGGATAATGATGATCACATATATCCTTTTTTATTCTTTGTTCTCAGTATTTCTATACATGTTTCATCAACAAAAAAAGTAACTGGGTAATCACAAGTAACAATTAAAACCACAAAGTAAAACATGAAAATAGATATAACCTTTAAAGCAATTAAAACAACATAATAGAACCGTAACAAGACAAACGCAGAAACAAATACTATCTTAGAAAGAACTGAAAGCAAAAGATTTGGAAAAGAAACCTTCATCTGTCCTTGTGGAACAAAACATTAAGCAACTTGTATTTGTGTGTTTTGCACATATGCAAATAGCAGCCTGAAAGAAGGTTGAGAAGGTTCACTTGATCTGAAAAAACCCCAAGGCTGTTTCTAATCATTTAAAAATGCATAGGAAAAAAAGGCATTACAGAGTCTAGCCAAATCTGTTTTTTCACATTAGCCTTGCAATGATTAAAAAGTCAGATTTTAATCTTGAAGTTGCAACAAAATTCTTTATTTGTTGCAAAAAGAAAAGGCTGCGTGTCTAGAAATATTTAAAATACAGAAGATCTTATCTGGTTTGGTTGTCTCCATTTCCCCTCTCCCTCATTATTGTTTATTTCTTCCTCAATTCCTTTCAAAGTATATGATGTTAATTTTCAGGTTGGTTTGGGGTTGGGGGAGAATGAGCCACAGTGGGGCTACTGACATATATGTACTATAGAACAGGACATCAGTTTCTGTGGACCGTTCTCTCTCTTTCCTTAAACTGTTCAGCACAGCATGTAACCTAATCTTGTCCCCCCCCCCTCTCTTTCTCTCTCTCTCTCACACACACACAGAGGAACGCAGATTAAATGATAACCTCTCAATGTTAAGTAAACTTCAGAAGTGCCATTCACATTTCTCCGGTGGTAGACTAGGGTTCTGCAGGTGGGACAAAGCTGAAAACAAGGGCAGGAGCAGGAAAGAACGGATTGACATTTATGAGAATGCCAATTCTGACCTCTTGCCCAGAATCAGGGGGCTGGACAGGCTCCAGAGAGGCAGAGAGACAGAACAGATGGTTTTTCCCCGGTCTCTAACTTAAAAAAAAAACATGCTGAAAACATAAGCTGAGGGGCCCTCAATACGTGCGCCTGCCTTCAAGCAGTTGGGTTTAGAGATAAGCCTTCCGGGCAGCTTTGCAGGCAGCACGTCCCAAGTCCTCCTCCAGCTTGGGACAGCTTGTTCCTCTCTGGTGAGGTACGTCACAACCTCCTATAATAAAGGCTCTATTTAAAAACAGAATCGGGAACCAACAGAGCTAATGCAGGTCTTTAGAACTCCAGGCCCTAAAATCTTGCCATTTTGTGTAAGACAAACCACACAGGACACTATGTCCTGCAACACCTCCCAAAAGTAATTGCCAGAATCCCACCCCCACTCAGAACTGGGAAGAAAACACACAGCTGCCAGCCAACAGCACTTCCTCCTCCTCCTAACTTTCAACATAGAAGTTCTCCTAGACAAACAAGAGTGAAAAGGGAGAAGCTTGCCAAAGGGGAATGAAGTACATACCGTAACATCTTTGTAGAGATGGATGGGGTCATAATCAATATCATTGCTGATGAAAAAATCATTGGCTACAGCCAGGAGTGTCATTTCTGGCAGAGAGAATATGTCCATGAATTGCTTAACAGCAGGGCCCTGGAAGGAAAAGAAAATGAAGGCGAGGGATACAAATTATTAGACTATTAGGCCCTTCCTTTTCAAAATAAGAAGACATTCATTCATTTAGTGTTAGCTCTGAAGGATTTCTGTAAAAATTAAAAATTACTCAGTTCTACCCTCTGGCTTTTTAGCAAAAACACATACACCGTTAACCTTCAAAAAGCAGAATTAAGAAAGTCAACATTTAGGTTGATCCAAAACAATCTGGAATTTGGAGAAAGATAGATTAAGTGGAAAGTGCAGAGAGAGAGAGAGAGATTAGATATAGGCTATTAGAAGGAAAGTGAGTAGCAACTTCCAGGGAAGAAAAGAGAACTGAAAACAGCTACATTAAAGCAGAGCTGATAATCATGGTGGAATGAAGAATTGCTCTTGGCAATTCCTCCCCCCAAAACTTGAGGACTTGAGATTGCCTACAAATGCTCCAGACAATTGCTCCTTGCAAAGAGACCACAAAATAGTGGTCTACGGTGAGTTCAGAGCTTTGGGGGATAAGGAAAAACTATCTACAATCAAACCACAGTCGGCATCTTTTGAAAGGACACTAGTTTTGCATACTTCCTTTTCTAATCACTTTTGGTAAATGCCTTTTGCCTATTAGGAATCATTAGATCAAGAGGTTTTACAGAAGTGAGTTTCCTTCAATCCATAGCAAAAATCAAGTTTAACTTTAAAGACTTAAAATTATTTTGGAATGAACAGCAAAAAATGATTAAAACTTTGATTTTAGAAAGTTAGAAAAGAACTAAGGATCCAAATAATTTGAAATAGGATTTTGGAATGAATCATAAAGAATCCTTTCCATGGGAAAATGCTTTTGTTTTGAATTTAAAAAAATAATAAGACTTTAAAATTGGACACTAGAGGGAATAAAAAGGAATTAACGATTATACTTAAATTTGACTTACTAGTACAGAATGGAGCAAAATACCTTAACAGTGGACATACAGGAGAATATTTTTGAACAATGGACCCTGAAGGTAATTTTAAGTATGTTTGCTTCTATAGATAAGATTGTGTTTGAAAGATGTTATGGAAGAGGAACAAGTTTTATTAGACAGGATGAGACTAAACTGAAAGTGGATTTAAAACAGTCTACAAGAATGATATGGAATAAATGTTATTCCGGATATATACAAATAAGATCTGTTGTATTTTAAGTTATTAAAATTGTTTATACTTGTGACAAAAAAAAGCCATTTCTTTATATATTTATTTTCTTTTTCTTAACTATATTCTTTCTTCCTTTTCTATTTTCCTTTACTATTTTTTTTCTTACATTATAGCAGTTTTTAACTTTTTAATTGTACTTTTTAATAAAAATATTATAAAAAAGAAAGAATATTGACACTAAAATTGCAATGATACTACCAAAATTCAGAGAAAAGTAAGTGTGCTTTTGAGATTTGTTGGGCTGAGAACTGCTGATGGGAAAAAAGAAAAGAAGGGGTAATGCACAACCGCTTTGACCCACTTGTTTCATCTTACATTCAATATCTGGAGCAATCAAAAGATTCTAGGTTTGGCTCTACCTAACTATAACATGAACATGATATAAAGTTTGCTCTAGTTCAAAAGAATATATTTTTCCCATTTCATGTACACCACTAATATGCAGATGAAATAAAGACAATCAGCCTAGATGTCATCCAATCACGCAGCTTGTCTGGGAATGGAAACTCAGCATGGGAGTAACACCTTTAGACAGCTCTGGGAATTCTACCTTTCCATAGAAGCCACTGGCTTGGTGCAAGGGAATATGATGGGTGCCATCATACATCTCCAGAACTTCATCATCTGGAACAGGTTTCAAGCCCCTGCACAAAGTTAAAAAAAAAAAAAAAGAGAGAGAACAGAGGTGCTTAGAATTACAATAACAGAGTATGTTTAGCAGTTAGATCAGTGTTTCTCAGACTTGGCAGCTTGAAAATGTGTGGACTTTAACTCCCAGAATTCCTGAGCCAGAATTCTGGGAACTGAAGTCCACATATTTTCAAGCTGCCAAGATTGAGAGATACTGAGTTAGATTATAACAATATCTTATAAGGTATTCTTGTAACAGCATCACAGTAGGCATCAGACATTTTGCAACTCACGATAATTCTTGGGTCACACAAAATGAAATGTCAGCTATAGAAGGACAAGAACTTTCACAGGCATAATAAAATACATTCTAATGCAGACATATAACAGTTAAGTTCAATTCTGACCCAACATGTTGTCATTAGGCCAACCAGTTTGAAAATTAGAAGCCAGAACATTATATGAATGCTTCTACCCAACTTCATGCAGAACAAGAAATTCTTCTTTCCCTTGCCTTGTTTGACAATAGTTGGGATCATGTATTTATTACTGCTAAACACTATCAGTGTAAGCCAGACAAGGAAGAAACACAACATTTCCCAAGGCCTGTTATAAATTTGCAAACCATGAATTGCCAGAAGCTAGGGTAGTGTCTGAACTTGACCAACCCAGCCATTTGGAAACCAAGATGATGAATACTTACCGATACACAGTACCCAATTGAATGTAGTGAAATGCATCTATCTTCATGAGCAAGCCCTATAGGGGATAGGGAAAAGTGAAGTTAGGACCCACATAGAAACTTTAGGATCCCTAACCCTTGCAAATAAATTTCATAAAAGTTTTCAGGCAACTAGCCCACATTCAACAAAATTGTCCCTTGGATTCTATACTGTCAGCTACAAAGAAATAAAAAAGGATCATTGCTTTTTTGTCCTAAGCTTACAAGGGACCTTCAACAGATGACTTATATGCCATAGTTATTCAGAAAAGTAGCTACTGGATAATGAAGGCAGTAGCATTTACATGACTTAGGCCGCAATCCTGTGGCATTTGGGTTGGATATTTTGAATATTCTTACATTTGTGCAAAGAGCCCCCAAAGTACTATGGCATTCTAGAACAGGGGTCCCCAACCCCCGGTCCATGGACCAGTACCAGGCTGCAGCACACCAGCAACCGGTCTGCACAAACAACCAAAGCCCCATCCACGAGATGCAGTCAGCACACAAAACCACATTCCCTCCGGTCTACGGAAAAACCTCTCCCCACATAAGCGGTCCCTGGTGCTCAAAAAATTGGGGACCTCTGTTTTAGAATGTAAGATCCCCTGACCTTCTCATTCCAGGAAATAAATCTGCATCAGACTTGGAGCTTCATGGATTTATTCCTTCCCATTGGTTCTCATGGTGACTCCCCACCCCTCCACCTCTGATAATCTGCCATTTTGGATCCTCAAATTAAAGGTTTCTGGGGAGTTCATAGAAAAAGCAAGCAACCACACACACACCTCCGACTTTACAGACAAATTTGCTAAACTCCCAGAAACACAAATGACACCCTCTCACCTTTGCAATGTCATAATGTAAGCCCCGTACAGCAAAGTTAGGCCAGTATTCATACTTCAGGATGCCCTTTGGATACTGATGTGATAAAACAAAGAGAAGTATGTCACCATGTGCAATTTTCTAAGGAATTTAAGTTAACTATTTTTTCTTGAACAATCAACAGAGCAAACTGCATGGAACCATTGGATACAGTTTTATCAGGTACATAATCGTGGGCTTTCTAAACCAAACCATAAACAGAGCGATAGGGAAATTGAGAATGTGCATGAAGAATCAAGCAAGGCAACAAAGAGGCAGCCATTTTGGATCTCTTCTCTCATTGTAAAGGACATGGAAGAAGTACTGTGCATTTAAGGAGGAAAAGCATCTTTGAGCATAGTCAAAAATCCCAGCTGATTCAGCTTTCCTTTATCTGAACATTCTTTTTGACATGTATCAGAACATTAGAACACAAAAGACCAGTTTACATGTGGACTTGTAAGCAAACAGATATTGCCCTCTCCTATCATGTCTACCCAGGCCAAAATGCATTCAAGCTATCCTCCTTCACACACTTTCTAACTTTATTTACTAGCGTAAGGAGAATGATAATGACTATTTGCCACTATAAGCTCAATTTGAGAGCTGTCATTCAGTATCATTCTTGGTTCTACTGATAGTAAAAATTTGGTCATTTTCTTAGTATTTGAGTTCTACTGGGCAAACCTTATCATTTTATTTTTGTTTCTACAAGAAAGTAATTTTTTGAGCAATTAGTATGTTAAACTGGCTGCTATTGTCTTCTTTTGGAAAATGTGGTTTTAAAAACAGTATTACTCTTAATCAGCTATAATCTCAGAAATAATAAACTTTTGAGATTTTACAAAAGGAATATAATTCGCCTATAATGGCTAAATGCCAACAAATACAACTACAGGTAGTCATTGATTAATAACCTCTTGTTCAGTGACCATTCAAAATTACGACAGCACTGAATGAGTAATGGTTACATCTGGTCCTTAAAGTTCCAGCATTCCCAGCATCTATGCGGTCACAATCTGGCATTTGGCAAGTGGCTTGTACTTATGGATGCTCTCCCCACCCACTCAGCCTCCCCAAGTCCCTCTGCATTTGTGTTGCATCTCCCCAAACACCCCTGCACTCTCCCCAAATTGGCAGCAGCCACCCCAAGACCTGCTGGGCTCATGCCAAACCTTCACACCATGTACGACCCCCTTGTTCCCTCTCCTACCCAGCTACAACCACTTACTTCCCAGCTAACATGCTTGCAAGCAATCTGGAACTTGCAAACTTCCTGCCAGCTTTCCCGCTGGCAGGAAGTTCCAAGGAGGTGCTCACTTAATGAACTACAATTTTCACTTAACCATGGCAATGGATTACCTGTATAATGCTTGCTGTCTTTATTGTTTGGCCTCCACAACCCTGAATATTCTAGAAGCACTGAGCATACTGAAGAAGGATTTTAATGAGTTTAACATTTATTGCTATTGTCATTTATAGAAAGAAATTTGGACACTATGCAAGAACTGGAACAAAGAATTAGAAGTATCCTATATTACCGAATTAGAGTGCCACTTTGAGGCATCACTGGACAACGTGAGGCTGTGAGTTCTAGTCCTGCCTTATGTACAAGCTTTGATCTTAGACCAGTACCTCTCTCTCAGTCTTAAGAAGAAATCAGTGGAAAGGCACTTCTGAAATCTTGCCAAGAAAACTGCAGGGACTCATCTAGGCAGTTGCCAGGAGTCAAAGCCCACACACACACACACACACACACACACACACACACACACAAGCCCAATTAATGATTTCAAGTTTTATAGCATGTCAGATATGTCTCATGTGATTTAAAAGCTCAGCTGGTTGTCTTCCTTTTATGCTGGAAATTTAATAAAGTGCTCATATTGTGGATGAATGAAAACTGAACTGTCAGCCTTTCAATTAGTTAATTAAAAATGAATTCTTCCATGTTTACAGTAATTTATTTGTGTGGCATTATGTAACAGCTTTTTTTATTTACATTTTTCTTTTTGTTAGTACCTTTTTATTCAAGTTAGTTTAGGTTTTCTTTTGCTTTCTTCAACTTATTTTATTATTATGTAGGTTTTATTATAAAATATGCCACTTATTATATAATTGCTGTACAGCTAAAAACCTTTTTAAAAAGTTGCTTCCCACTTGTTCAGTTTCTAAGCCAAGGACACCAGAATCCTAACTGCTTTAATAGTTCGTCAACAAGAAGAAAAAATTCCCAGATCAGAGGGTACCTTATACTGCTCCACTAGGATGTCCCTAGCAGTGTTGTAGATGCGGGAGTGGAGTGCGGGAGAGTACAGAGCTAGGGTGTAGTCATAATCAAAGCCGTAGACGCCGATGGTACTCAGTGAAATCTCATTGTTGGCGTAGATGGTTGAAGGATTCAGAAGGTTGCAGACACCAGGTGGGAGCAAATCTAAATCAAGAAAGAGAAGCATGGAGGACAAGCTATCATAGCACATGGTTGCTACAAGCCAGTTTGGTTAAGGCTTTGTAGGAAATAAGGAAGATGATCTTGACTAAGTTATACAAGCTCCATTGCCAAAGTGAAAAGGATAAAACTTATCTGAAATCCACAACAGCCAGATAACTTTTGGAAGTGACTCAGCTCCTCCCTAATTCATTGAATTTAAAATGGAGTAAGCAACATAATAAAATCAGACTAGCATGATTCTGCTATTATAGCCAATCTCAATTAAAAGTGGTTTTAGTCTTCCTGTGGAGTTGATTTCCTGGTCTGAACAGCCTAGCAAGGCTAACATCAGTCTTGCAATCTGGCAACAGAGCTTGCATACCTCCATCAAAGTTGTCTTCCTTGTTCTCCTCAGATGTTGAATCAGAAAATAGGAGATTGTGAGTTCTAGTCCTCTGTTAGCTGGCAGAGTGACCTTAAACCGGTTGTGCTCTCTCATTACAACCCTCCTCACAAGATTGTTATTGTGGGAAACTTTAATTATACAGAAAAACGTGGGATATAAATCAGTCCATCAAACAAACCTTCCACATGGATAAACATCTCCTATCAAGTACTATCTCTTACAATGTACCAAAAGAGTTCAAAGAGGGAAGGAGGGGGTAGAAAATAAGATGGGTTAAAGGGAATATATGGTACTTTACTTCTATGTGAAGCAGGAAACTAAGAAAAAGGAATTCAGAGATTGTGAGAGGATTGGTAAAGGGGGCATCTCATTTCTATTACCAGAAAGGGAGACATCAAAGCAATCAGAGAGATCGTTTTTTTAAATCCACTTTCAACTCAGTCTCAATTTTGTCAAGTAGGACTTTTTCCTCTTCCACAATATCCTTTAGATGTAATCTATCTATAGAGGCAGACACTTTTTAAATTAACTTCTGGACCCACTGTTTAAACCTATGCTTCAGTATATCCAGTGTTAAGGTATTTTGCTCCATTCTGTGTTTGTAAATCAAATTTAAGTATTCTTCTTTAATTGTAATCTTTAGTTCCTTCTGTTTGCCTCTAGTGTCTAATTTTTAAAGCATTATCTTATGTTGCTTTTTAAAATTCAAAATAAAAGCATTTTTCCCATGAAAACAATTCTTTATAATTAGTTCCAAAATTCCACTTCAAATTTATTTGGATCCTCAATCCATTTCTAACATTCAAAATTTTTTGTAATTGCCCCTTTGCCTTTTATTCCAAAATATGTTTTAAATCCTTAACCTTATACTAAAATGTATTTTGCTAACGATTGAATGAAACTCGCCTGGTTCTGTAAAACCTGTTGATCCAATGATTCCTAATAGCTGTTGACAATGATTTCCTAATGTAATTAGAAAAGACATAGGTGAACTTAGTGTTCTTTCAAAGGTGCCAACTGTGGATTGAGGAAGATGGCTATTCCCTCATCTTCTAGAGTTCTAAAGCTGCTAGTTTCTTCTATTTTGTTATGAGGAGTAACTGTCTGGAGCACTTGTGGCTGCTCTCAAGTCCTCTCCTTGTCTGGAAAGGAATTGTAAAGAACTAGTCTGCTCACTGGCTCTCCCACTGTGACAGTCAGCTTCGCTTTTTGCAGGGCCATCTTCAGTCTATTTCTTCCTTGGAAGTCATAAACTCTGAAATCCCATCCAAGCATCCATGCCTCACTCTTCTTCAAAGAAGCTCAGGGAGTTACAGAAAACTGGTTGAATACAGACATTACATTTGCCCAGAGGGATCTGTTGAACTTTATAGCCAAGACTCAATTTACTTATTTTGTTGTTTTTACCTCCTGCCCAAATCAATGGACTCAGAATGGGTTACAATACATTAGAAATCATTTTAAAAACCCACCATAGTAACAAAGGATCCCCCAAGATGGACAGCAATTAATGCTAGGCTTAAGGGGTTTAAGACGATGAAATTAAACTGTTTCTATTATGTTCTAAATCCTATGAGGTAAGAATCATAGGATTTAATCTTTATAATCTTAAATTACTTCTGATTTTAATGTTAATTTTAGTGATATTGTACACTTCCCAGAGCCACTCTCTGAGGGAGATAGGCAGTTAAGAAATAGAAAACATAAATATAAAATAAATGAGGCATTACAAATCATGCTTTAAAGTTATTGCTGTTTATCAACATCCCATTCCAAACATTTTGTAAAGTATACTAAAACTCAATGTATAGGGCAGCAATTCAGCAGTGTCCCAACCCAAAGCCATCTTGCATCACTGCCAAATAGGAGAATGGGAATGCCAACAACAATATTACATAGTACACTATGTTGTGCTAAACAGAAGTCTATCCCAAACACTTCAGGAATATTCTAATTCAGAGAGTCACCCAGCTTCCTTCTAGATATTTTGGTCTATATATATTCCATAATCCCTGGCCACTGACCATGTGGCCTTGAGTTTATGGAGCTTTAGTCCAAAACAGCACCAAGGAGTCAGATTTCCTATACTTTCTTTACCTTTCTAGTTTTTTGCAGCCTGCATTTTGCTTTCAATTAATATGCTTAATTCTTGTAAGACTGGTTGCTCGTCTTTGGCCCACTTAATGGGTATACATAATGTGTTTTTCTTATTTAAAATGGCAGAGTTCATGGTTCCCCCAAGGGCAGGAATGTCAACTTCAGACAGTTTTAAAAACACTCTGGCCAGCACATAGGCATATGTTATATTTTAACAAACATTTATCTACAGATTTTGAACCTGCCCATTTATACAATCATGGCCCTGCCTTTGTGGCCTCAGCTGTCAATTTTAAAAAATGTGCCCTTGCTTGTTTTAAAGTTATCTATCTGTCTATATTGTTCTCTATTGCAAAGAATATTTATGAAGAAAAGATGCAAAGAGATGTTGAATTAGAACAGTTTATCCTTTGCTTTTTATAAAATCATGACCAGAAACATAATTGGATGTTCCTAATTAGCCACCCTACTAAATAGGCTAGCATTTAATATACACTGATACAGCTTCTAATAATTTCTCATTCTAATAATTTATTATGAAATTTATCTGTTTGGTACATTTGATAGCTAGAAATGATCGCTGCTGTAGAGTTTTATCATAATCCTTAAATCTGTTTTTCATACGCAGCTACATTTTCTGAAACATACAAAATTATATGGCCTTCATCAATTGCAGCAGGTCTTCTCATCACTAAGTAAAACAACCAGATTCCATGCATATGCAGAAATATTACGATGGCACTTTAATAGATCTGAGCTATCTGTAAATCAGTAATATGAAAGTGTGACCTACTAAAATAGTATCAATGCACTCCCCTTGTAAATAATAATTATTAATAAATGAATAACTATCGATGTTCCACTGAATTTTCAATAACTAAAAAAGAGTTATTTGGAAGCAAGAATTCTGTTTCTTTTGAGATTAAGGAACAGGTTAAAAATAAACATGCAGATACATGAATATGTGGCCTAACAGGTTTAGAACTGGAATTATCTTTTGTTGGGAGAAGTTTACTACTAACTTTCAATGGCAATATCCAAAATGCAATATTTGTTGCTTTATTTATTTAAAAATTCAGATATAGGCTGAGGTATTGGATATTGGGACAGGGATAGCTTGAGAAAAAAATAGGTACTTGCTCAATTTTCTTCTCTACTAGCTTTCAGGCATAGTATATTAAAGATGAATAGTACCAGAATTAATATTTATTTACGTAATACTGGATTTTGTCTCCTTATCTCTTCTAAACTTTTATTTTTCCTTTCTGGAACATTCTCCTCCCCTCACTTCAGAACTTGCTTGAAAGTTTTTGCTTCTTCCTGCAAGCTGGATAGTCATTGCTACTAGAATCAGAATCCAATTTTAGTCTAATTTATCAAGGCAATTGTTATACTTTTCAAGGATGAGCTACCTAAACAACATCAATGACACCAGACTCCTAACATAGCATAGATTTTGATGCTTCAGTTGTTTTGTGATTATGCAACTGGAAATCTGAACTGGTTGGCTTTTCATATGCAAGCTGACTGGTTAATAGCAGAAGCTGACATTTGTCATTTGATGAGTCAGCTAATTTCAAAGTCCTGGGGGAACTTTTCCCAATCCTTCCTGCTTAACTCCCTGAAATAGGTTTTACTGAAAATGAGGCTTCTCAGTTATAAAAAAAACAAAAGCCAAACAACCCCTAGGATGAGTAAGATCTTTTTCCCGACAAATAACAGTGGGTCAGGCAGTCAGGCAGTGACAGTGCAATACTGTACAGACCCGTTAATGGCACAGCTTATTGGGAAAGAACTGGCAATATGTAGGAAGGAAGCAGAAATTGTATACACATGCAATGCAGAGGGCAGCAGAAGGAGGAGAAAGGGGAATTGGGAGAGACGTGGCAGGCTTGTTAGCAGCCAGAAAGAAAGAAGTCAGCAAATAAGGAAGAGACTTGGATAATCATGGATTTCCAAAATAAATATTTTGATCCTAGCACACAGAGACAAAACCAGCCAACTTTCTTTCACTGAATATTAATTTGAAAAAAAAAATCACTGCTGCTACATGAACACTTCAGCATTAATATGAATCCCTCACAGCATGACTATACCAAAAAGGAACCGAGAAGCGTCAAGCCTTGTAGATAACTCTTACGCCTTAGAAACATTAAGATGCTGCCTTATACAGAATCATAAATAGCATGTGACACCAGCTTTAAGTTGTGTTGGCTGGATATGATAGCAGCTATCATGTAACAACTTTGGAGTGCACAAATGCATTCTTTTTTCTTTTGTTAGTTGCATTAACTATCCAGCACCCTCACAGAGCATGGGCTGACCTACAGCAAGTATGATCTCAAGATCACACATTTCTCAAACACAGTGGTTCTCAACCTGTGGGTTGGGACCCCATTTGGGGTCCAATGATCATTTCGGGGTCGCCAAACAACGCAGTCCGCCATTTTTTTCCCCTTTTCCTTAGCTGTGCTACTCCCTTTTATTCTGTTGGCTTTTGAAAGCCAATAGAATAGACTCTCTTGAATAGAGTCTAATTCTATTGGCTTTCAAAAGCCAATAGGAATTGTCCAGGCTGTCTCTGCCCTGCTGACCCCGCCAAAAGTCCCATTCTGCAAATGGTGCTGCACCAGTTGAGTAGTCCTCAACTTTCGACCGGTTGAGTAGTCCTCAACTTACGACCGGTTGGGGTCGCGGCATTAAAAAGATTGAGAACCACTGCTCAAACACCTTTTTAGTGGCCCTTACTCCCATCCTAAATCCTTTGTGCCACTGCAATTTGGCAGTGGCCCCAACTATATTAATGCTGTTTCTCACCAGTCAGGTGGGAAACTCAGAAAAAAGTAGTGCATGCTTTAGCATAGGCATAGGATTTGTTTATCCCAAAAAGAAGAAAACTACATTTCTGTAAAAAAAGGTAAGAATGGAACAGATTACCCCATGCATAATGCAGCCCTACCAACTGAAATGTTGCACCACTCTAAGGCTTAAGTACATTCCCCAACACTCCTCAAAAGTTGACCATCTGTGTTGTGGATAGAGTGGACTCTTAAACCATTTGGAGCAATTTTCCTTAACCTGGATAGATGTGCTTGGACCATAACTCCAATGATCCCCAACCAACATCTGAAGCACCACTCTATCTTTACACAAATTTGAACTCCTTTGCTCTGAAAGAGATTATATCTACTACTACACAGAGGGAGAATTCCAAATTGCCGGCCTGCCATTGCCAGCAATGGGGGAAAAAAAAGTCACTCATGTGATTTTGCAAGTCTGACACCCCTGTTTTAGATCATGGCTGGCTGGAGTATTCTGGGAACTAAGGTCCACAAGTCTTAAAGTTGCCAAGGTTGGATACCCCTGTTCTAGATAATAGACAACAGATGATAAAGAGATGAAATATCACAGACATGCTTTCAAAACCCAGGTCTAGCAACTATAATCTTAGAAGAAACTTTCCTCTGACAAAAGTGGGATCTTCTTTTCCAGGGTCATGCTTAAAGAACAGTTAGACCAGGGGTAGGCAACCTTGGCTCTTTTATGACTTGTGGACTTCAACTCCCAGAATTCCTGAGCCAGCCATGCTGGCTCAGGAATTCTGGGAGTTGGTCCACAAGTCATAAAAGAGCCAAGGTTGCCTACCCGAGTTAGACATACCAGCTTTTGAAAAGCAAAGATAACATGCTTTCATATACTCTCCCAAATTATTGCTGTTTTGCATGCAGACTTTAATCTGCTGAAAGAGTGCTAACTTCAGTGGAAAAGTCCACCAAAGCTGCAGTTACTGGGCTTTCTCTACTGCTGGAGTTGAAGCACTACTCACCCATCCTTCAGTTTGCAGAACAATTAAATGCACTTTGAAACTCTTAAAACGAATGGTACTGGAGTGAGAAAATACTACTTTAAACCTGAACAAATATATTTCTGGTGGGCTTTAGATGAGATAAAGGGAACCTGGAGGCAGCAAGAAAAAATGTTGTTGGCCTTGGTTAGATGCAGTAGGAAAAGCTGTTGCAGCCAGAACAGACACTTCAAGCACCTTAAAAAATAAATGATTAATTCCTTAATGTCAAGAGTCTTGTAACACTCTATCAGCTGGAGATATTAGTTGCATGAAATGTTATATATAGTCAGCAGAAAAAGCAACGTAAATAAGATTGTGGGAACATATCATAGTAAATTGACCTTCAACGCCTGATTCTCTATTGTTATTCTTTTCTTCCCACTAAGTCCTCCCTACGAACCAGACACAAAGCGATACTGTATAAACTTGCTACAAATCACTCCCTCCCACCCCCAGCACGTCCAGCAAACTAGGGGGAGGGAGGGAGGGAGAGCGGGGATAACCCAGCCTGAATGCCTGGGGAAAAAACAACCAGACCCCGGAGCAAACCTCAAATTCCAAAAATAGATGGAGGAGGAGGAGGAAAGGCAAGGCGCGAAAGCCATCAGATTCATTACAAGGGTGCAAAGGAGAAACCGAAGTTCTCATTTAAAGGGGCGACAAATTACAGTCGGGCGTTCAATTCTCGAAAGCAGATTTTAAGGGGAACGAGAGAAGAAAGCTCTCGATGAAGACCCCTTTCGCCCCCTCAAAAAAGCTCTGTCAGATCAAGAGGGAGGCGACAAAATAAGGAATGGGGCAAGCAACGATCAAAAACATTTTCGACGTGCAAGCTCGGGCGTGCGCAAAAAGCCTGGCATCCAGCTTGGCACTCAGGAATACGAGAAGCTGAATACGTGGATCACTGAGGTACTCCGGGTGGCGTTTCGGAGACGAATCGCCCCGTTGAAAGCTTTAGGAAGGGAGACGTCTCGAAGTTAACGGCCCTAAACGGGAGCCTGTTCAGAAGGGAGAAAAAGGCTTGGGAGACCGAAGAGGACAATGAAGCGGCCCCGCCGCGGGGAAGACGGAAAGAGAGTCGAAGTAAAGGGACTTTCGATGGGAGGACCTCCCCGGTTTCCGAAAGCAACTTCCGCAGGGGCTCTCCCTCACCCACAAAGCGGGAAAGGTCTCGCTCCTATTCGGCGACCCACCTTGCACCAGCCGCTTCATCTCGCCGTACCGCGCCCAGAGAAAGCTCTTGTTGTCCGGTCCCGGAGCTGGAGCGCTCGAGAAGGCTCGGGCGGCCGGGTCTTCCTCTGCCGGGACCCGCCGGGCGTGCGGCTTTTTGCTGCCATAGGGTGGGCTAGGTTGGGGGGCTTGCGCCGCTGCGGCGGGTACCTCGGCCCCGAAGCGAGTGCAGTAGGAAGCGGAGGGGGCCGCCAGGCGCACTAACCATCCGGCACGCACGGCGGCCCCAGCCATGCTGCAAGGAGCGTCTGGGAAGCCGCCTTCTGCGGGAGAAGAAAAAGGCAGCCAAGAGGCTGGGCAGGGGGAGGTCGCTCCGCCCCCGCGAGGGAAGGGCCTAGCTTCAGGCCCCCGGCCCGCTCGGACGCCCGTGGCCGTCGAGGGGCTGCCCCCGCCTTGCTGCTCTGTCTATTGTAGCTTCAGCTTTTCCTGGTTTCTTGGAAGTCAGGCTTCCCTCGCTCTTTCCCCCAGCTGGGCTATTTGATTCAGTGGAGGCATTTTCTCCTGGAAAAGGATAGAGTGTATGGGATCAAAAATCTAAGACGTCGGATCTTAAAACACAATAAAGAAAAACGGCGAAAGGTGAGGATGGTGGTTGTAGCCACCGTGGGGCTTCCCCTTCGATTGGTTGTTCCTGTTTGGTCAGGGTTACAAAACTGGAGGGTTCGTTGGGAGGGCAACCCCCCCCCCCCCGTAGCCGTATCTGAATAAGTTCCCAGCCATATTTTAGCTCAGGAATCCAGCCAGCCTGTGTGATCAGTTCATGGCTCATCCATAACATTGGATTAACTAAAGGATGGTTAATATAATGCAACCTTCCTGCGACTTTTGTTCATTTTTCCTCCCACATACTGCTGACCTGTCCACTGATGCCCTAAAGATGACCCAACAGTTCCTTTCAGTCCCATTGTCAAGATTTATCCTTAACCACGGCTCATCTTTTTCTTTCAAATTAGAGGCTGAGATAATTTTTGAAGTTGTTCTTCTGTATTATGAAAGCTAAGACATGGTCTGTTGAGTAAATTACAATGGCTGGCTTCACACAGCACAATAAGCTATAAACCAGATTATGGCTAGCCTAGTTTGTATTATTTATCAGAATTTTGTGCCTTCAGTATAAAATTGCATTTTATTTATCTAAAAGATTATCCTCCCCTGACAAAAAAATCAAGAAACAGTGAAATCAAATTGTGCCCTTCATATTGACAGGAGTAGCACATTCTAAAGTTTCTTGGGCCTCATCTAAAGCCCTTTATCACTACTGCTCTTTGAAATCTTGGGGGAAAGATCTATGAAAATCTAAATGTGTATGTTTCCTCATAGTGTCATTTCAATGTAAGTATCTGGGAGAAAGACATGAGGTGCAACATCAGAAGTAAAACCGAAAAGTTGACAGATTCAGCCAGACTTAAGCTGGACATCAATAATTTTTAATCTTATCCTTTCCTTGAACTGTATTCCATCTGATCAGTATGCAGCTTTTGTAAAGAGTTAGCATCATCATTTTACTTCCTGTGATTTTCTAAACTGTCTTTTTCAGAATCAGTGTCAGATGGGAGTATTTCAGTTCCACCTCTGCTAAAGCACATGGAAGAGCAGTACTTTTTACTCCCCATCCTTTTATTCCTATTAAGTGATGTTAGTGGAATTTCCCATTTTCAGTTATTGTAGTTAATGCATATATTCTGCACCTTGACTTTGGAAGGGACACCACCTCAGCCAGCAAAGTATCTTCACTCAGTTCTATCTATTCTACATGCTCTTTTATGTGATATAAACATTAAAGGTAGGAAGTGCTACTTTTGTATCGTTGTGCACTCCAATGCACCTTTTTTGGAAGCATCACACAGCTCCATTATACAGTCCTTCATTTGTGTCATATTGCTCCACATGTGGCTACTTACTTTCTCTGGCTTACTTTTGCCAGTTCAAAGGATATGGCATTGCCACTCTTAATGACAGAGACTAGCTTCTTGCTACTGGCAAGCATTGGCAAGAACACATATACTTACTCATTAAGCTACAGTTTTATTAGTTTCCCTTTACGGAGGAAGGATGTAGATCCATACGGTTGTCTACATACCTCGTTTGTGTGTGGATAGCTCAGGAAAAGCTACTATAGTTTAAGAATAAATCATTTTAGTTGGAAGTAGATAATACATATACATGGTTCATAAATTTTTAATAGAAATGGTCCCAGATTCTTATTAATGCTATTTTTAAGGGAAAAATGATCAAGTCCAAGGCAGAGTTCAGTCTGACAATTTGTCACATTGTCCCAGTGAAGTAAAGGATTATCTCCTACCTCCCCTAACTTTGTGTATAGGTCTCACTAAAACTAGCTAGGACCTCATGGATAGTGTTAAACTTTCCACAGCTGGTACCGGTAATTAATGACTACTAAGCCAGAGGTTTTTGAACTTTGTGGTATCATGACTCCCCAGAATAAAAATACTATATATCGTCCCCTGTGAATGAGGAAGAAGAGAAGCATATCAACAACTAACGCAGGTAAAGTTTTGGGGGTTTTGAGCTGGCCAATTCTTTATACAAACTATTAGTTCTTCGTATGCAAAGCTGGAGTCCTGTCAGAACATGGTCTGGTTTTATTTGAGCAAACCAATTGTATTTGTCTGTCCTGCCTAGTGCCACCTTATTTTCTGTATTCTTTCTTTCCCCTACCAGCAGATCAGCAGCTGAGCACCCCGGACTACCTTGATTCATAGCACTCCCCTTTTGGGCATCAACATAGAATACAGTCAAAAATACTCTTGCTCAGCTCCTTTCTATATCTACTGTCATGATCACCCTCTAAATGTAATTTAATATCTTTAACTGTTTTTATGTCTTTTCTAGTTTTGTGTGCAGCCCAGAATCTAGTGGAGTTCGGCAGTCAATAAATTTAAATAAATAACATGTGTGGCCTTTAGTACTGGGTATGGTAGGCTCAAGATCTTAGATGTGCAGGACCCATCCCACTATGGCAACGAAGCAATCAGCCTGATAACGAATGGATAAGCCAGCTTACCTAGGCAGAGAAGGAATATAGGCTCCAGCTTTTCCTGCGCATGGTGGAAAAACTTGGCAAACCCCTCCCAGATTGGCTCAAAAATTCCCAGGATATCGTGAACCAATTTGAAAATTTCTGCATTAAACAGTATTTGACACAAATAGCCATGGCTTTCTGTCTCTCTGAATCAAGCATAACTTTTCCCTGCCTGCTGACGTGTTTTGAATGATACAGGGGACAATGAAAGGTCTTCTTTACAGTAACTGAAACACAGATAATGCAAATTAATATTTACATCTTAAGTTTTAAAAATACATATTTTTTATTATTGCATATTGATGAAGGCATACTATTCTATAGGGACTTTCTTTCTATTGAGAAACCCAAAAGAACCATTATATATTAACATTTGTGTTTTTTTTAATTCAAAGGCGTGATAATTTTTTTTCTTATTTCTTAACCCCTTCCTTTTATCAAATTCCCACAGATGTGATTCAATTAAGAGGGGAAGGAGATTTTCACACAATATTACTTAACAATAAAACCAATGTTTGTTATCAAGTATGTGGGTCAAGAAGGGATCTTTAAATAAGTATATTATACTACCCAATTTTCACCAGAAGGGGGCACCAGCCAACCATACAGTCTTCACAATACTGTTCTGTCTGGCAATATTATAATTAAACAAAGCCCAAAATATCTTTCTCTGCCTTTCTCCCAGTGCCTGGCACAATATCCTTGAAATAGCTTTTAAAACCACTTGCATCCAGGCCAAAGGAGGAAGGGGTAATTATATGCATCTACTTCCTGGCACAGAGAAAACCACCCAAGAAACTAGAGATTGACCATTCTATATTACTTTCTCAACTGAACAATATTATTAAGAAATTTTCTGACATTCAGATATTGCAAAACAGAAATGACTATTTCTGGTTCATTATGATCCAAAAAAAATAAGATAAAATATTTCAGCAAATATAGACCCCCCCCCCATTCATTTCAGTAAGACTCTTCCCCTTTAAGTATATTATGTCAGTAAAAAATGGGAGAAAGAGAAAACATATTGTGAAACTATCATAGATGGGCAGGTGTTTTTGGAACAATGCAAATCTATCAAGAATAGAATTAACAAATGATGAAAAGAAACAAAAATGTCAAAGATCATGTCATATGATTCTGCAAAAGATTTCAGACTATCTTGGGATAGAATTATAGGGCAATTGTAAAGGATAATCTTTTTTGGCATGTTAAATAATATGTCTGTTTAGAACTACAAAGTGTTTTGATATTCCTTATGTTTTGCAAAGTTTTAAACTACAGTTTTATTTCCTGGATTGTAGTTAAAAAGAGATTATAAACCAGGGAAATCATTCATTTAAGAGAAACCAGGCGCTTGCCTAGCTCCAAGCTGCAAAATTGCTTCCAGGTATATCTTTATCTGACAATACATCTCATTGTTACATATGCATTGATCCATCAGTTGTGCACCTGTTTCAAGCTACCTGTAAAACTTGTGGCAAACAAATAAGCAGAATAAATGGTGAGTCAATGAGGGAAAAAAATGAAAATATGGGGTAGTGAAAAAGGCAATCCCTGCAGAATTTCTTTCAGTCAATTAACACTGTGTGTAGCCTTATTCAAGGTTAACATAACTGTTATGGGAAGAGAGCTTTAAAAAGATATTACAGGTAGTTTACAAAACAGTTCCCAAAGAATATTTAGAGAGAAAGTATATCTTTGGGAATTCTTAAGGCAGGGAGGAGGAGGCGGAGGCATAATAATAATAAAAAAGCATGTTCTGGCTAGAGGCTCTCTCCTTATCCAGTTTCCTTCTTGAGTGGCTGCAAATTCCAGGTACCAGAGTGTTTTTGGTTATTCAAGAGAATTGGAGTCCTGTAGTCACAGAGAATCCTGAATAACCAAGAAATCCTGTACCGAATCCTGTTAATCTCATCTCTGAAAGGAGGAAGAGGAAAGAAATTGGGGAGAAGAAAAAAAAATGATCAGAAAGATCCATATAATCTCACCAATTTTCTACAACATTATGCTGATTATGGCATGGATTTAATTACCATATTGCTTGACATTTATTTAACACTTGGAATAGAAAGTATTAATTGGCCAACATTATTACCCCATATTAAGGAGGTTAAATGTGGAGGTTTGCTTAAGGTCATGTTACCAATTCTTAAAACATGTATTAATTAAAAGGGATATACAAATAACAAACTGAAAGGGTGACTTGACTGTTTATTTTGGATTTACAAATGAGATCTTTTAAAGTTTTGAAGGAGTTTTTGAGAAGAGACAAAGAGAAAATGAAAAGAAATCAAATGCTGGGATATTATTTAAAGGAATAAAAAATCAAGATTGTTGTACCTATCTAGAAGGTAATTTCTTTACATCTTTTTCCTTTACTATATATCTTTTTCCTTTTCCTTTTTTTGCAATTAATTTTTCTTTTTTTATATTTTTGTTTGCATTAGTTTTTAATCTTTGCATTTGTAAACTAAAAATATAATTTTGCTCCTTTTTTAAAAAAATAAACATAATTATTTTTTTTAATCATTATGAATCTCTCAGATTTTACTCTTTTTCAGGTTTGTTCTCACTGTAGATATGGTACACTTAGCTTATGACTACTTGACTGCCCCAGATTCTTATAAATCCCAACTGTGTGCCTTTTATTTCTTGAAATCATCATCTTTGGCTTGTGAGAAATATTTTGCTAAAAAATAAGTAGCAATTCAGAAATGCTCCAGCATGCAGACTAGAGTTTGTGAATGGCTTCATCTATAACCAAAATTTGCAACTGCTCGTCCCAGGGTGATAATTTTTATTATTTGCCCATAGCTCCTATTTCTGCAAAATAATGAGATCACTACAGTCCAATGACGTTTATGCATTTAAGTCATTGATATTTATGCATTTAAGTAAAGAACAGAAACTGTGCTTAGAAGCAGATTTGCAAATCGGGATTTGATATGAAAACAATGCAGGCTCAGTTCAGCTCTACCCAAACATTGCCTACAACTGGTGCCAAAGAAAGGAGTTCCACAGACCTACATACCTTATTCAAGAACAAAAAGAGAGATAAGTATGTAGCTCTGTGGAACACTCTCCATTACAGCTAGGTGAACAGTGTGTTACATCTATAGCAAATTTAAGAATTGGGTGATTTTTATTCCTCCATCATCTCTCAGTGGTTCCTTTTATTCTTACCGCGCTACCCTTGGTTGCTCTGAGTACCCTCCTATTGCCCCTCAACTCTTCCACTGGGTTTTCAAGAGCCTCCAGTCGATGTGTGAGTGCCAACTTCTGCTGGATCGCCATGCGCAACAAGGAGTTTAGAGTCTTCTTTTCATCCTCTGCAGCTTCCAGTTGCCGTTGCATCTCATCTAGCTGGCTCACATACTGATCACACCTGGGGGCAGAAAATGGAGGCAACAGGTTCAGGTATATGTCGAAAAACAATTCCACAAGCTGCTTTGCAAGGCTAATATCCAATGGCCCTTTAAGTGCCAGAAACAGTATGGAAACTCATTTGAAACACATCTCAGATTGTCTTATATCTGGGGAGAAAAGATGTAGAATAAAGGAATATTTAGAAATTTTATGTTTTGAGTTTCAGAAGCCAGAGAGATAGAACACAGTTTTCAGGATAAGGCTGCTAGAAAGTTGGTCACGTCTCATAACAGGTTATGTAGAATAAAAAGTTTTACAGTGTTTTCATGTCTGATGACTGCTCTATTTTTGTTTCTTTCTGTTACACCATTCTGCTTTTGGTATACTATATCAAGCATAGCCAGAAAAAACTTGGGTAAAACACACTAGAGCAGAAAAGGAATGCACACTGATGTTAAATAAATATGTGGCAAAAATAAATATTCTGCTGAAGCCAGTTAGGCAAGTCCCCATTAACTTGAAACCTTTGGCAGAATGTCCCACTCAAATATACTTGGTCACTATTTCCATCCCTTTTAAAAAATAGTTCTTAATACTGAAGATGGGTGGTTAAAATGCTACTCTCACTGTAGTATTAAAGTATTTTGAAAAAAAAAAGATGCAACCTAAGAAAAATGAAATTTCCAAAATATTTCTGAAATTAACTTTATATATAATTCATCACTGGTTTTGGACACACACTACTACATTTCTGTTTCTCAACTTTTTTTCTAATCCTGTATTGTATTCAGTAACAAAAGGTTCTTTCATAGCAGTTAACCATCAAAATTCAGTGATAAATTTTGCTGAGTTTTCATAGTCAATGAAGAATGAAATCCACCAAAGGCAACTGGCTGTTCCATGTAGCTCCCAGTCACCCTGTCCTTGCACTAAGATAGATAAAATAATCTTGTCATTTTTTACTGTGAGCACACTGACCCACATTAAAAATGAAATTCTGTTGCCTGCTCTCAAAAGAAAGTATATATCTACTGATTCACACACACACACACACGCCTACACCCATACATAATATATACACATATATACTAGATTACAGAACAGTGGTAGTGACAGAAGAACTAACCCAATTCTATTTGACTCTTTACTCCAAAACAGGCTCATTTCCTGCCTCACTAAACAGACCCTGCTTCTAACCTGCTAGCAAACATGGCACGTAGGGAAGAGAAACTAGCAGCATCCTCCTTCAAGGCCTTGAGCTCATGACGCAACTTGATCATGGTCTCTGACACCAGCACCTTTTCACCTTCATACTGTCCTTTGAGATTTGAGAGGGCTGCCTCTGCTGTCTGCAAAGAAAGGTTGCACACATTCACAATATACAAATATCCTTCATTGGCATCATTTATAGAAAATCTAGAAGCTGAATGCTTCCCCAAATCTTCTAGATCACCCTGCAAATGTTATTTCAACCATGGGTGTATCATTGCTGAAGTTTTCCTGGGAAGCTCAGTCTATTAATAACTCCATGAGGGGCAACTGCGCTGCTACATTAACAGATTGAACCACATCTGCATAAAACCTTTTCCCAGAAAACAGTGGATTGCCCATTTCTATAGTTATACGCTTGGAAACATTCATTCTGGCTTTTGTTGACTTTAAAGTTAGTCAGGAAAAGACGTGGCTGTACTGCAGACACAACCTACTATATTTGAAAGCAGGATGACATCATGACATCAGTAAAATGTAACAGAAGGGCCCAGCAAGCACAGGAGGTTAGGAGGAGATATTGGGAGATGCAGCAGAGCTTCCAAACAAAAAAGGAGGGATACAATTACCACGACTATCATCCAGATTATATTGGCACAACTGATGGGAGCTAAGGAATGCATTTTCTTAAGATCTGGAAAGACTGACATGCTTCAGTACAAATTATGGCATCAATGTTTGAAGGCCCAGAACCTAGCTATGTGCTATAGCTATGGACATAGCTTTATTGTGACTACTTTCCTGAAGAAACCCACTTAACTCCTTTCATTTTGTTTTTCTGATGACTTCCATTTGATCCTTATTTAGCCTTTCAGAGGAGCTACATTGTTCTTTTGTTTAAATTTGTTTCATAGAATATCAGGGAAAGTCTGTATCAAAACATTTTAAAGTCATAATATAATGAAAGTTTTTCTGTTTTTATTTATTAAATTTCTAAATCATCACAATACAAAAACAAATATAAAACATCCAGCAATACAAAAATAATTAAAATTCGAAGATGGCTAATGAACAATATTAAACTGGAGCAACACAACACACAAGAATTCACAAGATGACAACATATCCCCCCCCTGGCTTGACACATTAGATGGTCACACCTTGAACCTCATGTTTGTTTCTAACCAGATGGCATGGAATCTGGACAGTTGATTCCCATCTATCCTATTGCCATGGTCTGATCATGCCCTGATCTAGATCTCCATGTAGCAGGGGGCTTATTAGATAACTTATCACAATTGCCCAATGGATCCAATTGTTTCCAGAGGATTTTCTCAGCTGCCTGGAAGGCAGTTTGGTGTGTTTTTGGGAACAAGAGGCAAGCTAGAACTGATGCCTGGAGCACCGGCAGAAAAAGATGAAAAGTAAATCTGACTGAGCACAGGTACAAGTTCATGTTTGGGCCTACACTGGAGGCTAAGCTTTCTCACTGCTCTCATATTCCATTTGTAGCCTACCATCTGCCCGCCTTGCTTAAGGCTATACATCTCCTTTTGAAGAAATCAATATCATATTCTCCTGCTTGACCACTGTGACCAATTTATATAGTGTTTTGTTGAAAAAAAACACTTGTATTCACCAAACCCAGATCCCACTTGTATTCACCAAACCCTTGCTGCATCATCTGGGATAACTTTTGGCATGCAAAATCTGAAAAATGGACAGGGAACTATCTAGATAGTACATTGCCACTTGTAGCTTGGATCCTCACAGATCCTGGTTTTTGATAGGAATAGGCAGAAGTGCGACTACCTAGGTCCAGGAGACTGTCAATTTCTTGTTACAGGAAAGGGAGTTGCCCACAGTCTTGAAAATTGCTGTGGGGCACCCTTTTCTGAAAAGGCCAGTCTTGGATCGAATGGTCTTAGATAACTTTGGGGCAACCTTCAAAAAGGGAAGGTTCTTAGACAGTGGTACTGGACCAGTTATTTAGCACCCAAGAAACATCCAATTATCTGGAACCTTTTCAGTTATCATTCAAGCCTAGGTACAGGATTGAAACAATATTGGTTGCTCTCCTGGATTCCTTGTATTGGGACTGGATGACGGTAGTACATTTCTCTCAGCCCTTCTGGACCTCTCAGCAGTTTTCAATAGGTCCCCAACCTTTTGGGCACCAGGGACCGGTTCCGTGGAGAAAGGTTTTTCCACAGACTGGAGAGTGCATAGTTTTGTGTGCTGCCTGCATCCCGTGGATGGGGCTTTGCTTGTTTGTGCGGACTGGTTGCTGGCATGCTGCGGCCCAGTACCAGTCCACAGACCGGGGGTTGGGGACCCCCCAACCATAGACCATGGAACTTACTAAACTACTTGCAGAGGTTCTAGGAGCTATTTTTTATAATGGTTTTGCTCTTTCCACAATAGGTGAATTACAGGTAGTCCTTGACTTATGACTACAATTGAGCCCGGAACTTTCTCTGCTAAACAATGCAGTTAAGTGAATCGTGGCCAATTTTATGATCTTTTTTTGCTGCAGTTGTTAAGCAGATCCACGTAGCCATTAAGCAAATTTGGCTTCCCCCATTGAGTTTGCTTGTTGGAAGCTCTTGGGAAGATTGCAAATGGTGATCACATGATTCTGGGATCTGGAACTGTTATTAATATGTACAGGTTGCCAAGCACCCAAATTTAGACCATGTGACCATGGTGATGGTGCAACGGTCGTAAGTGTGAGAACCAATTGTCACTTTTTTCAATGCAGTCATATCTTTGAGTAGTCATTAGACAGATGGTCATAAACTGAGGACTACCTGTATGTTTAGTGATGGGGGATGAAGGCATGACTAGAGCAAGGGTTAACAAACTACCGCTCATGAGCCAAATCCAACCTGCCTGTTTTTATATGGCCTGCAACTAAGAACGGATGGATGGATAGCAGATCATCAGGCCTGAACCTTAGCTTAGTACGAGAGGTGTGAGTCCCAGCCAATGTGATTCAGCAGCCTCCTTGGTAGATCAAGGCTGTCCAATGGGTAACAAAATCTTTTGTCTGCAGAACTTCCAGCTGCACTTACAGAGGTGGAAAAGGAGTGGGATTTTGCCGATCCCTGGTCTACAGCTTAAATTTGCCATGTAAAGCTGGGTATCGTCAGTGCCATACCTGTCTGTCAGATGACTTCCCCCAGTGGCTTCATATAGATGTTAAAGAGCATGGGAGTGGATGTTCCCAAACATGACTCTCAGGACCACTTTCCATTCTGTTGGCCCACGGCAGATCTGTACTGCAACTAGGACTTCCTGCACTTACCTGCTTGTTGGCCTTAAGCACTGTGCGCAGTGTAGCAACCTGTTCACGCTTTGTGCTCAACATGGACTTCAGTTTCAGCACTTCTTCTACCAGAACTTCTTTATCACGTTCCAGTTCAGCTCTGTGCCCCATTGGGCGCTGCTGATGGGCAAAGGACAGTGCCACCTGCAGATGCCCCAGCTGTTCTCTCAAGATCTCTGTTAGATTAGTGACATAAAGAGGCTCCAAACCACATGGGGAGCCAGAGCTACTGGCTGGTGATCTGTCTGCACTGCTAGTTGTCTCTATTTCTGTGAACATATGTTTTCTGGAGGGCTGCCTTCTGCGCACACTTTGGACACCACGGCCCTCCCTGTAATAGTCCAATACTACACGGTGTGGGGTTATGTTGTGGCAGGCACAGATGTGATGGTAGAGAGTTGCCATATCTTCAGAAAAAATAAGGATCTCCTCCTGAGTCTCAGCCAGCCGTGACTGATACTCTCTGGTAATCCGTCTAGCAATTCTCAACTCAGCTTCTAGGTGGGCAGCTGCCTCTCTCTCTTGCCGGATTGCCAGTTGGGCCCTTTCCAGCTCCTCACGGTAGCATTCCCTGTTATTGGGTGACAAGCTATCCCCACCGTTATTAGCACTAGGCTTAGCCTCTGGGGCTGGAAGCTGATCTACTTGACGGCTGTTGCACAACTGCTGTTGGGCCAAGATCTCCTTAGTCCTGGTCAGCTGTTTCTTGAGATCTTGCAGATCTGAAGCTAGTGAAGCTTTTTCTTTTTCTGCCTAAGGAAACAAAGACAAGATAGGATAGAATTTCCTATGGCAAGATGTTAATTAGGTTTACATATTACACTATGTGTATTAAAGATAATTACACTATGTACTAAAGATAATTTATTCACTAAGAAACACTGGCTAAATTCATCAAAGCAAACCATGAACCATGGTTTAACAAAGTAACGTAATTGGTGTCATGCAACACATTAAGATAGTATAAAACAAACCACATCTTGCTTTAATGCAATATATGACTACAGAGAATTAGGGAGAGGCAATCTATCCATATTCTAAATCCCAGATTAGCTTAAGTTCTCTCAGAAAGATTTTTTGGTTTGGAATATCATTGGGCCCTTTCAAAAGCTAAGCCCCAATACTTAAAATAAGATTGATCTCAATTCCCACAGCAAGTTAACAGGAACAGGGAGATGCTCTGAACTTCAGGTTTACTTTGTTGGATGTTTTTTTACAAATGTGATAAATAAATTAGAACACACAGACTACCAAATTCTGCCTTGATTTCACTAAGACCAAGGCTGTTTTTTTCAGTCTTTATCTATTATCTATCTTTAGGCTCTGGCCCATCTTGAGATGGCAAGGAGGGGTTCTCCCATCTCCTTAACAGTCCTGCCAAATTTCCATCAGGGTTTCTCCGAGCCAGTGTTTAACTCAGACAGAAAAGCACTGAGCTTTAGACCTTGATATGCCACCAAGGATTAGCTTTCATAGTGAGCTGGAAATGAGCTCCCCGACAGTGTTCTTTGCTAAACTAGGTATACTATTAAATGGGAAGAAAGTGGGGAGAAACATACTCAACAGAGGAGGAAGTGAAAAACCATATTTCAAGAACCTGTTTCACAAGCAGAAACTTTGGCACAAGGTAGTCAAGCAGCCCAATCAGGCAAACGTGAACTAAAAAAAGTAGGGAGCTGCAATGAGTTCTACAGTTGAAAGGGGTGCTCCTAAATCTGAAAAATGGCATCACATAGTCCAAGAAAAGGTAACTACCAACATCTGAAGAGCTCACAACCAGAATCACTTCTTGCACTGAGTGCCAATTTGTAGTACCAAAGAGTAATTTTCACTTTTAAATCCCTGATTAAAATGTTTTAAATGTCTCCAGCCTTGTATTGGCTCTTCTGACCTACAATCTCCCCACAGGAGTTCAGTGACATCTTAAGCGTTGATGAGTTAGAATTAACATTACAGGACTTATTGTTTTAGTCTCATTGCAACCCATTAATTGCACATTAGCTTCTGCATTCTTTGCTAGTACAAGTAGTCCTCAACTTACACCACAGTTGGAAGCATGATTGCTGTTGTAAGTCAGTGCGATCATAAAATGTCACATGACTGCACCAACTTACAATGGCAATCCAGGCATTTCCAATTGTGGGTCATTAAGTGAGTACCCACCCCAATCCAAGGCATTCCAGGCTAGGTCCTCCCCCATCCAGCCTCAGTAAGGTAAGAGACTGCCTCTAATTCCTTCCACCTGCCTATCTCCCCTTCTCCCCCATCTCTGCTCTTTGGCTGCCAGGCATCCTGTCTTGTGGGGTTGTTTGCCATGCTCCATGAAACTCCAGCTGCCCTAGTCTGCCCCAGCCCACTCCAGCTACCATTCATTCATTTCCTGAGATAGGATAGCCTTTGGAATGCTGCACTGTCCTTCCAAAGACAGCAGAGTGTTTTGAAGGCTCAGGGAGTCACATGTAGAGAAAGGTTGACTGGAGAAGCTGGGTCTTAAAAAAAAAAGAGAACAAAGGCAGCAAGTGGTTCTGCTTCGGCAGCTCGGTGCAAAAGCAAAAGGTCAGTACAGGGACCTGGGAGAGAAGGCAGTTGGGCAAACAAATGCTTGCTGGTGCTTCATGGGTGCTGACGCTTTATGGACACCGTGGCTTGGCGATGCACTCCTGGGCCGGCTGGGGAGCCATGTATGGGAAGTGTTCACAACAGAGAAGCAGGAGCACCCAAGGACAGCATGGCAACTGTAGATTCAAAATGGAAATAGCAAAGCAGCAAGGTGCTTCTGCTTCAGTGGCTGGTCACAAAAGGCGAAAGATTGTTGTAGGGAACTGGGAGAGAAGGCAGCTCTAGGTGAATGAATGCCTGCTTGTGTGGGCTGCAGCAGCCAAGGCTTCACAAGACATGGCAAGCAGCCCCAATGCTGTGGGGTTCTGCAGTTGCTTGCAACCTTTCAAGGCAGGGCGCAAGGTAGCCAGAAGGGCATAGATGGGAGATGTAGTCGTAAGTGCAGATGAGCTGCCAAGCACCTAAATTTTGATCACTTGACTGTATGGGGTGCTGCAATGGCCATAATATCAGGCACAAGTAATAAGTTCATTTATTCAGCACTATCATAACTTTGAAAAAAAAATGGTCATAAGTTGAGAAATACTTATAATTCTACGTGATATTATCAGATACTGGAGTTAATCTTCAGGGCTGCAGCCAGGGAGATCAAAAGCCAAAAAGTTCATTTGCAGAAGCAATAGTCCTGGAGGAAAAATGTGTTTCCCAACATCTCAACCCTTCATTAAAGGACACATAATCAGATAGCAGTTATGTATGTTCCCAGAAACTCCATGCCTATACAAGAGAGTTTTATTTTATTGGGATGGGCTTTGTGATATCAGGGTGTTTTGAGAATCATATCAAAATGAAAAATCCATTCTGCCAGATCTCAGAACAGTTTGGCTAGAATTTTCTCCATATTATCCCAGTTTATTCTACACATACACTGACCATTCACCTTTGTTTTTAATTCATTTGAAGTGGTATATCTGAATGAACGCTGCTGGTCATCAGTAACTCCTTGGCAACTGAAACAAATCTGCTCACTTCTCTGTTCAATAAGAAAGCAATCAGTGTTGCAAACCATTACTCTGTCAAATCCAAATTCCTGTTCCCCAACCCTAACCAAAGCTCTGATTTCCTTACCTGTTGGAGTTGCTGCTGTAGCTTGTGAATCTCTGCCAAGTTAAGTTCACTGAAGAGATCTGCAACAAGACCAGGTGCAGGCTGGAAGTTGTGAGGTGTGGATGTCACCCCCCCTACGTTGCTACCATTGGCAAAACCACTGTCTTGCTCCTCGCACTCTGTGGTGTGGCTGTGGCTGAGCTCCTCCAGGTTGGCCTGCAAGCTGTTCAGAGAATCATGACGGCCCCCAACATAGACGGCTAGCTCCCGCCGCAGTTCCTGCTTCTGCTCACGCTCAGCCTGGACAGTCTCAAGGGCCTCCTGAAGTTGCTGTTCGGCCAAATCCCGAAGACGGCCCAGTTCTTGTAGCTGGGAACCAGCCAACATGAGCTCTTCCTCATGGCACCTTAAGGCACGCTTGACACTCTCAAATTCCACCTTAGGATGAAACAGAAACTTAGTACTGGCACTGCAACTGTATTCCATTTCACACTTTGAAGTCTGTATCTTTCTTCATTCATATGTAGATCAAAATTATATCAATTAGATTAGGTCACACTTGATAGCATATAAATTGAATGAATGTATAAATGAATAAATAAATAAATGCATCATCTATGCCTTTTTTTCTGTGCCAATAACACTATTCTTAAAATCTACTACTAAGGCCTTTCTCCATTTAAAAATGTCAAACATCTGATTGCAGCATGTGTAATTTGCTTCTTCAAGGAATTCACTGCCTGACCTATTAGCAGAACAAAGTATTTTAACTCAGTGACCGTATAATAGTCAAAGTTTAACTTGGAATGTGGATGAGGAAGATAAGCTTACACTAACAAATCTTAATAAAAATGCAACAATGGATCTGTTTGGGTCTTGAAAATATTTATACTATGATCTACACAAGGGAAAAAAATCTATTTTCTAAAAACAATCATAATTGTTTAAAATTGTCTTCAATTGTCTACAAGGTTGATAAACTTTGTAGGGATTTCTGTTTTGTTGGAAAACTCCATATAGAGAAAGATTAGTTTAAGCTACTGTATCATAAAACTAGATACAAGTAACACAAGTGAATAAGAAAGGGAAGCAGGTCAACCTTAACCAAAGAAAAGATCAGAAAACAAGAATGAACTTGTTTTCAATGAGGGGGAAGTTAGATTTTCAAAATACTTTCTGAAAATTTTAATTTCTTAATGCTCTGAACAATTTTAACACCTTATCTTCATATACATAGAAACTTTCAGGAGTTTTGACCCTTTACACTTAAGAAGCATTCTCCAGAATTTTTTGTTAAGAGTCTGTCTTTCATATCCAACTACACCAGCAGCTCTGAAGCCAATTTGTCATGACGCTCTCCTGGTATGTGGAGCAGCTCCCAAAATTCCCCAGCCAGAAGGAACATTACTGAGAATTGTGGAAGCTGAAGTATATATACCTGGAACTTGCCAGTTAGAACATATTGTCTTAGACAAAAAGGAATTTTATTTATCACATTTGTATAGCTGTCCATCTCACATGAAAGTGACTTTGTGCTATGTACAGCGCTTAATTAAAAAATAACAAACACATAAAAACAATCAGTTAAAAATAACTACAGGAAACAAACAAAACAGGAAATTATATTAACTGCAGTAGGGGAGCCATTGCAAAATCTCTCTGATCTCCTTGGGCCCCAGGCCTAATAACATTGCCAGGATTTTGGAGACTTGCAGAATGTTGAGAGGGATGGACCTAACTCACTTTTCCTAGAGGGAGAAGATTCCACCAGGCGGGTGCTGCAGTAGAGAATAAATCTTCCAAAACAACTCTTAAAGGGAAGATTATCCCCCGCCTCATTCACCAATATACAATTATCCACTAAGTGTATAGGGATTACAACTCCTAAAATTTCTAAGCACCATGGCATTTAGGTATTGTAGTTCCCATACACCTGAAGGTTGATTTACACCTTCTCCGTGTCTTGTACACTTTTAAGTAAACAACTAGCTGAGGCACTTCCTACTTATGGAGACCGGGGAACAACAGGTAAACTATGCAGTGAGGATGAAAGCTAGGAGAGCAGGAAGTGACCGGTTAAGTTCTTGAGTTCAACAGGCCCTTGCTTCTGCACAAAGAGCCACTATTTATTTCTACTCGGCCCTTTCCCTGTATTAATTTTCCAAATCCCATCCTGTATGCAAACAGACACTCTCCATGGACTGAAAAATGTTTGAATCCACTCTCTCTCTCCAATTATATGCTAACTCAGGACAAGGATAATATTGCTAATGAAACTGCATACCTAGCACACAGTTGTAGACAACTGAAGTAGTGTCCTTAGAATACAGGAGTTAAGCATTGAATAACCTGTTTCATATCAAACCAACAGTAGAGCAAGTCCTAAACAGATATAATGGAGGGCACATGCATACATACAGATGAGGTTAATGCCAGGTGCCCACATTGTGGATACCCTTATACCTGATTTCCCCGGAGGATGGAGACCTGTTTCTGCAAGGAGATATTTTCTTCCTCAAGCTCGCCACAATCCTGCAACTGGCGAAGCTCCTGTGTCTTAGCTTGTTTCATCTCCTCACGCAATTGATTTTTTTCAGACTCCAGGGTCTGGCACTCCTGGAAAGGAATTATGAGAAGGGTATGTAAAGCTGTTTATTTCCTAAAACAAAAATAGAACTAACCTTAGAAGCAATTTAAGACTGCCCATTGTGTTTTAACAAACTATTAAGTAGAATAAAAAGCTTCTCCTAAAAATAAGTTCTGAAGGTTACCCTTGGAATTTGTGATCCAGCATTCTAAACCAGACCTAACTATACATAGTCTATCACTGGGAAGCCTTGTTCTTTATATGAGAAGGATGCAAAAGAAAGGGGTAAAAGCAGCAAATACAGTAGCACACTTGATTGGTCTCAGAAAAGGAGCAAAAAGTGTTTTTTCCTAAGGAAGGGAATGTAACAGAAAGAGTATATGTTAATATGATAGGAAAAGTCAACACCCAACCCCCTTCACAGAATACAGTTATTGCTGCATTAACTCTCAAGAGATAATTTAGTAGTCACATGAATATTAATTTCTTGACAGAAAGTCAAATGCTTATCGTCAACTTGTGGCTGCACAGATCTTTTGAATGTCTCAGAAATACGGCAGTGGATACAGAACTCCAGTTCCAAGACTGAAAAAGAGCCAGAAATAGTCTGCTGCACTGCACTTTTGAAGTACCTCCAGAATCACCACCACCACTACTCTGAGTCAAGCAGATGGAAACCACAGTACAATTTTATGGATAAAATATATTTCAGACACTTGAGATGTCAGACTAAAGTAACATGGCCTCCTCCCAGAGGTGTTTTCGGTAGGAAGATTGTTACTACATTTTTTTCTGTTCTTCAAAGGATCTCTCAAGTGAAAGTTTAAATGCTTGGATTATTTCCCACACACTGTTTCCCAGCTTTAAGTCTGAAAAGGAGTGGGGAGAGATGGTTTCGTGACTTTTTCCTAAATAAGCAGGACATTACACTAGTATATTTATAAATCCCTGGAAACCCAAGTGTAGCAATTAAGGTCCGGTTTAAACATGAAAAGTAAACTCTCCAAGTCTTATGGCAGCAGAAATTCTAAAGCACATGGACAGTAACTGGTCAAATTTCAAGACAAATAAAAACTGAACCAGCTGTGCAGTAACGAGATCCTCAGCTGTACTACTTTCAAACTTGTTTTGCAATCTCTTTCTTCCTGGCTAAGAGTACCAGAACATAGTCATTTGCTTAATATGAATACAATTACTTTATATAATTTACTTTATTTTGAGGCTTCTAAGCATCTCTCTCCTAAATTACCTTCCTTAAGTCTCGCAGAGCTATGCTGAGCCGCTCATTTTCCGCCCCTGTATTGTCAAGCTGGGATTTCAGGAATTTCACATCACTTTGAAGCTCCTCAATGGTTTGAGTCAGATGGGCCTCTTTGGAAGCTGATTCCCTGAGTAGAGACTCTTCCCGGTTCTCCCCATCAACTGCTGCTCGTTTATGACTGCTATGAGATTCTGCCAAAGCCTAAGGCAAAGAAGATGGAAGACATTCTAAGAAACAGCATCCTCACTGCCCAAGCTAGGTCATCCTAAAGGGTCAAAGGCAGAGCTGGGAAATTGTTCACGTACCTCCTTCATGTGGGTCAATTCTACACGCAGGACCTCTAGCTGACCTTCTAGATCTCCACAGTGCTGCTTGAGCTCTTCATTCTCCTCCAGTACAGCCAGACCATATTGGGCTGCCTGGACATTCTCTTGGATTGCCTCCTGCAGCTCAGCTGCTAGTCGATCCACCTCTGCTTGCAGCTTTGTAGGATCCTGGGCCATGAGAGTTTCTGGCATGCTATACCTAATGATAAATAAAAATGTGGTAGGAAATTGGGAATAATGAATACGTTAGATCAGTGGTTCTCAACCTTTCTAATGCCGCGACCCCATAATACAGTTCCCCATGTTGTGGTGACCCCCAACCACTTATACATTACCAGGTGCCAGGGGCGTAGCCAAAGAAAAGGGGGGAAAAATGGCGGACAGCCTTGTTTGACGACCCCCGTGAAATAGTTGTTCGACCCCAAATGGGGTCCCGACCCACAGGTTGAGAACCACCACGTTAGATAGAATTAAGGATAGGGCTATCCAGTGGTCAGCACAACCAATTCCCTTTAGTTTCAAGAATAGGATCCCTATACAGCCGAAACCAATGTGTGTTTATAGTTCTAACTTAGTGATCCTTAGAGTTAAGTGACCAGTTTTCCATGTAAGACTAATTCACTTATTATATAGCCCAAGGTGGGCAACTTGCAGTCCAACGGTGATAACCATTATTGTCAGGATTTGTGAACACCAAGAGTGCAGTAGTTGTGGGGGAAATCCAAAGTCCAAAAATAGTCCTATTTAATCTTTCAGCCATTCTTATCCACTGAATGATGCAGGCCTCCCATTTTGCAGTACTTAACCATTTCAATTAATCTTAAATGGAGCCCTTGGCTACCAATCTCAATACAATCTACAAAACATGAATATGTATCTGAATAAACTAAATTTTGTCTAACAAGGGGTAGAAGGCCTAACATACTACATACTGAGGGGCACATGACATGGACTATGTAATTTGTTAGCTAACATAGTTACTTTATATTTTACTTCATATTTTGTAGTTTAAGTTGACTTATTTTCTTTCTTTTAAAATAATGTTCAGACACATTACAGACTGGAATGCGGAATAGCTTTTAACATTCCTAAACTTATCTCCAGATAAAAAAAAGTTTCTTAGTACAAATCGGGGTCTGGTTTATCTCTTTTGGGAACCCTAAACAATCTTTTTCCTTACAATTTACATCCCTTCTGATGTCAGACCTTATTTTAATGAACATATGTGATATTATGGGATGCAAATATGAAACATGTTTGACTACATGTAACTGACTTCCTATGCAAAGGCGAGGTTACTTTTATCCTGTCCAATCAACTTTCCTCTTCCATTTTCTTTGTAGTGTTAACTATAAAAAGGAAGGTAACATGGGGTTCAAAGTTCTCGGTCTTTTTCATACAGAAATCCCACTTTAATCAGGGTACCCTAATAAACTGCTTTTAAATGATCTTCCGACTAGGTTACTTATTGGAAAGGTAAACTGAGGCAGAACCTAAGGTCAGATTTGGCTATCAATATTGAGCACATCAAGATAAAGGAATGGCAGATCAGACCAGCATGAGTTAGACATTTTTAAATTAAGCAAGCTGGTCCTTCTTAATGATAATGGCAATCAGAATTTCCATCATTAAGCAACACGGTCAAAAAGTGTGTCATGACATGACCATATTGCTTAGTGATGGCAATTCCGGCAATCCTGTCCTGTAAAATAAGAATCATGGATCATTAAGTGAAGACCACCTTGCAACTTCCTACTGGCTTCCCAGAGTCAGGGAAGACAGCAGGAAGTTGCAAGTCCCAGATGGCTCACAAGCAAGCCCGTGGACTGAGAAGTAGCTGCTGCCAAGTGAGGGAGGATGTACAGATGGCTGGCAAGGTATGGCAGAGATGGCAGCTGCTGGGTCAGGGAAAGCATGTGAGTGGCCATTGAGGCACAGAACGAAAGCAACTGGACTGAGAATATCTATGCCAGGTGGGGGAGCCTTATCAGAGTGACTTATAACCTTCCCTGCCAGCTTCCCCACTGACTTTGTTTATAAGAAGCCAACAGCAAAGATTGCAAATGGTGATCATGTGATGCAGTTGTGAGAGCCAACTGTTAAGCTCCCAGATTATAATCACGTGACCAAGAGGGTGCTGGGATGTTTGGAACTTCAAGGATTGGATGTAAGAACTATTTGTTCAGGACCATCATAACAGTTGCTGAACAAGTAGTCGTTAACCAAGAACTATTTGTATAAAGTTTTTATAGGTTTTTTCCTACTCTAGGACCTAGAAGCTGTGGGGATCTGGATGTAGCGCAGCAGGCTTCGATGGGTGAGACTGGCCCCATCCTTGATGTCCTTCCAGTTTCCAGAAGTCCCTTAAAACCTGGCTATGTCAATAGGCTTGGGGGTCTTACAAGAATGCAGATTTAATGAGGTGGCTATATCATGTGTAACAACTACAGTAATGCTCTCCCTACTCTTCTAAAGTTCTAATTGTAGTATGTTTTTGTAATTACTGTCTTTAATATTTTTATTGTATGCCACTAAGAGTATGTTTCTATGAGATGGGTGGCATATATGATAAATAAAATATTTAAAAATAATGCAGCAATAGCTGGTAGGCCAAGCTGTGCTCATGGCTACACCTATATTTGAGACAAACACAGCCTGCACTTTAACTTATCTAAGCACTATCTGTTCCTCCATGACTTTCAAATGTTAAGAATTAATAGCAAAAAAGGAGCCAGATTAAAGGACAGACAATTAAGATTGCTCTTAAACAATATGCAAGTTAACGTGTATCCTACATTACTTCTATCCTTGAAGGACTTCTGGAAAAATAAGATATTGCATACTCATTGAAAATGTTTTCCTGGGCACTCCTACTCCATGGAGCATCTTAAGACACTGCAACTAGACAACAATACTAACTGTAATGCAATGCATGTCATTTGAACTTTCAGGGATGTTAAGGGCCGATTAAAGTTTTATAAAACTATATCTTGGAAACCTGATTTGTGGAACACATTGTGATCCAATTAGTGTAGCTTCAGGTTTAATGAAGCATTGAGAAGGAAAGAATCATGAAATAAGGAAGCAATTAAAGACATGGCACCAGCATCTATAGTCTGTCTCTATGTATGAAAAATGGAAAATGCAAATTTTTGACTTTATGTTTTTGAACAGAATGAATGAATGAATACCACTGTCAGCAACTCAACTGATCTGAAAATGTAGATTTTTTTGGTAGGTAATTTTAAGACAGTATGTTGTCTCAGCTGACGACTCACAAATTATTCTTAACTGCCTAAAGTCAAATATTCCATGAATGTTATTTTGGATTGCAGATTTTTTTTCTTATATTAACAAAGAAAACTTTTTCTACTAGCCCTGCAGCAGTCAGCACAAACCTAGCAGCACACAAAGCTTCTCCTTCTCTTCCTCAGCAAAGTTAAAACTGCAGGCACAAAAGCAGAAACAGATAAAAATGCAGTTATTTCTTTCTTAACGTGCTTGGTGAGATTTAGAATCTATAAAAGTCATTGCTTTAATGGGTATATTTCACATTAAGACTACATAGCCAAGCTCAAATATTTTCTAGGCAAGTTTGTTTTGATCACACACACTCAAGCTAACTTCCCTCACAAGGCCTTCAAGGGTTAAAGGAAAACATACTTCCTGAAAGAGAAAAAAATGTCATGTTCACCGATTTACTTTTTCTAATCTGCACAAGTTTCTTTACTGCTCTCATATTGCTTTTTTGTTTCATTTTCAGTTAGTTTTTTTTACAATACAGCCTATACAGATATATTCATTTTCCTCTTAAGTAAAAAAATACTCTGTGTTCCTTTTTTATTTTTAGTCTCATTGTAATCCTTTCATTTTATTTAAAATAAAGAATGTTCATTGTCTATGAACAGATAATTACTAAGGTTCTGCAATTACAGGTAGTCCTCAATCTAAAACCCTTCATTTAGTGACTGTTCGAAGTTACAGCAATACTGAAAAAAGTGACATGAACAGTTTTCACACTGCAGCATCCTCATGGTCACATGATCAAAATTCACACACTTGGCAACTGGCATATGACAGTTGACTTGTCCTGGGGTCATGTGATCACCATTTGTAACCTTTCCAGCTGGCTTTTGACCAGCAAAGATTCACTTAAATGCAGTGATTCACTGTGGCAAGAAAGGTCGTAAAATGGGACAAGGCCTACTTAATATCTTAGCAACAGAAATTTTGGACACAATTGTGGTCGTAGGACTACCTGTATTATGTAAATGTTTTAATGCTTTGACAAATCAAAAACCACTTCAATTAAAATGCTCAATCCTAAGTATTGAGGTTTTTTTGTGTTTAATAGAATAACAGAATTGGAAAGGACCTTGGAGGTCATCTAATCCAACCCCCTGCTCAAGCAGGAAACCCTACACCATTTCAGACAAATTATTGTCCAATCTCTTCTTAAAAATCTCCATTGTTGGAGCACCCACAACTTCTGGAGGCAGGTTGTTCCACTGATTAATTGTTCTGTCAAGAAATTTCTCCTTAGTTCTAGGTTGGTTCCTTCCTTGGTTAGTTTCCATCCATTGCTTCTTGTCCAGCTTTCAGGTGCTTTGGAGAATAGATTGACCCCCTCTTCCTTGTGGCAGCCCCTAAAATATTGTAATACTGCTATCATGTCACCCCGAGGCTTTCTTTTAATTAAACTAGACATGCACAATTCCTGCAACCATCCTTCATATTTTAGCCTCCAGTTCCCTAATCTTCTTTGTTGCTCTTCTCTGCACTCTTTCTAGACTCTCAACATGTTTTTTATATCATGGCAATCAAAACTAGAGGCAATATTTCAAGTGTGGTCTTACCAAGGTATTATAAAGCGTTTCTACTTCACATGATCTTGATTCTGTCCCTCTGTTAATGCAGCCAAGGACTGTATTGGCTTGTTTGGCTGCTGCTGCACACTGCTGGCTCATATTTATGTGATTGTCCATTAGGACTCCAAGATTCCTCTTGCAGTTATTGCTATTGAGCTAAGTTTCACCCAATCTGTACATTTGGCTTTTCTTGCCTAAGTGTAAAACGTTACTTTTTTCACCACTGAATTTCATTTTGTTAGATAGGGTTCAGTGTTCAAGTCTGTCAAGATCTGTCTGGATCTTGAGCCTATCTTTTGAAGTATTGGCCAGTCTTGCCAGCTTGATGTTGTCTGCAAATTTGATAAGTTCCCCTTCTATCCCCTCGTCTAAATCACTGGTGAAGATATTGGGCCTAAGATATTGGGATACCCACTGCATACTTCCCTCCATGTAGATGCAGTCCATTAAGAACATGTTGAGTGCAGTTGGTCAGCCAGTTACAAATCCATCTGGTGGTGATGCTGTCTATCCCACATTTTTTCTATCTTTATCAAATAGTACATTGTGGTTGAGTTTATCAAATGCCTTATTAAGTTCAATTAAATTATATCCACCGTATTTCTCTGATTGCTCTGTTTCGTGTTTGTTCTACTGCTTATATCAGGCTCTTTGATGTCTAAACTTCTAACAATTATTGACAATGAGAATTAAAAATGTTACACACATAGTAAGTGCATTTGACAGGACCTACACAAAAACATGCTCAACCCACAGCATACATAAATTAGGCATACATTGGTCCTAACCTTACAATTGAAGAGTTTCTTGTGTATCCTAAACACACAAAAGATACAGTTGTTCTCCAGAGTTAATAATTATTATGGGGACCCAATCTTGATGAAAGTCAAGCCAAGGTTTTCCCTTCCAAAAATGTATTACGGGAAATAACAATTTAGATACATACACTGATTTGGAGGGGAAAAGATAGAAGCAGCAATTAAGCTATATTGCTCCAAAGAATTGCATAAATAAAACATAAGAATTAGCCTAAGTTGAATAAATAAACTGCAGGCATGCTACCAGATGGAAAAGGAACCAGTCCATTAGTTTGATTTTCTGTCCAGAAATGCAACTCTTAAAAGTACATACCTAGGACAAAAGGATAAATATATATAGGACACCAATCAAGTTGAAAAAGCAAGTAAAAAAGTTTGCACTTCCACCCTCCCAACCAATTAGCTCCAAGAAACTAAATATCCAGGAATAGGTACTAAAGCAAGTGGTAATTGTGCCAAGAGATGAAGGCTCTGGAATAGAAAACTCGTGACCTTTCTCTGCTTGCATCTAACATGGTATGATCATACCCAACATCTTTCCTGCTGCCATGCTTCTTTCTCTCACAGAAAGATCCAAACATTGTGGCTGGCACTATTGCAGTCAGCAGCTGTCCACAGCCCACTAGCCAGATGTCAAAGTATCTCCCTCACAAATCCAATTCTTGTCCTGATTGGAGAATGTCTACTACCAGCCAGTGATCTACATAAAGTGTAAGGACAATAAAAGCTGAGGTATAATCAATAACTTTTCTTAACATGCCCTGCACATGCAAAATCTGGACACCAGTAAGCAGCAAGTCAAATCAGACGCAACAGAGGCACAACACAGTGTAAAAATTAGTTATGACAAGATAAACAATCTGAATCCAAAGTATTCCAGTACCACAACAAGCAGCAGGATTAAACTGTTTTTCCAGTCCCCCAAAAGAAAATTTTCAAGTTGGTTGCACTGCAGAAAAAAAAGATGCAAGAATCTGAACCTTGATTTCATTATATAGGTAATCCTTGACCTACAACTATTCATTTAGTGATTGTTCAAAGTTACAATGGCACTGAAAACAGTGAGTTACAACCAGTCCTCACACTTACAACAGATGCAGCACCCCCATAGTTATAGTATCCCCATGATCACATACTCAAAATTCAGGCACTTGGCAACAGACATGTATTCAGGAGCTCAGAGTTATGTGACTGCCATTTGCAACCTTCTCAGCTGGCTTCCAACAAGCATAGTCAATAGGGGAAGCTGGATTTGCTTGCTAACTATATAATTCTCTTAATGCAGTAATTCACTTAACTGTGGAAAAAATTCATAAAAATCATGAAAGAATTCATAAAATCGGGCATGACTCACATAAGAGCCACCATAGCAAGGGAAATTCTGGTCCCAATTGTAGTCGTAAGTTGAAATTGTCTGTAAACACAGCTCACCTGCGATAGATAGCAATTGCTGAAATTCCTTGGGAACAACTTCATTAGCTTTTCCTAACAACAAAACCTACTTACCTAATCCTGCTTCTAGTTTCAGCATCTCCTGACAAAAGCCTAAGAAATTGTTGCTGGGAACAAGTAGCTTATTAAAAATTTTCTGCCATCTCAGAAATGGGTGAGATCCTTATTAAAAGTGCGGAAAGTCGAAATCTTCTACAATTCATGGCCCCCTGAAGAGCAACAACTGTGTTACCCAACTGTTAGCTAAAGACTAGCGGTAGGGAAATAAGTTACAGTATTGCTTCATACAGAATGTCTAAAAAAGATTTTTGCTTTCAGAGGCAAACCTTTCACTTCCTTTCCCGGTCAGTCCACCGGAAAAAGAACAAAAATGTATTGTATCTGCGGTCTAAGTGCTGCAGTGTTAAGTAGGCAAAGGCCTATCATTTAGAGGCATTTGAACTAGAGAGTGTAGCAATTCAAATGTCAGGAAATAGTCTCAGATGTGAAAATACTCCCGATTCACAGCATTTCCTCCCATGATAATTCCTAGCTAGCATGATGTCAACCTAAACTTTTCCCAAAAGCTAATTATGGACAGTGTGTGTGTGCACACGTGTGCTTGGGGATGAAAATAATCTGAGCTAACACAGCCATGACCTACATTTGCTATGTAGAGAAACCCACTGTAGTCAAGAACTGAACACATGAAGCAAACAGACCATAACAGTAGTAGAACAACTGGAACAGGGCAGTAACTGGCAAACTCGGTATTGTAGTGTTTCAAGCCTGCCCAGGAGGCATGACGTACCTTCTGCTTGAACCCTCCATATACCCATTTCGCCAAGAACATGTGATAAGCCATAATCCTTAAAATAATGAAGCCTTAGTAAGTCTGAACAATCAACAATGGTTGCACCATTATATGATACTGAAGAATGCTGCCTCACATTCCCTACAACGTAACTAAGAGAAGCATTCACACCGTACAGGACGCTGGAGTTGCAGTTTCCTTGCAATAACCAGGGGGTTGGACAAGATGACTCCCGAAACCCCTTTTTCCACTGTGCTATAGTGGGCTTTCACATAGCAGAATTTTGCTCGCTTATTTTTAAAAGGTGCACGCCCTCCTCTCATTTCACAGGACGCAAAACACAAGACTGCTTGAAAGCGGTTTTCGAATAAAAGTATAAACTTTGCAAATCCCAAACGATAACCTTGCGCACCATAACTCCGTCACAGAATACTTCATTCAAGCCGAAGTTCTTTCGAGTTGTACAGGATTTTTATTTGTTTTGCTTTTACAAGAGGGCAGACTACGCGTGCCTGATTCAGTTCCCCCAGCCTAATGCCCTCCAGATACACGCTGGCAATTATGAGTAATATAAAACTGTTGCTGCGGAAAGCGATTCCCATCAACCCGAACGGACTCCGTCTTTCCCGCTCCCGCCGGCCCGCCCTACCCAGCGGCAGCCACGCCAAAACTTTTCTCACCTTGTTTTTCAGAAAAGGGGCGTGGTTCGCCTTCGCCAATAGCAATAGCCCATTGAGCGGGAAGGGAATGTCCGAAAAACTATCTGGGCTCAATTCTGTTTTTTCAGCACAGGCAAAGCAACTGTCCACTCGGGAGTGTTTTTAGGCCACAGCTTCCCTCTTCTCCAAAGTCTACAGGTCAAGCGCCTTTGGCGTCCGGCGACTAGCCCCACCAGTCACCGCCGCCAATAAAATATGTGGTTCACTTTCATCCGACCCCGCCCATCCTCTTTATAAGCCCGCTCCTTCTCCCTCCCCGAACGTTTGAAATTCCTCGCGCGCCTAAACGAGAAACTCTGCTGTCCGTTATACGACATATAGAGTGAGAAGCGAGAAAGTTGATTGGTCTCCGACACTCATGGGCAGCTCTAACTGGATAGGTTTTTTTTAAACAGAATACCGTTTTCTCATCTGATAGGTTAAGAAAGCATTACAGAGTCTGAAATCCCGCCCCTCCTGCTTTCTGTTTGGCTGAACTCCTAAAGCGTTCCACCAGTAAGTCCCACCTTTCAGTTCTCGGTTGGAAAAACTGTTATCCCACCTCTCTCCTGCCTCGTTTTTTTTTTCTCCAACGGTTCGCGGACTAAGGCAAGAACATTGAATGACTGGCAGTTTTGTTATCCAATGAGACACTATCTTTAACTGATTAACTTCTGCAACAGGTTTTAGGGAAAGCAAATTTGTGCTTCTGTCCTGCAAAATTTGGGCGAGGTGAGGGAATAGTAAATGACTCTTAATAGGGAGAGAAGCAGCCTCATTGAAGTAAACGGGGAGGCTTCTTAATGTTTTCCAGATGCCGAAGATATGTTTACTTTGTGTAAACTTGTCTAGGATCAAGGCGCAAAATCAAAAGTTTTTGATTTTGTGACTTTTTATGTATTAACGAAATTTTTTCCATACAAATTCCTCTAAGTAGAGAACTTTAAAATACTACAAAAATCATGTACAGTACAAAGGATTAGTAACTATTGTGCACTCCTAGTTTTTGAAAAGGTGCTCTGTAAAACGCATTAGCAAAGTTGATCTTTCCCTTGCTCTCCAAATCAAACATACCTTTACTTAGTTTTCACAAATTGGATAATTCAGGAGAAAGGAAATAATTCTCCACTCACAAATATAAAAAATTTAGAATACATAACAGCAAGTGTATGTTTTGAGAATTGTGTAGTCACAACAGAACAATTGTTAACTCTACTAGCCTAATTGCTTGGCTTTGCAGTGTAAGCTAGTGAATGAAATAGCACAACACACAAAACCACAAACTACTGAACATTTTATCCTAACAGATTTGCATCAAGCCAGAAGTATTAAATATATAGTAGTCTGCATCATGTAGTATGTCACCAGTAGTTTAACATCTTTAACAGCATCATAACCTTTAATAGTGACAGCATCAATACCACACGGAGCAGGGATTCCCAACCAAGGGTGCAATTCATTGCTGTTATTTCAGACTTTTGTAAGGAGAGCGAGAATATATCAGAAATGTTCTAGGGGTGCGGGGTATAGAAAAGGTTGGGAGCTACTGACAGTATACAAAAGAAAAAAGGGTCTAGAAAGCCACATTTATGATATGCATTTATTATCCATAATATAATAATTGGGCATGGCTCCACTTGTATAATTTGTAGTTGTGTTTTTATCAAGCAAAATTGGTTAACGATTTCTGCCTTTTGAGGTACAAAGATTGCATGACAAATTGTCTGTACAATCCAAAGTTAGCTTTGTACTCCCAAGCTACATGGTTAGTTTATGGTTCAGTTTGTAATGCAAACCCAGAAAATTGAGTCATGTAAATACCATGAGCTACAGTAGTGTGCTTTGTATATTCTCCACTATTTTTATTTAATGCACTGTATTCAACTGAAGAGGCTCTAGCTGCTAGTCCACTAATAACAGTAATCAGAAGTTCAGAACATGGCTTCTAAGGTTAAAGAGTTTGTATCATTTGTTTGTTGTTCCCATTTGAGGAAGTCAAATGGAAACAGTGTATACATTTGTTCATGGTAAATCAGATTTTAGAAAGCTGGACTGAAATATGAGGTTCCTATTAGGGAGAAGGGAAAAATCAAAATATTGTAATAATTTTGCATGTAAAATCTTACTCAGCCTTAAAGATTATTGCACACTATTTCACACATTTTCTTAAGTATTTCCAATATGAATACACAAATCTTCCACAATAAAGTGAGTTTATTGATTTGCTTGATGGCAGTAAAAGCACATGTAAGACAGAAACATTATCTTGGTCACAATTAAGCCTGCTTATTTGTTAAGTTTATATCTCCTTTCCTTCAGAAACTCATAGCAGCATACAAGCAGCTTCCTGTTTCCATTTTCCCCACAACAACTTGTGAGGTAGGTTGGGTTGAGAGTATGAATGGATCCAAATCGCTGTGAGCTGCTGTAGAGGAAGCTGGACTTAAGCCTGCATCTCCTTGGAACCACTCCATACTTAATAATTATACCAGACATCTTAAGATAGTACCATTAGTAATATATACTGTACTTGAAGAATTTAGATGACCATGTTCCCAAAAGAGGTACTTGCATTTTTGTTAAATAAAAACTAATTATGCATTAACTTTTTCAGGCAGGAAATAGCCCATGGAAAATTTACCCAACTCAGTTTTGGAATGTCAGGCTGAAGAGGAGAAAGTCAAGTAGGATAGGAATCAAAGACAAGAGAAGGTAACCATAAACTCCGATGAGCATTATTGGTCCATGTGGAATAGTCAGATCCAGTTAATGTGCAGTTACAGATAAAAAAGGAATGATATACTGATGGGATGAGAACTGTGTTATAAAACAGTTTTAAACTTATTTGCACTCAGAATCCGGTCCAAAACCCATGAAATTAATATTAACTGCAATTGTCAAAAAATTAAAAGTTAAACATTTCAGGTTTTGGAATCATAAGGGGTTACTTTTGGTTAACTACCTAGAAAACCAAGCAGCTGTCATCCTGCTCTTCAGAATCCATTTTCATAATTTCATAACCCTTCTTTACTTCATCCCTGTCAAATCAATTGGCAAAGGTGCTCTTCACAGCTGTTATTATGTGTTTTGCACTGATCCCAAAGAGATCTAAGAGCTCAGCAGGTTTTCCACTCCGAGGCACACCTGACACAGCTAGACTCTGAACTAAAATACCAGGTTCTCCAGAGACAGCTGCAGCCACAGCTTCACCAATACCACCTAAAGAAAAAAGGAAAAAGGGATGGACATAAATGGAGATTTTCACTCAGAGCATGTTTGGTACAATCTGCTCCCTTTAACAGCTTCATATGAAAGTTCGAGTTACAAAGTACATGTATTTTGTATGTAACTCAAAGTTACAAAGTTACATATACACTTCCCTTTATGAATTAAACTCATCAAGAAATAGGTTTACATATTTTAGCAGCAAACATCTACCTTTTGACTTTCTCATTCAGAAAGAGAAACAGGGACTGCAAGAAACAATAAAACTTAAGGAATTTATACAGATGTACTTATTTTCTAGTTTGACACTGCAGGTTCAAAGGAAAGCATCTATTTTTCTTTCCACTGTATAGTAGAAGCTCTTTTACTCATTCATTGCCTTGCATTCTGACTATGAACAGATAGAGGCACACAAATAGCTTCTTTTATAGAGCAGTTGAGATTGTGCTTGCAGTAGGCCTTGTCTTACTTTAGGTTTGACCATTCTCAAGCTAGTAGTCCTCAAGACTGGGATGAGCTGCAATTCTCCTTGACCCTCTCTCGAGTTCTCTCGTGTTGAATTGTCCCATTCCGACTATTGTCTCACTTTTCACAGTTCACTAATCGACCATTTGGTGGGCAGAAAGAATGTGTGGACAGACTGAGTTCTTGTATCTAGTGACACCTCAGGCATATGCCAAATGGCGGATAAGTAGGCTGCTGAATTGTTGTCTGACTGTAGCCCTCTAATGTTTATGATATGACAGAAATATACTGCTAAAGCTGAAAAGTGTGGTACCACGTTTATAAGAGCTTGTTGACCAGATGCAAAGAAACACATTGCACCGGGGGCCTCAACATGAGGAAAGGGATATACAGCCCGACCCACCAACTGGCATCACAAGTAGCCCGCAAATATAAAAAGACCGCCACACTTGTTTTAACAGAAACTGAATGGCCATCTGGCAATCAATCACGATACTAGGTTGTACTCCCAATGTATAATTTTTCTCTATAAGGCACTGCAGTAGGTGTGAGCCGAGGTGGCACAGCAGTTAGAGTGCAGTACTGCAGGCCACTTTAGCTGACTGTGTTCAGAAGGTCAGCGGTTCAAATCTCACCGGCTCAAGGTTGACTCAGCCTTCCATCCTTCCGGGGTAGGTAAAATGAGGACCCAGATTGTTGGGGGCAATGTAAATATATATATACATTGCTTACTGGTGTACACCGCTTAGAGAGTGCTTGCACTTAAAGCGGTATATAAGTCTCATAAATAAATAAATAAATAAACTATTGAACAGCACATGAAAAAGTGATAGTATAAACATATAATCAATCTTGGCAATCGCAGAAGCAAAACTAGTTTGTAAAAAAAAAAGTTACTAAAATAGGGGATCTGGGGTACTGCATCTTTAGCCATATTCAATTTCTCCTAAGAATGTCTGAAAAAATGTATTTAGTTAACTACTTAACTTCTTTGTAATGATCCTCAACTGTAATGATATGTCCCCCAGTGGCTCTGGCATTGGAAATGATGGTATCAGCATCCAAAGGTTTGATTGTAAATGGATCAATTACCCGGATATAGATCCCTAGGGAAAAAAAAGCAAAATACTAATGAGAAGAATGAAACAAATAATTCTATTAAAATTGCTGGTCAAGTCAACATATAATTGGATTTATAATCTCCAAAGCTCCAGTGTCCAATACCTTGTTTGGCTAGTTCATCAGCAGCTGAAAGGGCTTCATGAAGAGTGACACCTGCTCCAATAACCGTTACTCTGTCAGCATCACTTATACGGACTACCTATAAAAAGTAATCATAAAAAGTAAACTAAAATCATACAGAATAAGGGAAATGGAAGTATTTTAGATCTGAGAATTAATGTATTCCAAGCAAGTATGAAGAAAATAGCAGAATAGGCAGAACTCCATTGCTGACATGGAGCCTCCCCCTAATGTGCTTGCTTGCAAACACCATTACCAAGAATTCTCCAGGCACATCATCAAAGTTTACCTAAAGAGGCCTGGTGGTTCACAACTGATCCAGTAAGTGGGTGGTTGTCTATTTCTACTGCAGAGATACAGCAACACTGAAACTCCTAAAAAGGAGTATTATCCAATCCAAGAGGAAACTGTTTTCTCATGATCAAATTCTACATAATTATAAGAAAGTGCACTACATATGGAGAACAACTTGCCCTTAATGGTAAGACTAACTCTATCACCCAATCCATGTTCAACTACAACTTTCCTATACCGTGCACCAAAGGAATAACACTTCCAAGTCACCAAGATGATAAAATAATTATGATAACAATTGAAAATATTGAAAAATAAACTCTCTTGTTCCACCCAAGACAAATAAATTCTCTTGTTCCACCCTTCTTTTAAACAGTTGCTGTCTGGATGCAATCTCTTTAATATTGCTTTGTTTGAGCTAAATCTTAATCCAAATTCCAGGGACTTATTTCTACAGCTAGGAAAAACAGGAACTCAACTCACTTCTTATTTGTCAAAAGCGTATATTGATGCTAGGATAAGTAAAAACTGTTATTGTCAATAGAATCAGTCTTCTGCCACCTAATGGTAGACTACAGTACTTGATACAATAACTTGTATATTCCCTTTTGATTGGTAAGGCAGGCAAGGATGGTCTATGTTAAAGGTTTAGCTTTAGAAACAGGATTGCTCTTCTGTATATAAACTCCCTTGATTATTTCATAGCATTTCTAAATAATTTAAGACTGTGTTCCTTATTTTATCTGAAGTCAAACTATTTGCTTGGAAAAAAAATACTGTATATTCCGGTGTATAGGAAGACTCAGCGTATGAGACGACCCCCGACTTGGGCGCTGATTTCCATGCCTAGAAAGTCATCTTATACGCTGGAAACTAACATAATTTCCGGCATATAAGACGACCCCCAACTTTGGCGCCGATTTCCACGCTTTAGAAAGTCGTCTTATACGCCGGAAAATACAGTATTTGGATGCCTTAATTCTTTCCCAGCACATTTCAGTTCATGATATAGGACTCCATTCAAATATTCCACTACCATTATAGACCAAATTACTTAATACAGAATTCTTTCTTTGGATCTTTGAAAGCTGAACTAGAACCAGAAACCATGTGTTTCAAACCCTTTACCTTGGCATGGCCGACCTCAAACTTTTCTTCCTGAGAATACAGGATAGGAGTTTCTGGACGACTGGTACGAATGAAGCATATTCCCTAAGGAGCAATATGGAAGAAGAATATGAATACTCAGAAGAAGAAACAGAGATCTTACCAAAAACTAAACACGGTAGAACACAGAATGGTTTTAAATAATTGTATTGTTATCTAAAAAGCATAGCAATATAGAACATGCTAGATTTATGCAAAGCATCTTAACCACTTTTTAGGGTAATGCTATCACAGAAGGACATATAATTCAAGTAAAGAATTAAAGATACCACACTGGAAGTTTTAAACCTAGTTTTAAACACTGGAAAAACCAAAGAAATCATTGTCGATTTCAGAAAAGACAGGCACAGCCACACTTCTCTGTGCATTAATGAGTCACCTGTGGAGATGGTTACCAGCATCAAATTCCTGGGTGTGCAGTTAACAAGTAGTCTGACTTGGTCGCTCAACAGCGAGACACTGGTGAAGCGGGCACAGCAGCACCTGCATTTTCTGTGTCACATGAGAAAAGCACATTTTCCTTCCCCTGTCCTTACCACTTTCTACAGAGGGACAATCAAGAGCATCCTGTCATACAGCATCACAGTCTAGTTTACAAGCATCACTGCTTCAGACAGGAAGGCAGTGAAGAGAGTGGTGAGGATGACTGAAAAGATTATTGGCAGTTCCTTCCCTTCCATCCAGGACATAGCACATAAGCATTGCTTGAGCAGGATCCGCAAGATTGTCTGGGACACTACACATCCTCTTCACGACCTGTTTTCCTCCGTGGTATCCGAAGCAGAACATCCAGATTCATTCACAGTTTTGTTCCATACAGTATTAACCTTGTGAACTCTAAAGCTTCCTCCTTCTGTTATGTATTCAAGATGGACAGCGATTTTTATGTTACTTGTATGTAAGGGTGTAGGTCTATACATATGTTGTATATAGGATGTTTAAATGTATGTTGTGTATGTGTACACTTTGAGAGCAAGCAACTAAATTTCATTTTTAATGTGTGCCATTGTGTCCACAGTAAAAAATGACAATAAAGGTTATCTATCTATCTATCTATCTATCTATCTATCTATCTATCTATCTATCTATCTATCTATCTATACCATTTCAGAATTATACAGAATACTCTGAGGAACTGTTCACAAAATATATACGTTAATTATCTCAAATCAAAAATAAAATTGACAAAAACATTAGGTTGTCAAACAGTAAAAAGCTACATTGATTTTGAAAAGTTGCTACAACCTTAATCAGCCTGGGAAATTCTGCCCATTTAAGAGATTTTGTGAAATATGAATCTAGAATGTATGTAGTTAATGCAAATTATGGTTTTACAATTATTGCAACTATTGTTTTCTGATATATGGATATATTTGTTGAATGTTTTAATATGTTTCTGCTATTGGCTTGATGTATCATTATGAATTTAACTTTTGTAAAAAGCTTAGATTTGTTTTCAAATGGTGTAAAACAGCTTGAAATAAATGAACTAGCCTTCAAGAAAATGAGGGCCAGGGTAAAAGAAAATGCTATGAGCAAGAAGCTTTGTTGCAAATTTTGCTTCTTGCTCTAGCACACCACAATTTACTTCCCTAATTTAATGATAATACCTCAATCTTGACTGGCCAAGACCAACACCTAAGTTAATATTTTTTACCCACATACCTTAGTGTTTGCTGCCAAACAAACAGCATACTCAGTGGAGACTGCATCACTTGGGTAAAACACAGTACAACCTGGAATAGTTCTGAACATGGCTAGATCTTCCAAAGCCATCTGAGAGGGCCCATCCTCTCCTGGGATAAATAAACAGTTGAATAAACAGTTGAATAAATTGCTTGCCATGTCACAGAAAAGAATGCATTCAAAAACTATACCATGCATTTGAGAGTATGAATACCCCAACTATGCCTCCCAATATTAGGCCTCTGAGATTTAGCATATAATTGCTTAATTCAGTCTTTTATGAAAACTACAGAAGGCCAATCACATTATTTACAAATCAAAATCTCTTTTTCAGGTAGAGCTAGCTGAGTTCATTCTGAGTAGATGAACAGCAAAGAGAATAAAGCAGAAATCCCAAAACACTCTGTGAGCACTCCATCTTAAACAATTTCTGCTTTCCCTATATCTTAGACTATCAACATTAAACCTTAACTATTATCATTAAATTGAATTATTAATAATAACCAGTCTTTACTTCTGGTGTACAGCTAGCATAAACATAAAAGTAGATTTTTCCTAGGATTAGCATGTTGTATTTGGACTACTAAAGCCAACATTCCTTTAGAACACAGCATTCTGCCCAAGCAGCTGATTCCCAAATATGTGTGTTCAAGATCACTGAATGGAAGAAAAACCAAATGAATTGAGAAAAAGTCAAGATTCGTTGCTATATCGTACTCTTGATTTTCAGTTAATAACAATGTTATGTTTTTAAATATCTCTATCAACTGTAGGCTATGTAAATAAACAGGAATGTACCAGCATGATCATCATAGTGAAGAAGACTATAAAGATTTATGTTTAAATTCCCATTTAGTGAAGAAGCTTACTAGATGACTTTGGGTCAAATTATTTTCTTTCAGCCTATCTTATAGTATAGGATTGCTGTAATGATAAACAGGAAAGAGAACAATTTCTGATGGTCCTCACCCTGCTGGAGAAATAAGAAGTTTTAACTCTAACTATAACAATTAAATTAGAGGAGTTTAGATATCAGGCAGCACATACCTATAGAAACCCCACTGTGTGACCCACAAAGCTTAATGTTTGATTGTGAGATAGCAGCCATCCGGATATGGTCAAATGCTCGAGTGAAAAAGGCAGCAAAGGTGCTGGCAAATGCAATGGTGCGGTTCCTAGCAGCACAGCCCAGAGCAACACTCACCTACAGCACATAGACAAAAATGTCATCAGAACGGGTTATGCCACAAGATTCACCAATCCATTTCATATTTTCAGACTCACCATGTTCTGCTCAGCAATGTAACACTCTATATAGCGTTCTGGATGGGCCTGTTTGAAAAGCTCAGCAAAAGTGGAGTTTTTTGTGTCACCATCCAAAACAACCACATGCTTATCAGTCTTTCCCAGTTTTACCAGGGCTAAACCATAGGCTTTGCGGGTAGCCACCTGTCAAAAAAAGAAAATCCCATCACAATCCATTGCAGGTCATTTAATTTACCACCAAGTCAAAAGGATGATCTAAGCACATTTGATAAACATTACATTTCTACAAACATCTTCACTCTTCTTATCATATGCCTAGGCACAAGTTGGGAAAAACTCTATTTTATCTAGAAAAAACTTCCAAGAAGTCACTATGTGAAAAGCAGTGAAGGATTGACATTAGAATACAGGCATTTTATATTAAATTTCTGTACTAAGAGAGGGGTGAAAAGGAGAAAAAACATATTAAAATTTATACAGAATATCTAAATTGAGGCTCAGGGTTGCATGTAGTCCTCAAAAACTTTGGGAATGCCTCCAGGATCCCCTACACTAACCCTTTTAATCTTTACATAAAAGCAGGAAATTATTGCAAGTATGGAAAATAATAATCAAAGTACTTTTATTTAATTTAAGCCCATTTTTGTCCAGATCCCATCTATTTTATTCCAACTTTATTTTTGTGTGTGTGCCCCTGGTTAAGTGTAGTCCCTATTCCAAGAATGAATGCAAATCCTGATCTAAGTTATGCTATCATTTTCCAAATTAATATACTAATTTGCCTTTATTCTCATGCATAAAGCTTACTTCATTATGGATCCCTTACAGGGTTTCTCTAAGGGATAAGGGGTACTATCAAACTGGATTTGAGGACAAAAAGAAAGGTACCTCAAAAGTTAGGAAGGTGGACTCTGACAGAAAAAGTCTATTTCAGCTCAAAGTCCAAATTAACACTGAAGATGCATGTTATGAAAATGTCAGCTATATATGAGCAATAAATAAGGTGAATAGAACATTCTTAAGGATTTTACTCCGTTAGCCTTTTCTTATGGGTATAGGGAGAAAAAGAAAGTTGGTAAGTTTTCCACTTAAAAAAATTAAATCTGGAATTTGTGAGTGCTCTGCATCAGATCCATGTCACGCAGACCTTTTGATATGGCAGAAGAACAGAGTATTTGCAAATACTGAAAGAAAAATCTGCCCAGCCCATGTGGTACCTTTTCTCCTATATTATAGGTAGGTAAAGAAGGCATTCTGATATCCACAATATTGATTGGTGGCACATCTTGAGCAGGTGGCTGGATAGTACAAATATCACTAGTCTGGATTTGACTCTGAATAGTAGAGATAATAGATTCCACTTTGTCTTTTGGAATGGGCTTTCCATGCCAATTGTCAGTATTCTCCACACCTAAAACAGAAAATATTAGTTAGTGACATTCAAGGACTCTTATTACCTTTTCCCATCCCCATGATTCAGAGACTACTTTCACCTGGGATTCCTCGTCCTTTGAAAGTCTTGGCCACAATCATGGTGGGCTTCCCCTTTTGCTGACTCGCTTGCCATAAAGCCTGGCATAGTTCCTCCACATCATGACCATCCACAACACAGGTATTCCATCTAGCAGAAGATGAAAAAGTTGGGGCAAAAAGCAGCAAGCTTTCTACTAGAATTAGGATAAAAACAGCCAGCAATGCTTACCCAAAGGCTTCACAGCGCTTATGATAAACATCTGTATCATGGCCCAGTGGTGCTGCTTCACTTTGTCCCAGCCGGTTCACATCAATAATGGCCACTAGATTATCCAATTGATAGTGAGACCCAAATTGTAGGGCTTCCCATACTGATCCCTCAGAGGATTCACCATCACCCAGTAGGCAGTAAACTCGGTAACTAGAAGACAGCAAGACACAAGAGTCCCAACAAGCGTATGCATGTGTGTAGGATAAGTTTCTTCACTATACATTCTTTGCCATTCTCTGACCCAGTGGACGTTAACAGTAGAGCAAACAAAAACAAAAAAGGAGGCCAGAAGCATCTTGTGAAAGAAGCAACAGGCTTCATTGTGAAATAGACCAGGGGTGTCAAATTGCCGGCCCGTGGGCCGGATGCATCATAGCAAAACCACACCCACCCCATTGCTGGCAATGGGGAAAAAATCGTGATACATCATGACATGTCACATGATGTTGCGAGTTTGACACCCCCTAGTGTAGACCTGTGCCAGATTTCTCACCTGGTTTTATCAAAGTATTTTCCTGTATAGGCCATTCCACAGGCAGCTCCCAGACCCTGCCCCAAGGAACCAGTGGCCACATCCACAAAAGGAAGTCTCTGTTAAGCAAAAAGAAAAGAGTTCTACAAACAGAATAAATACTGACACAATCTGTTGGGTATTTCATTGAAAACAGTCTTTATGAAATCTGTTCTGGACAGAGACAAAATTTGGATCTTTTCCAATATAAATATATAAATATACACCTCATTTTAGTGCCTTTGTATTTCAACAAAATATATTCCAGTTTGGAATTCTATCATAAAATCCCCGTTTTACCATACATATGTTTAGTATTAATTTGCACAGTAGAACAAGGCCAATTTTATGGGCTAAGTTTCTGCATCAGTGATCCACAACAGCATATGTGGAAACCATTACTTCTGTCACGGCTTTCAAATTTCAGATGTCTCCATGAAAGAAGCAACAGTACTATTGTTACATCCTAAAAACTATTTTAAAACTATTTACACTATCTAAGATTTATGTATGTATGTATGTACATATAAATTTTGACTTTTTAGGTCAAGTTTTTTTTTTCAAAGCTCCCCAAAATTCCCAGCCTTATTCCCAGAAGAGCACTTACAGGAGTTGGGTGACCTTCCAGGTCAGAGTCTATTTTCCTCAAATTTAACAGCTCAGACTCCTTGATAAAACCAGCTTCTGCCCATGCAGCATAGAGTATAGGCGCAGCATGACCCTGCAAGGAGCAAACAAAGTAGCCATCACAACCATGAAATAGTAATCTCTCTAGTTTTTAAGATGATTACTCTGGAATGTGGTGCTGCAGAAAGAACTGAGTCGAACTCTCAGCTAGGAAGAAATAAGCTATGGCCTTAACTTGAGTATTATAATCCAAGTCCCATCCTCCAAAGACCACCTCCCCCATATTCCTCCTCTCACCTTTGAGAGCACAAACCGGTCGTTGTTGGGGTGGCCTGGTTCATTTGGCCTGTAGCGCATGGTATGAAAGAATAACACAGATATGATCTCTGCTGCACTGCAACATGATGTTGGGTGTCTGCAAGGTCAAAAGGCAGAGAGACAAAAATTCAATAGGAGCTACCCACAGAGATACAAAATTGCTATTAGAGTTAAATTTACAATTCAGAGCATAAGTTCAGTTAAAAGACACCCCCATGACTTCTGTGTTCACCAGAAGCAATAAAAACTCTATATTCATAGGCCTCACAACATCACCCATAGATTGAGGAGGAGTAGTTAATGAGAATACAGTAGCTCATGAACTTCAAGTAAAGCTATCAGCCGACCTAGAGAGGAGCTATTCAAATTAATGGATTTCTGAAAACTAATTAAGAACATTTCTTGCCTTCACCATCTCAATTGACAGAAACCTCTAGTTAGCCCTGCTGAGATTGGAACCCAATATAAAACCTTCATCGCCTCCTCCCCGCAAGCGAACCTAAGAGGAGGGTAATATACTGTACCAGGAAACGTTCCCATGACCACATTTAGATGTAAGAAACAAAAAAGAAAATACAATCCCCGGTGCAGGAAAATGGTGGGACTATCACAAGCTCCATCAGAAAAGAAAGAGAGTGAAATGCATCCTTTCTCTTCGATTACCCGGAGTTCGAAGCGCAAGTTGCCCGAATAGAGTGAATCCGAAGGCGACTAGCAATATCTCGTAGGTTTTGCAGAGTTTTCTCCTTCGGCTTAAGGTAGCTGCTGGCCATGATGAAGCTCCTACTATCCAGATGCGCTAAGCACGCTTTGCTCTTTTTTCTCCGGCTGGCCGGCGCTCCGCCTGCAAGAGGAAGTGAGCTCAGAGGCTGGGGAAATTGGCGAGGAATGGGGTTTGCATCGGTCGCCCCATGCGTAAAGCGATTGCTACATTGCCAGGCCTGTGGGCGTACTAGAACATCAGTTACAATTGGGCAGTTTCTCTTCACATGATACTCGCCAGTTTCTGCCCTCTGCTTTCTGAAGTCGGCCGGTGCTCTAAACCCTCTGGAATCCAGCACTAATGTTTGTGTGAGCCGTGGCGTTGTGGGGCTCTGAACACCCGCGGAGGGAGGGGGGCGAATGAACGAGGAGTGAATTGGGTGTCGTATAGGCCGAGAATCTTGTTCTGATGACGCTACAACATTAGAATGTGACTGAAGAAAGCAGCTTTTTCAGGGTGCTTTCAGGATCCATATTTTTTTACTACTTGTGCTCGGAAATGAAAGAAATGTTTTCCCTCTGTGTAAAACCTCACAACAGGACATCGGAGGAGTGCTGCTTTGACAGGCTGGTTTCTGATGAACACCTTTTAAAAAAGATGTTTGTATGCAGGAGAAAATCATTTCCCCATTTGTGACACTGCAGGAAAACATTCTCTTTCCCCTCTCAGTACTGACTCTATACATTAAAATTCTACCTACAACTTGGGGAATAATTCTTGCTGAGCTCAATACCGAAATGCAATATTCACCCAATCAAACTGCAAACTTCAACCTGTCCAGAAACATCAGGCAGCCTGGAATGTGGTGAACATCCTCTCTGGAAGTAGTCTATGTGTAGCCTTGCAGGTTTGGCATTGCAGGAGAGGAAATATGTCACTGGCAGCTAGCCCAGAGTGTCTGTTTGCCAAGAGACTGACAGACAATTGCAAGGGTTGACAGCATGCTTGGACAAAGTGCTTGGCCTCAAGTTTGTTTGTATACCATCCTAGTTTTTAGATAAGAGGGAGAAGAAAGAATATATCACTGTGTTTTGTGCCATAAATGCAGCATTCCCTTTCAAGTTAGAATATAGGAGAAGTATAATTATATAATTATAAGTATAATTTGCTAAACACATGCACCTTTATTTGTTCCATTGACTACTAAAGTGGACCCTGTCTTGAGACAAATTGAGTAAGCTACCTTGGAGGAAGTATTGGGATTAATTGGCTGTGATTGTGCCCTACTCTGAATTGCAAACTAGTCAGCCACATCATAGCTTGCTGCAGATCCAGCACATATGGTTAGATTATAGCTCTCTGTGACATCAAACCGTTATTATTAGTAATATTTTGTGCCATTACAGACATTTAAGAACATAGAAGGGTCTGAAAGTCTTGGCAAGCCACAGCTGAAAGAGCAAAAGCCATGGAAGAGCCTCCCCCCCTCCCAAAGCCATACCACTATGCTCTTTTACAGGTTGTATTAATTTTAGTGGATATTCAATACTGTCTTTCTGCATAAGGCATCAAAATGTCCTGAACTATCTTTGCTTCTGCCAGTAGGAGCTAGATTTGTGTAACGATCCTCTCAGTCTTCTAAAATGTTTCTGCCTTCATGTCAAGAGACCAAGCACATCATGGATCCTTTTTTATGTTCATGGCTGTTGAAAAGCAATAAAGATTAGAAGGTGAAGCAATCATGGAGATAATCTCATATGACAACAGTGATTGTATGTCCTTTATTATAAACAGTCATTATATGTCCTTTATTGTTATGTGTCCTTTATTTCAAAGAATTGTTCTTTAGATTTATTTAATATAATTATTTATGTGGTTTTACTGTTGAATTTTCCTTTGTAAAACAATTATATACATTTTTATACTTATAGACTTCTGCCCTTTTTAGATTTGTCCTCCCCCCCAAAAAAAACATGATAATTGTAAGTATAACCTCCTACTCTGTTCAAGATTTGGAATGCATGATGCAGGTACAGCACTTGCAAGACAGATTAATTCAGCCCCTGATTAATATAAAATTAACAATAACAATAGGTGGATAAAAATGCCAAATGAAGTCTAAACATCTGGCTGACTGCAACGAACCATAATATTAGTCTAATAGTGGATGTGGCAGTATCTGACAATGGCTGAATAAAAGAGAAAGAACTGGAGAAAATCACAAAATATGAAGACTTGCAAATAGAAATAGAGTGACTGTGGCAAAAGAAAGCAAAGGTATTACTACTACTACTACTACTGGGTGTAATCTGAAAACAACTGGAACATCACTTAAGCACCATTGGCATTAATAAAATCTCTACCAGTCAATTGCAAAAGTCAGCTTAACTTGGAACAACTTACATCCAGTCTAAACATCTGTCTGATTGTGTGATAAACTGTACTATTAATAATAGATACAAAGGTGGGTAGAGAAAGACTCCACATGTGCCTATTACCCTATGCCAGGGGTAGGCAACTTTAGTTCTTTTATGACTCGTGGACTTCAACTCCCAGAATTCCTGAGCCAGCATAGCTGGCTCAGGAATTCTGAGAGTTGAAGTCCACGAGTCATAAAAGAGCCAAGGTTGCGTACCCCTGCCCTATGCTTAGATATAAACTCCTTTAGGAGTAGTAGATTATATTGTATACTCATCTTATACCAGAAATGTCAAACACAACGCCCAGGGGCTGGATGCGGCCCACGAAGTGGTTTCATGTGGCCCGTGAAGCCATCCTGGAAACAGTGAGGAAATGGCCTCTGCTGCCTTGGCCCTGGCCCAGGCCAGCCGGGAGCCAATATACAATTTTGTGGTGGCCATCTATGCTGAAACACATTCAGTCTTAGCTCCACAAGGCCGTCTAGAAACAGGGAGGAACCAGCCCCTGCTGTGTCGGCCCCGCCCCCTGGGAGCATGCTGGGGAGGTGTCATCCTTTGTGAGGAATGAAGAAATGGACCATGCCTTGGGGCTTGCCCCGGTCCCACCATCTTCTGCCAGAGACCTTCAGATGTGTCCCACTCCTGCCCAGGCCCCTACAGGCCCCCTTGATGCCAATGATGTAGAGCTGGCCATGTCCACCCAGTAGGCCACACCCACTGCATCTACGCCCACCCAGTAGGCTGCATCCACCCTGGCCACACCCACCTGCCCCCCCCCGAGGGCAACCGCAATGCTGATGCGGCCCTCAATGAAATTGAGTTTGACACCCTGTCTTATACAATGTATTAAATCATAACAAAATTACTTTCACAGAAGACATTGAGTTAGATAACTAAGATTATAAATTGGAAGCATGTTTAATAGTAAAGCTCACTGTCTGATTATTCTGCAAAGATCCATGTAATTGTCTTATCAACAATATGGAAATAATTTGGGAATGATTTCTTTCATGATATTTCTTTAGGTCCCAGTCTATCCTAGTACCCAAAGTTTCCTGGTGATATTCCATCCAAGTACTAAAAGGGTTGATTGTGCTTCCTGTTTCTCAAGGTCATCTGAGATTGGCTGGTGTTGCCACCTGCATTCTACTTATTGAAAAATGGCTATATGTGATGGCATGTGCAGCTGGAGAAGTGGCAGAAAATCTCAGCAATCTACTGTAATAACAACTTCCTAGGGTGGAGGCAATACATTTCAGAGAGAGAAGTCCAAAATAGGAGATTGTGGTAATGGAGGGAGGAAAAGGTTCAAAGTATCCATATCCTAGAATCTTCCAGGTTTTATATATATTAAGTTAGAAGGTTATTTGTTTGTTTGTTTGTTTATTTAACTTGGATGCCACATATCTCACTGTTGAACTACTCTGGGCAGCTTATAACATCATAAAAACAAGAATATAAAAATTAAAAAGTTAAAAACATGAAACATTAAGAAACATTGGGTAAACTGGGAATCAGTATGCAAGTGGGGTGGAGTGGGATCCACAAACCACCTTCAGCATGGAATGCCCCCATTGGGACCCCAAGCCAATTGGCAGAGGCAGGTTTTGATGTCAGGCACAAATAACGAGGAACATTTGTTGAGATAACCAGGAACATTTGTTGAGTTCAAAGCTAAAGAAGAGTTTATTATTGCTACCTATGCACAAGGATCTAATCAACTAATGGTTAAAGCTAAATAAGGTCAACAGAATTCATGGCAGGCTGCACTTGGATCTCTGGGCCAACAAAATAACTCTAAACTGATGACACTTTTAATTTTGCCTTCCAACTCAGCTTGTTCTTTTCCTACATTGAGGCCCTTTCAGAAGACCAAGTGGTGGGGGGCAAATTGCGTTAGTCTGGCAAGATTATGTCTATTAGGTATAAGCAAATAAAGAACTGGATTCGATCAGATTTCACTGTGGGCTTAGTCTTGACATTACCTGAGGAGAAAACATTATTTTTAGTGCCATCTTTGATTCCAGACTGGGCAACAATTTTGTCAGATAACATTTTAAGTACAGTCTCTTCCTTAAACTTATATTTAGTTCTTTGATCTTTCTAGATTGAGTGACAGCATCTGCCTGCCATCTTTGTTTGAACTCTGGTCATATAACTTAGTTGGTCACTTTTGCAAATACAGTTCAAGTGCTGGTTCTTCCCTTTTCACATCCACCAACATATAGGTTTTCACATAAATGATTGATTGAGCCTATATGTTGCTCCAATAATAGTCAACTCTTGAGCAGCTTCCATACATTCCACATTCAAGAATAAATAATTCAGAACAATCAACCAAAGCCAGGTAGTCCTTGGTTAACAACAGCAGAAGGGAGCAGAATTTCCATTGCAACATGATGGTAAAGTGTGATGTCATGTGAGCATGCTGCTTAATGATGGTAGTTCTGGACTACCAGGTTGCTGTTATTAAGCAAATCCTGCTACATCATTAAGTGCAACATCATGTGGTCACCATTTGCTACCTCCTGCCAGCTTCCCCATTGATTTTGTTTGTCCAGCTCCCCAGTGACTGTGAGATGCTGCAGTGTCATGATTGTGAGCCAGTTGCCATATGTCAGCTCACAATTGTGTGACTGCAGGGATGCTGCAAAGGCCAGAATTTTGAGGACAGATGTAAGTACAAATTGTTCAGCAACTTTGTAAGTACAAAGTGTTGCTGAATGAGTGGTCACTAAGCAGGACAAATTATACAATTATATGTCAGTGCACAATTGCACCATTAAATAAATATTGCACAGTGTAATCTGGTTTTTGGTTGCAGTTGGTTTATACTAGCTTTGTACTACAAGAGGGAACTTCCTTAAAATAGATCCACTCCAAAGCCTTAGGACAGTCAGATTTTAACTGCCTTCCAAAAAACAGCGGCATCAGGACCATACAAGACTATACAGATGAGGTAAATGAGGGACAGAGGGCAGCATTTGACAAGGACCACTTTGTGGAACCTGCTGATGGGATTCCCGGTGAAATGAAACCTGAAAGAACTAATTCTTCCTGATATTTTGTGAGGAAATATAATTGGGAGTATGCAGTCCCAAAGATACTTAGCTCTTAAATCAAGTAGGGCTTTTAAAATGAGAGCCAGCATCTTGAATTGCAGTTGGAAGCCACTTGGTAACCATTACATCTCAGAGAGGAAGTGTGATATGAGTAAACTGAGATACACATCTGATTACTTCAGGCTGCTATATTCTTGGAGCAGCCACATCCAACTATCTTTAAGGATAGCATAATGGGGAACACATTGCAGTTACTTGCAGATTATAATATGTGCCTCATTCACTCAGAAGGAGGTCTGTTGTAAGAGCAGTTGGGATAATTATTTCAGGCAGGGGTTTTGGGGCAGTAGCAAGTGTAATTAAATGAAGATATTCTTTGTATTTAGTTAATTTAAAAAACCTTTAAAAGGGAGATGAAATTCATAAAGGTTACCTCTTAACTCATTTTTCAGTAGGCTAGAGGAAGTTACAATTTTATTTATTTCTTTGCTAGTCAAATTTGTATAGCTGTCTATCTCACCAAAAGCAACTTGGGCCAACCTACAACAATCAAATAAAACAACAAATATAAAAACATGAGATCACAAATTAATGTTATTTTTGTGCTCTTGTCTATTTCCATACAGCATTCATGGTAGACTATAATTTAACCAAAGGAGAACCTTCCCAGCAGTCAGAAGCTTCAACAAGTCAAGCTCCCAGTTCAGTGAGTGACCAATAAAACATTTTTATCTAGCACATGGCTCTTTTGTAGACACTCTGAATCACAAACTATAACACTCTAGATCACAATTTGATTGGAGCATAAGATGTTGAGCAAACCCATCCTATGTATAACATATCAGATGAACTCAAAAGTTGGATTACTTTGGTAAAGTATGGGTAAATAAATATTTCTAAGTTTGAACACAGTCTATCACTATGTAATGAGATTCCAGGCAGTAATGGCCCGTGATTGTAATGGCAGCTGAATGATATGTGATGTCACTGCAGTGTTCTAATGATAGGGAATTTTCTGTGCAAGGGTACTTTTCCAAAACAGAGCAGAAGATAGGGCAAAATATAAGAAACACTAGTGTTTTTGCACCTTACTACCCACAGTCAAATAGGACCAAAGAGGAATGTCATCCCTAATATAATCACACCTTGTCATCTCACCTCAAATCCAAGAAGGCATTTCAAAAGGTTTTTGACCACTTTCTTGCCTCCCAAGAACAGCAGTGCCTACTATCCCTCCATGCCTTTTCTCTTTTTTAAGGGATGCTTTAAGAGACAGGGTAGTTGAGATAAATGGGAAGTTCACCAGAAAACTGAAGAGGCAGCCAGCTGCTGAACATCTCTCTGACACTGCCACCTTGGTTTCCCCAATAAAGAAATGACAGATTTTAAATTAAACATATGTGTGCTTGTACATGCTGAGATATACTGAGGAATCCATGCCTAAATCCACTAGTGAAGCAAGAGAGGCAGTCATGTTGGAAGAAAATGAACAAGATTTAAAATATAATTCTATTAGGAATTTTGCTTAATTTAGAAATTTGAACTAAGGGGACAGCAAGAACTAGCACTGAATATCTGGAGTTATAAAATTGCCATAGGTTTGCCTGGAAAGAGAGTTATTGGACAGTTATCTATTATTCAGCATCCCTGTTCTTCTCACAATTTCCAAATGATAGCACTCCATCTTGCTTTACAAAAAGAGAAACTGTCTTAAATGAAAGCAGTGCAGAGAATATGAGAATAAATACAAAATAGACAGTATAAGACTTAACATTCTGAGATCACTCAAGATAAGTACATTGTTAGCTTCCTAATGTAAAATATGACAATTCTGAGGTAACTTAAACTGGTATACTTTTCTCTAATACTCTTGACTTCCTGCTCCATCCTTGTGGCAGGTGGACCCCAGTCGGAGTCGCAGGTCCTCTGCTGCTTCTGGATCTTCCCAGTCAACTTACCGAAGTCCGAAAGATGCTCTACGCCATCGCATATTGCACTTGTCTGAATTGCTGCGGGTAGAGAAGGCCAATCGTGATGAGAACCTCTCCACTTATGTGGAACTGGTAAGCAAGGCTGATCGGGAAAAGGCACCCTCCATCCGTCAAGCATTTGAACGTATCAACCAACGCTCTTCAGCTAATATTGCTCATCTCGAACAGCGTCTGCAGGATTGCATAGCCCAACTGAAGAGATTAGAACAGAAGATTTTCTCACCTGCAGACAGCAGTTCCTCTACCCCACCCCAAACCCTCAAGGTCAATGTGACCCATCAAGGGCCATATAACATATTCAAGTTCCGCCCTACAGAAGCTCCTCTAATAGAAGAATACTCCATCCAAGAAAGTGCAGAAAATGAGTCTATCACAGAGGGAGGCTCAAAGCAGTATTTTGAAGAGGAGGCAAAAAAGAAGCTTCAGGATCTGAGGAACCAAATCACGGAGCTAAAGGAATATCACAAAGCCCTGGACAATCAGAGGAACATGTTAGATGAAACTTGGAAAGCTGATAAAAAGCAAATTATGGAACTCCTACAGGAGGAAAAGAAAAGGTGCGCATCCAAATTCTTGAGAACAATAGTTCCCAGTATTCCATCTCCTTGACGTTGCAGGCTTGATGTCCCTGGTGTCCTGTTTCCTACTGACACTCATTCTCTTAGAACATCACAGCTTTGTCTTCAGTGACAAATCCACTATTTCTTTCCTGCATATGAAGCTATTTGCTTCATATGCAACCCTCACACAAAAAAGCAAACATTTCCCCCCCTTGTGTTACTAATGTAGTATCACAATACAGATCATAACTTGCCTATTTCTTCTGATCTTCTCCATGCTTTATTAACATTATTCAAAAACTTCCCGCTTTCCTTGTAATAGGAAAAGTGCATAACCACAATCTCCTTAGCCAGGAGGAATGTTGCAATTTCTTTTTATTAGAAAAAGATCCATCTTGTATGTAGAAGCATACAGAAAATGAAAACACTTTTAGAACAATTAATCCCACTTGGGATACCTTCAATGCAGTCACTCCACATTTATTGATATGTTTTCAGAGCAAAGCAGAAACACACTAGTATTGGATTAGTTTCTTTGCTGGTATATTCCATCCCATAATCCTCCAATCAGATTAGATTACATTAGAAAATAACTAGACTAGATTATTTAAAAGATTCCTTTCTAAAAAAGTAATTTCAGTGAATGAACAGATAATTCTTCATACATTTTTCTTAAAAAAATAATAACATAGTATACCTACAGGATGAAATAAGAGGCTAGAGGCTGACTGATGGCTGAGTTACCATTCCATTTGCTAGTAAATATTTGTTATTTCTGTTATGTAGCCAAAAGGAAGTCAATCATTGCAAATGAAGAAATTTAAGGTCATATTTATTATGTCTATTTTCACCTTTAGATAATTTCATTTACTGTAGATAAAAGAATATCTGGTAGAGAACTGTTCAGAAACATATTTAGCATAATAATTCAGCCTACCCAATGGTACATCTACTTGTCACATCTTTGGCAGCAATAGCGCCTCTCTAGTTCTAATCCTCACTGGGCTCCCAACAGTATTTTTTCCCCCCACCAGTATTAGATTTGGTGCTTTGATGTATCGCAGAATGTTTGATTTCTTTTGTTTTCACATTCCCAAACCCAGATGGCACTGGATACTTGTAATCCTCTCTCCTCCCTTTTCCAATCCAGGATGAGCATAGTCACTCATCTCTTGTACTGGAAGTGTCAGATCAGGAAGCAGAACCAGCTCATCATAATCCATTTACAGCAATGCCTAAAGTGGTGACTGTAACAAGATCAGCCAATTGGCTGGGAGGTTTGGGGGGGGGGGGAGAGAAAAGGGACTTAGAATACAGGATCAGATTATAGAACCTCACTTAATGTCACTCTTCTTCAGGCACTATAACCTGGAAATACAAGTGAATGATGCGATACAGCTAAATCTCAATGAAATCACCAACCTCAAACATGATCTGGCTTGCACTGAGGAGAAGATGGTGTATCAATCTTATGAGAGGTCACGGGATGTCTGGGTAAGAGATTGCTTAACTAAATGCACGGGTGCTATGCACAGTATTGTTCTAGGAACAAAGAACAGGACATTGGAACAGGTTTCATGTGGGTAGCTTGACAGAGTGCATAGAAATGGAACAAAATAAGAATTTGTAATATCCCATCTTACTCAATAGGCTATGACAACTGTCTTTAGAGAGAGCAGTGTCTTTTTGCAATAAGAAATGAAGATTGCAAAGACTGTCAATGCAGGATGCCAGAAAACTCAGAGGACGCAAGATTATAGAACGATGCTATGAGCGGTACAAGCACTGGCACTGTTGTTTTGTCTGTTGATAGGGTCATCATGACCCTGCTTTTGCACATACTGCAACACCAGCGTGCTAGCATTAGGAACGCACATAAGTGGGATCTACAACAAAATATTGCATTGTGCCTTCCCCTTTTGTACCAGTCAGCATTCTATGACCAATGAGCATAGTATTACTTGGGTTGTTTCAGAGTCCCCTCAACGTTTTTCCTCTAAAAGTATTTCCTCTCTGTGCATTTGTAAACCCTGGCAGAAAATGTTGGTATCTGTCTTTCTTGTCTAGATAATGTCACTTGGGTTATCCAGGAGCCAGAAAACTGATCTTCCTCTTTGCAGATATTAATAGAGCCGTCAAAGAATTAGACCATGTGAACCTGCAAATGGCAGGTGAAAAATAGCATTGTGGAAATCCACCTGGGATTAACTAAATCAGTGTCTGGAAACTGGCTGGTCTTGTCCTGACCTCCTGTCTTTTCCTTGTCTTTGTGGTAGGAAGTGCTTGATTCCTACCAGACCCGGCTTGCCAAACTGGAGCTGCAGCAGCAAGCCCAACAACAGGAGGCAATGGAGATGCCCCAGGCGAGTATGTATAAGCTTTATGGACAGCTCATGAACCTTCTACTGACCATTGCTGCCATTATCCTGGTGTTTTTTTCAACAATTTCAGCTTTTATAGTGCCTCTTCTGCATACTCGTATGCGGGCCATATCCACTCTCCTTGTGATCACCATCATAACTCTTGCATGGAATTACTTCCCTGACACTATTGAGTCAGAATGGAAAACATGGCTTCCTTCATTTGAATAGTCAGACAACATTGGCATCAATATTTCTGTACCTATGCTGCAGCTTCTCAACAATATAACTATTTATTTGTTTATTAAAATTAAAAAGAAGTCTGTCTTTCTGTTCTTTCTTTTGTCCTTGATTGTTTCTATAGCTATGAAGAACTAAATTAAAAAACTGCTTGAAAAACAATTCCATGTGACAATCCACCTCTGAATTCTAGCATCCCAGATGAGTTGAAAAACAATGCAGGAAACTTGAGGATTGGTGTTCATGTTTGGTGTGGAGGTTCAACATTTGGAGAGGAAGAGAGGAACATGTGCATGCACATATGTTATGCATATGAAAGCATGATTGCACATGAAAGAAAATAAATGGAATTTATTTTAAATCCTTGTACTCTTGTTTAAGCTATTCAGCCCACAATTTTTGGTACCTGAGATAGGAAATCCTATTGCATTCTAACTAACAACATTCTCATTCAGCTGATACATCAGTTGAGGTTTGCACAGGAAAATTTCTCAAAATGTTCTATCTCATTGCTCAGTTTTGTTTCTTTTATACTTTTCTGCTCTCATACTTTTCAGCTTGAGCTAGCAGTTTCGCTCTGCTTGATTTCCACAGATACTCATTATCAAAAATTAAAATTACATTGTTTGGCTATTTCCCTTTTTCCACTAATCCACAGTCATTATACTGGCATCTAAGGCAAATTCTCACCTGCCTGGATACATTTCAAGCAATATACACTGTGGGCAAAATGTAGTGTTTTGCAACATCATTTGTAAGATACAAACTCAGCTTTTATGCATAATATAACCATTTTTGTACATTAATTTATTCAGTCTCACTGCTGTAGAGTTTTTAAAAATAATTTTACCCATTGCATTTCTAGCTAAATATCCCATGGAACATGGGCGATTTTAATATCAAATACTATGTACAGAGTGGGTCCATACAGAGTTCTGGGATAGCCAGAGTGCTATGGCAAAGTCTCATTTATGATTTCTGCCAGAATTGTTTCCTCCTGGGCAGAGCTAGAAATCAATATCTCCAAACCTGCAGGGAATAACTTCATTCTCCAGCCTCCTTTCAATGGACTCCCTGCACTCACCCAAACATTTCGTAAGAGGGGTAGAGCAAAAGATAATCAAAATAGAACTGCTGTGGCTGATGTCTAGTTTATCACCTTTTGTGGATACATCAAACTATCTACCCATTTATAGGAAGTGGCATCTTGAAGATGAGTGGATTGTCTATAAAAAATATGGGATAGACCTGCTTCACAAAAGTCATAAACTTTTCCACTGGAGCCCCCGTTGTTCTGCCTCTCTTGCAGTCCGAAGGATAAGTGAAAGATTAATTAAAGATACAGCAATAAGGGATGAGCATCAAAACAACCCCTGAAGCCCAGGAAAGTTTCAGACTGATGGAATATTTGAACATAGAGATATGAACTTTTCATTGCCACCCCTAAACAATTCTGAAAGGAAAGTGGAAACACCTCCCTCTCCCTAGGAGAAATAGAAGCACCCAACCTGGGTCACAGTCTTAAGTCCAAGCAATGGGTTTGTGCAATAGCAGCCCAATATGTTAGATATTCATCAAGAAAGTGCTCTTATGCTGGTGATACAGACGAGTTAGAGGTTGATGAGACTTCAGTGCGGGAAGTAGAGGAAAGTTCAGAACCATCATCCACTTTCTTGCCAAAGAGCTGCATTATGCAATTACGGAACTGCCAGGAGATAGAGAAATGTCAATAGCATTTACAAGTTCTACTCTTTTTCACCACATACAACATAATCCCCAAATGACATAATCCACATCCCCAGTTGCTTTCTGTTCATTAGTTTTAATCAGCCCGTCTTTTCAATTCCAATAATTTCTAGCTATTCCATTGGAGCCAGAGCAAATTACCTGTCTGTTCATGAAGACATAGATAATTGGGTTGTAAATGGTGGCGCTTTTTGCAAAGAAGGCAGGCAGGGAAGCTGTCAAGGGGTGAAAGGCATAGCCTGGATTGGCAACAGCAAAACAGGCAAAAAATGTATATGGTCCCCAGCAGACAATATAGGCAATGATCATGACCACTACCATCCTTGACACTTCCTTCTCTGCCTTTTGTGTTGATTCTGACTCCTTTTGCTGGGCTGCAACCTATGAGAGGAAAGAAAGAAGTAAGGTTAATAAGGTAGATCTCCAATCCCTAGGCTACAATTTGGAACAAGAGAGAGAAAAGTGTTTACGATAGAAATCAGATCCAGATTAAATTTGGATGTGGATATCCTTTTATAGGTAAAGTAATACAAGTGGGAGTATGGAGAAGATGAACTAAGGGAAATTGGGAGTCATTCTTGGCAAAGGCCTTATTAGGAAACAGATTAACCAGAGGACTTTTATAGAAATGGAGATCATACTAGGGGAACTAGCTAGGTATACCATTGATAGTGAGGAGATCTTATTGTTTTGCAATGTGATTAAGGATTTTCAAGTACAGTGACAGAATTGGAGCTCCATTAACAAAAGGTTAATTCTCTATATAGCTCTCAATTAGAGACTCTATAGCAGTGATACTTTAATTTGTGATTTATAAGGAAGAGCGTTCCAGTCACAAGGGGCACAAAGGTAGGTGCTAAAGGAAAAGGAAGGATACAGGATTTCTGTGATATAATACAATGTGTATATTTACCGCACGGATAGCCATCCACACTTGCAAGTAGCAAAAGATGATGACGCTCAGGGGAGTTATACAACAGGTAATCATCAGGACAATCATGTAAGATTGGACACCTAGCTCTTCACTGCCACTGAATACATCTGGACCACATGATGTTTTCAGACCATGGGGCCAGTATCTGGTTGGGAGGAGAAGAAAGTCCTTTTTAATTTGAGATTTGAATAATCTTTTGAGCCCCTCTTAGTGTGTTTTACATTTGTTCACATAAACAAATCAGAAGAAAATCTGATGCCACACAACATTCTGATGAAGGTAGAGTTGACATACACATGACAAAGTAGATGCACTCAAAATTGTTTTAGGCTTCAGCATCCAAATATTCGTGTATAGATTTCCTGCTCATTCTTCATCTCATAAAAATAAATGCCAAATGCAAGATTTAATAACTTGTAGATTAAAAAAGATCAATGACCCACGTAACCCATTTCTCACTTAAAGAAAGAAAGCCAAATCATTGACTGTTCTCTATCAACATTCTTGATGAAAGCTACCCACTCTTTGGTAAATATACACATATGGCTATTTTTGTAGTTATGTTGGAAAGGAGCTGAAAGTTATGAGAGTTTAATCCAACACATCTGGTGGACACCACCCTGCTCCTTAGTTCCCAGTGGTGCTGCTCTGTACCATTCCCTTCTTATACTTACCTACTCCAGCCAAATATTGGTGGTGCTGTCCAGGAGGCAGCCCATATCCAGGAGAAGAAAATGCCACCAAGAGCCATTTTAGCATCAAACTTGACATTTCCAAAAGGTTTGCAAACAACAACCCAGCGCTCCCAGGAAATAATGGCCAAAGACCAGAGAGATGTAATGCCTGGGAAGGAAGAGCAGAAGAGGACAATAAAAAGGACATAGCTTTAATAGATATGTGTGAGTGTGGATTATATGAAATCTATCATTACATTACAGACATTCAGTTTCTCACCTTCTAAAACAGGAATATAAAACAGCATCAAGGGTCAAAAAGCTGAAATGGTTATATTGAAACCTTTACTAAATGTTCTGCCAGATGTGTCTTGGAATGCATGGGATTAATAGAAGGGAAGCAAATCAGGGACATAGAGGAAAAAGGAGCAGCATGATGAGTGATCTGTGAGGACAACAGGATTATAGGATGTGCTTATATTAGGGGGAAGAGGATAAAAGTATGACCTGGAGAGAAGGGATTGGGGTAAAAAGGGATTAATCAGAAAACAAGATGAATAAGTACTTCTTACCACAAACAGAGACAGTATAACCCTCTATAACACACAAAGGATGGCCAAGGACGAAATAGCCAAAAAACTGGTTGATGACACTGATGGTGCTAGCAATAACTGTTTCACCCAAATCAGCGATAGCCAAGTTCACCAGAATCCAGTTGAGCGGATGCCTTAATTTCTTGAATTTGGCGGTGGCCACCAATACCAAGCCATTGGTAAAGACTGAGGCAATGACAACAAAGACCATCCAGAGTGAAGTTAAGTGGTAGATCCATCGTGGTGCAATATGATAGTTTGGACCTTCAAAAGGGTCTGCCAGAAGATGGACAAAATTAAATATTAGGAGGATCTCAGCAAGCATAATAGTGTCGTGAACAAATCAGTCAGGGATGTACACTGCCAAAATAAGACAAAGTCTCTATTCTTGCAAATAACTCAAGAGCGTATCTATAGGAAAGTATATACTTCTTTATAACTTATATTATACTAAGACCATCACCATCATTCCCATCCTTCTACTGGAACCACTTTTGAGCCCTTCCTTATCTCAAAACATTCCAGCGGCAACTGGCAAATTCCATTTCTGGGACCCCTCTTCCAAAGGCATTTAATTGCCAAGGTTGAAGTCAGCTGCTTACTGCCCCTGTTCTTGTCAAAGTTTATCCTGTGAACCAACCTTAGTCTGCCCTCCTACCCCAGTTCTGAGGCCTCTGCCAAACTCACCACGGGTATTGTTGCTGTTGGTGTAAGCAAATACAGTTTCCCTAGTAGTATCTTCGTCATCATCGTTGCGCCGCCGAGCAGCAAATACTGCCACATTCCAGGCCTCTGTCATGGCTTTGGTTACAGTCTTCCCCCTTGTTTGTGTTTCTTGCCCTCTCCCTTTCTCCCGCGTTCTCTTTCTTCCTCAATTCTCTCTTACTTGTTGCTCCTTCTCTCAGTCCCTGATCAGCCTCTCCCATCCAATAGTCTATGCTAAGGTTCAAAGTCCTACACATTTATATATCTACCCCCCCCCCAGAAGATTAAGCTTTCATCTTGGAGAACAAGATCCCCCAAAGCCCTTAAACGTTTTATCCCTTAATTGGGCTATAATGCTACAATTTGGCCCTCTCCCCTCCTTCTTTCCTTCTTCTTCCCCTCCTCCTCTGCTCTGTTCGTTGCACATTAACAGCTTGCATGTGTCCTACATCACCAATGATATCTTTGCGGGACACTTCAGGTGAGAGATGAGCATGGTAGAGGGATTAGAGAGTCAAATAACTCCACTAAGCTGATTCAGAATGGAGTTTCCTTCCAATTTCCAAATGTCCCATTTTTCTACCTCATTCCAACTTTACTGTAACAGAAGTGGTGGGTTTTTTTTTTCACCAAAGCCAATACCCTGGCAACTACCCCAAGAAATGAACTTCAAAATCTTTTTTACATAAATCTGCAAATATAGATTTGGGTGTGTATGTGTCCTTAATGCTCTCTGAGCTTGGTTGTTTTCTTGCAGACATTTCATTAGCCAAAGAACTCAAGATGTTACCTAATTTGGTTAATGAAACATCTGCAAGAAAACAATCAAGCTCATTTTAAGCCTGAGCTACAAATATTTTCCTTTATTGGAAAGATAGACAGACATAACTTGCAAAGTATAGTGGCATTATCCCTAGGCTATACAAATGATGTCCAAATATTCATCACATCAAGCACAAAGTAACCTTTTTCATTCCCAACACTAGATATTAATTATATCGTAGGCCAACAACTATTGAGGGGTCTTCAGGATCTTTATCAGCAAGAAATTCTAAACACATACTCAAGAGACTGCTTCCACTAACATACAATCAACTTAAAGAACCTGGCAAATAATTTTTGAAAATCTAACCTCTAAGAGTTGCAATATATGCATTGCCCTTACAGAAAGTTAATTGAAATTATGAGGTAAATAAAAATAATGTACATTATGAACATTGGCATATCTCCCTTTGGTACAAAATCCCTGCTGATATCTGTGATTTTTAAATATTAGCTTTTGAAATTATTATTATTTTGAGATGGAAGTTCTTCAGAGCAAAATGTATGTTTCAATACTATCATCTTTCATTCTACTGAAGATCTTTATATCCTCATAAATCCAGGGACAATTGGGATTGACAACAGTAGACAATTGGAGGTCAATAGTTTGCTTTGAACTTTTCCAGTTTTCCACAAAATAAAAAGTAGGAAGGGATAGATGATTTAATAAGATGGAAAGATAATGTGGGGAAATGTTTATGAAGGCAGGATGGTGGAAAGAAGGGACAGAAGAATCAAGGGGACATTTTTATCTCTCTCTCTCCCTGTGTGTGTGTGTGTGTGAGAGAGAGAGAGAGAGGGGGGGGGTGAGAGGGAGAGGGAGGGAGGGAGGGAGGGAGGGAGAGAGAGAGAGAGAGAGAGAGAGAGAGAGAGAGAGGGAGAGAGAAAGAGTATAACTGGATCTTGTACATAAGAAAAATGTGAATTTGGAAGAATATATTTATATTTTAGACTCTGATCCCAGCTGTGTTTAGAATTCAGGTTATTGAGGATGTTGCCTTTTCATCTTTATCACATTGCCCTATGTTCAGCAGATAACAAGATAAATCCCATCAAAGAACTTTTTTTGTAAAAGATTCACATGCATGGGCATCATGGTATTTTCTCAAAATTGTATTATGCCGACTAGCTTCAAAAGAAATGCCTTTTGTTTTGAAATTTTGTCTAACATTTTCATACATTCTTGCTTATGCCTGCCTCTTGGCATCTTTCCCTCTTGGTATCCTCTGAAATGAGCCAAGTCTAAACTAATTTCTCTATCTTCTCAGTGATTCTACTGTACCATATATATGATGACACTTTATCTATCTTGAAACCAACATATTACAAGTAATCCAAGAAAAACAAACATTTTAGGCCAGTGGAATTTTGAGAGCATGTTATGTGACAGACCTATATGGAAGCAGATGACTTGCCTACACATAGAATAATGGCCACGGTGGGTATTATCAGCAAATAAAATATCTGTTTAACAAAGATGCTTCATGCTATTGTCTCTAGCCCTTTAATTTGCTTTCCACAACCATAGTTTATCTATTTCAGGATTGAGGACATTCTTCAACTCTTCTAAAAAAAAGTATTTCTCTTTGATTTACCAAAAAAATTAGCCTGATCTGAATTCCCATGCTTTTTCTTAAAAAAAACAACAACAACACCTTTCTGGATTCTTTGCAAAAGTTCAATTCCTTAACCTTTAAATAGTCAAGACCTTCTGGAGACATTTTTCTGCCTGATACCAACCGGCAGAATAGTGCCATCATCCCTTAATCCCTAGTCAAGATACATTAAGTCCCAGGCTGTCAAGTTATTTTTGTTGCTAGGCAGAAAATTCTGTAAATACCTCTCTCCTAAAACAACAACAACATAATACATTAAGTAGTACATCCTGACTGTAACACATTCTGAATATACTCCTGGCACTCATAGTTGAGGGGATGTAGGGAAGAATATACTGGTTTGCAAGATAGTTTCTAAATCGGAGATCCTAGCTTGCACAGAACATTATGAACATACTTTGCGTAAAATGGGTTCTTACTTGTGACTTAGGGTTTAAATATGCCAAAACTGATTGATATTGTCCTTACTGTTAACTGGGAAAGCTATGCGCAGCATGGACATAGTTAACCCAGCCCACACCTTCTCTATCTTACCCAAAAACATTAGGCAAAATTTTTGCAAAAAGATTCTTGCCTCTTTGAATGGCTTCCAGCAGCCATGCTCTTCTCTGAATGTTCATGATACACTTCCACATAAATAAGGGAGCTCGGTGAATTTGGTTGTGTTCCTCTCATTAGATTCTTCCTTTCTGTCCACTATAAATTTACCCTGTAATACTTGGTTGTTTTTGTATTATACTCTAATTTAATAAGTGGTTTAAAGATATATTTAGAATATTTGGCATTGCTAAGTATCTGTAAGGATAAAAAAAGTGATATCAGTAAGTAAACTATGGTAGACTTGTGCTAGACTACATTTTGTGCATGCATACAGCGCTAATAGGACATCTACATTTGCAGTGATAAGAGTAATTTAATTTGGATTTAATATGTTTAACCTCTCGAAAAAAACAAAATGGAAATTGATGACTAGGAATGCAAATTGGCAAACAGAACAAGAATCTGAGTAGTATACAGTCCACAGAGATCTTTGTGAGACTAGTCCCTGTTTAGATGAGTAAGACTACTCTTCCTTTCTCTATAGACTATATCATATCTTAATAAGAGGGAACACTTCATTGGCTACACGTCCATTTTGACCAAAATTTTATTTTCACCTTGAAAGGCTAACAAGTGTTACTTATTTCATATATTTGTTCTTCTGGTTTATAGACTGCTTCAATCATGAACCAATATACATAACTTATGTGGCCAGTTCCAGTAGAAAAAGATTAAAAGCAATAAATATAAAAATAATGACAGTTCTCATATAACATGGTTTGCCAAGCAGCAACAATACAAATCTGCAATAGAAAAAAGAACCCTATAGAATGGGATCCATCACATGGCTTTCTAAAGACCTTTCTAAACCCCTAGAAAATCAATTACTGTCTAATCTTAAGGAGGATGTTGTTCCAAAGAAGGGGGGCACCAGCATGGTCTCAGATGACAACATTCCCCCAGCAGAGGGGCCTACATGAAGCCCGCCTCCCTTTCAAATATTTTGGATAGGCAGATACCACCCAAGACTGAAAGCCAACTAGCTTTAGATGGAAGTTTCCTTTCTGTTGATCTTAACTGCCTTCAGAAACCCCCCTTTTTTTTTACATTAAACCTGGGGGCTTTGCCTGAGGTTATTTTGCATATACAGAAGTCTGTTTTTAATAATTATGAGTTAACTTGGGGAGTCATAATGTATTTGAAATGGTTAAATGAAACAAATCTCAGGGCAGCCTTCTGATATATGCATATATGAATATGCAAATAAAGTCATTACCAAAAGCCAACATGGGTTTGTCAAAAACAGATCATGCCAGACAAATCTTATTGCATTCTTTGACCAGGTGACAAAATTAGTGGGCCAGAGGAATGCTGTGGATATAATTTACTTGGATTTCAGTAAGGCATTTGATAAAGTAGACCACAACCTACTACTTGATAAGATAGAAAAATGTGGGTTAGACAGCATCACTACCAGATGGATTCGTAGCTGGCTGACTGGCTGTACTCAGCGTGTGGTCCTCAATGGAACCGCATCTACATGGAGGGAAATGTGTAGTGGGGTGCCCCAGGCTCTGTTCTGGGCCCAGTACTCTTCAACATCTTCATCAATGGTTTGGATGAGGGGATAGATGTGGAACTCATCAAATTTGCAGATGACACCAAGCTGGCAGGAATAGCCAACACTCAGAAGACAGGCTTAAGATACAGAAGGATCTTGGTAGACTTGAACATTGGGAGCTATCTAACAAAATGAAATTCAATGGTGAAAAAAGGAAGGTTCTACATTTAGGCAAGAAAAAGCAAATGCACAGGTATAGTATAGGTGGTACCTTGCTCAATAGTAGCAACTGTGAGAGGGATCTCGGAGTCCTAGTGGACAATCACTTAAATATGAGTCAGCAGTGGGCTGCAGCTGCCAAAAAAGCCAACACAGTGCTAGGCTGCATTACCAGAGGGACAGAATCAAGATCATGTGAAGTATTAATACCACTTTACAATGCTTTGGTAAGGCCATACTTGGAATACTGCATCCAGTTTTGGTCACCACCATGTAAAAAAGATGTTGAGACTCTAGAAAGAGTACAGAGAAGAGCAACAAAGATGATTAGGGGACTGGAGGCTAAAGCATATAAGGAACAGTTGCTGGAATTGGGTATGTCTAGTTTAAGAGAAGGACAAGGGGGGACATGATAGCAGTATTCCAATATCTCAGGGATTGCCACAAAAAAGAGGGAGT